TACTTAAAATTACTTGTGTATAGTAATATATGTAACAACTTATACTATAACTAGAAAGTGATTATTTTTAAAATTAAGAAATTCTTTAAGCTATATGTGTAATGGATATTTGAAAATTAGAGGTTATTTTTAGTATGAATGAGTCAAATGCTATTCAAAGAGATTATTCAATATTCAAATAGCAATCAATATTCATATTTCAGTTAAAAGTAAGAGTTTATAATATATTTTATATGATTTATAAGTTTAATAATTCAATATTTAGTTATGATTAGTACTCAATATTCAGAGAATCAACTATTCATATGATATGGTCGATGCAACGATAGGGCCGAAAATTTTGAAGAAGTAAACGATTCAGAAGACAGCAAGAGTATAGACGATGATAGCGATGTTATCAAAAGTTATGARACYGACGAGTCAGAGGATTCGGAAGACAAGAGATATAACAAAGAGATTAAAAGAAGCGACAACTATGAGACAGACGATTACGAYGAATAGAAAGACACCACCAAAAAGACATCGAAGAATAATAGAGYTTAAGAGTGGCTAATGTCGGAGCCTATTAGCCTWAGTGTGGGGGTGTAATGGATATTTGAAAATTAGAGGWTATTTTTAGTATGAATGAGTCAAATGCTATTCAAAGAGATTATTCAATATTCAAATAGCAATCAATATTCATATTTCAGTTAAAAGTAAGAGTTTATAATATATTTTATATGATTTATAAGTTTAATAATTCAATATTTAGTTATGATTAGTACTCAATATTCAGAGAATCAACTATTCATATGATATAAGTCTAATATCGAGTAATTCAATGATAAAGATATGATAATTAGTATTATTTGAAATATTTAATATATTGAATCAGATTTCTAATATTTATTGTAAATATCCTAATCTAATGATTAATGCAATTATGAATTTATGTCTATATAAGCACTTGATTATTGAAATGTAAATTCAGTCCTAAAATGTAGTCCTAAGAGGGAAGTCATAAAAGATAGTCTAGAGAGAGGACTCAGAGAAGGCGGCCTAAAGAGGTCCGTCCTAAGAGAAAGAGAGAGGGACAGAGAGCCCATATATATAAGAAAACATCATTATCTATATTTATATTCATTTTGTATACTTTTATAAATTTAATTTATTATAAATAAAGTGGTTTATTGTTAACGAAATGTGATGTGATTTAGATATTGATTGTGAATAGTATTAAGATATAGAACGCCTATCAAGTGATAGTGTGATTACGAGTAGTGCTACCGAGAGATCGGAATCGTGAGGACGCGTGACATATATTGGAAGTGATTATTCGATTGCGATATTGCGAGACCAGACATACTGTCTGAATTAGATCTAAGAGTACCTGAGCTTTGAGCTATAGTTCCTTGTAAACGGCACGGAAAAGGAGTGTCCATTACATATGTTTGTGAATACGAGCGTATAAGTGGGGACTTCAGAGCTTATATACAGTTGTCTTGTATACAGCTTTTTGCATATATATTGATAAAATATTTAAAAATTATAAACTCAAATAACTTTGATATCTTATATGGGGATTATTTTTATCTATTTAAATAAAGGATTAAATATCCAACCAGACCCACCAGATCAGCCTTGAGGCACAGCATGGCTATCATGATCTCTTCAAGAGCTACCACTACCCTCATGATGGCCAGGGGGTCTATTAATGCCGAGGGTTACCAACTAACCCTCGGGAGCACATGGAAACCATCTGGGTATTATACCCAGATGGTTTTGTATTTCAGCAGGACAATGCTCCCGCCAACAAGGCTCGATCTACACTGGAATGGCTGGAGAGAGAGAGGTGTACACTGTATTGGACTGGCCACCCTACTCTCCAGACCTTAACCCTATCGAAAACCTTTGGGCGATAATGAAGGCCGAGTTGGAGAAAGACCCGGATCGCTTCATAACCAATTGGACAGAAAAAATCCAAAAAATTTGGGACAATGTTGTCCCCAATTACATAGAGTCCCTTATTGATAGCATACCGCGCAGGGTTGAAGCCTGTATCGTGGCGAACGGGGAAAGATTTAATATTAATTTATTATTATTTGATTTATTCATATTATAGATTATTATTTATTAAACATGTTTAAAATTAATTTTATACAATTATTAATATTTTTGCAAAAAGCTGTATATATATATATGTATATATTAAAGCGCAAACTTTAAATAGTAAATAAAAGCCTAAGWKTATGCAAACTTATATRTCATATCATAGTTTTASTTATTTAAATWAATTGTTRATGTTTTTATTAAATGTATWAACTGTTAATAAATTAAAAACAWAATAAATAYCCATTAAATYTRTTYAGTTGTAAAACTAAATAATTYAAATCCAAWTTAACAATAAATTAATGCTATAAATAAATATAGTATATTCAGTACTAATAGGATTTAATATATGWTTTAAAAATAACATTTACAATGTATCATATAKTATACASTATACTATAAATTCTATAWACAGWAMAAATATAAATAAATTATAACTAWAAATAAATTTTATTWACTAAATAGTATTATCCAATTAAGWAAWATWTATRTTTTCAATAATATTAAACATCAATGATTATCTATTTATAGATTTTATAATCTTTATATSTAWWAAAWATAATCTAAATGTGATTTGTTTTAAACATATYGMTTAGTWTTAGATATATCATATTAAACTATTATATAAACWATTATATAARTTATATATAAATTTATATTAATATATCWGGGTTAAGCCGTATTAAATACATTTTATTTTATTTTTTCGAGATAACGTTTTTTTATTTCCAAACTTTTAAAGAAATTAAATTAAGAAAAAAAATAAAATTGATCTATCTCAAAAAATAATTTAAAGCACATTATAAATGTAGTTATTTGGTAATTTTAATTGTTTTAGTTTATAATAAGTTRAGTTACTAATCTTATTWTTAKTTTAAAKTAAATATTCTGGAAGTATTAWGGAATTTWTTTTTTAAATTGTAATTTTCATWGAAKATATTRKAAAACAWTATGAAAATTTTTWARATAAATTTAGTTGACCTTGGYATTTTAATTTGTAAWTTTTTWWARTAAATTACAAYAAAAAGTCTAGCCTCATTCAATAACMCTTCCTCCGCAAAAAAAACATTATTAAAAAACTTTTTTTAAATATTTTGTTAATAAATGTTTTSTTATAATATTAAATAATTGTTTTTTAGTACAATATATTTTGTTTATAATTAATTGTTATKAAATGTATTATTAAATAAWAATTAGTTATTATATTTATTACAGTRAATATTACATTATATCAAACATCAAAACTATTTTTTTATTTGTTGATAAATTGGAAACGTATGACATTTTATGATAATCTTATTTTAAATACAAATATTGTWAAAAAAATGCTTTACAAACATTTGTTATAAAAATATAAAGTATTATAAATACATAATCCAATTATAGTATGGTTTAGACACTTTATAYAGTAAGTTAATTTAATAAAAAGTTATTTTAGGAAAWCATTATTGTAATTTCATAATAAAGTTATTAAATAAGTTTAGTTTCTTTTTAGTATATATATATATATCTAACTTATATATAGGTACTAAATAAAATTGACAATTCACATATTTAAAATTATATTCAAAAATAATGTTATATTTTATAAATAGTCAAATAGTAATTGTAAAATATAACWAAAAGTGTATTTACTTTAATTATAATTTTAAATTTATTTTTTACGTCTTATATTATAATATGAATATGACTRATATAATAATATTGTTAATATAAAATACATTATTATAASTAAAAATATTTAAAAAAAAAATTTYTTATATAAAATTTTTTTTATTAGTTATATTAATATTTATGMATTCACATAAATTATTTTATACTKATTCAGTATTASATRCASTTTGTTATATAATAAATTACATTYAAATTTGATATAAAGCAATATAAATAWAATCCATAACAATATTTTTACAAAATWTGTTATATAAACAATACATATATGATAATGTAAATATTATATAACAATATGCTSTATATATATTGTATATATATATATATATGAGTAAACTATATATGTTATCATATGGCAAATAAAAGCTATTAAAGTACAATAATATTTTAAAAACAGTTTATTTGATAAATCTTTTAAAAATTTGTGTATATTCAACATGTGTTTATGTGTTTGTTTACTTACGTCAAACAATAATAAAATTATTATGAATGCGCTTTAAAAATATATATATATTTAAGAAAATCAATTTAATGTTTAATGGATTTATATTTTATTTTTGATTTTCTTATTTATTTATATAGTACAGTATTATCCACTTATGTGGCAATACAATATTATAAATTATTAATGATTATACAGTAATAAATGATATTATTAAGCTATAGTATAGGGATTTATTAATACAAGTGGATAAATATAAATTCATAATAAATATTTTTACAAAAATTTCCAGAAAKTTTYATTTTTAAAAAAATAAAGTTCAGTTTAAATAAATAAATATTAAGTTTTATAWACTTAATAATAATATTAATATTATTAATACTTCATATACATAGCAATACAAAATTATTATAAACTATTTTTATAAAATAGATTTAGCTATCATTAAAATAGTAATTTTATACTTATTTGTATTTATAAATTAGCGATGACACAAAAATAAAATTTTATAACCTYTAWAAAAACAACAAAACTAAACGTATTGAATTTATACATTTATATAATTACAGTATTATACTAATTATTACTTATCATGCATTATATRATAATAGTTTAACATATWAAATTTATAGAAAACTAACATGAACATTTTCATAAACAAATTTACTTTGATAAACATTTTTTTTGAAACTTTCTTAAGTYATTTTTTATATAGAAATTTCCTAATTTATAATTAATCTATAATTATTAGTGACGGGTATTAGTTTTATTGAACTAACTTTCATATATTTTAAGCGTATTATTTAAGTTCACTAAATCTATCGGTGAGTATATTGACACCAAATACGGTCTCATTAACCGTTGAGTTGTCGTTGTTGTTGTTGTTGTTGTTGTTGTTTATGGTGTTTCTGGTGGACAAACACTTGAATAGCACCCGAAGCTTATTTTGAAAGTCATTATTCATCCAGCAATAGATAAATGGATTATAACTGTAACAAATATTTTTWTAYATATATATATATATATATAGTTTTTTTTAAAAAAAAAATTATACAAAAATATCTCATAAGCAAAATAATTTATTACAAAATTATATTTTGTTTTTATTGACAAAAATTAAACTAAAAATTGTGAAATTYATATTATGCTAAATTAGATTAAAATATTAATATATATATATATAAAAGATTTTATTCTATTTTTATAAAAAAATAAATTTCTTTTATATTTATTATATATAACTTCCACTTTGTTTAACATTTAAAATTCGCTGATATTTGTCAAAGTTATTCAAATTTTTTTTTATTTAAATCTAATTAAAGTATAATAAAAAAGTAAATATTACATTACTTGTATTATACTAAAAATATTTTTGCATAAAAAATATAATATCATTATAAACTAATGTATGTAATACCATTGGGATGTTTAGAAAAGCTTAAATAATAAAAAATATTACAGGTACATTGTTTTTTAATAATATTATATACTATATTATATAAAGTTATATTTTATGTAAATATTAAATGATAATATCCTTAAAAAACAAATGTAAAGTTTTATAGATTTATTAAATTCTTAACACTATTAAAGTTTCAAGTTTTTAATATTTTAGTTATTATTATATTTTTGTTATATGAAAATATTGTTATAATAAAAAATGTTTTTATATATAATTTTGAATATAACATTTTCTTAACTCAATTTTGTATGAATAATTGAACAAATAATTTTTTGTATTTAAATTGTATAAAAATATAATCAATTTTTGTTGTAAAAGATTTTTATAAAGTATATATTGTATAAATCGTTTTTTGATGTTATTTATGTATTTTACTATTCAAAATATTTTCTAAGTTATTATTAAGTTTATAAATTTAGATTATTATTTGACAATCTATTAAAATAATTATCTAAATTTGAGAAGTTATTATACAACTTGTTATAAATGTTTTTAATATAAATTATTTTAATTGATTGTCAAATAATAATCTATATTTATAAAGTACATCATCTATTAAAAATAATTGATATTAAAAAACATTTATTATTAATTGCATAAATTAAATAATAGATGATTGTAAATTATTTTATATGTTTTTTTAATTATAATTTTTTAATAAAAACTTTTATTAGTTGTTATATTAATTAATATTAAATAAAGTATTGTTATGTTATGTATATTATATATATTATTGTATATTCTATTCATAGAATTAATTGGACACTTAATGTCAAATGTCACTTAAATGATTAAAATTATAATTATTCATTAAATAATAAAATAAATTATATAAAAATTCATTATATTATTAAAATCATTTATGCTAATTATATTGTCAATTTTTTAACAAAAAAAACTATTAAATAATTAAAATATTTTATACTAATTAAATAATAAATAATTTTTAAAACTCWTTTTAAATAAAAATTTTTAAAAAACATTTGAACTTAATATGTTAGTACTTTGATTAATTGAGATTTATTAAATTATTTTTTAGATCAAATTAAAATCATTTAAARCAATCAGTAAAATATAAAAATAAAAATTGCTTGAATAATATTATAAAACAAAATTTAGCTATAAATAAACTGTWGATTATTAAAAATAAACGACTGGAAAATTAAATAAATAAATAAATAATGAGATGTTATTATATGTTTATTATACTGTTTATTATACTTTATATCATACACTATATAAGACTGAGAAATATTTATAAATTTGTTTATAGAAAAATAGAAAAATTAATTAATTAATTACTTAAGATATAAAAATTTATTTCAATTTATTTTAATTACTAAAACATAAATAAATTTTTAAGTATTTTATTTTTTGTTAGTAACTATTAATTAATAAAATAATAATTTAGTACATAATTAATATAATTGCATTAAAAATCAATACTTACCACACATTAGACATCGCTAACCAATGGTTTAAGAAAAACAAAGACAAACTAAAGTTAATAATATCGAAATCCACTAACAGATGATATATATTAAATGGTAGCCAACATATGGCAAATACAAGTACAACGAGCACAAGTACTTTTATACGACGGCGCTTATGTCGGATCAAATGATTTCGGTGTCTATCGGTAACAATGCCCACAAATTTACGTTTGCATAGCGAGTAACAGATTCGGGTGTAACACAAACAGGTCAATAGGATTGGCAAAACATATTGGGTTATCAAAGTAAATACAGTTAATCCTTTTCGAAATATGTCTGATCTGATCGGGTATTGGACACGACATCGGGTAAGGTTTTGCCAGTCATTCAGTACAATCACTTTGTTGAACACACCGTGTGGTAGTGATAGTAGTAGACTGACTAACCATATCATCGATAGTGTATAAAACATATTTTTGAAGCCATTATTATTCACTAAAGTGCGATACCGTTCCAGTGCTATAACCATCATTGTAATTGTTGAACAGTATACTGATGTGGTCTGAATCAGTGGAACAGTAATACATAATAGTTGACCAAATGGCCAGTTATCCAATAATACACGTGTTATATTGAACGGTATGTTTATAATAGTCATCAACAGGTCGGCAACAGCCAGGTTTCCGATGAGCACATTAGTGGTTGTGCGGGACAAACGGTGACTGTAGACAACTTTAATTACCAATAGGTTACCGATTAGCGACACAATAGCTATAAGACTATAGCTGACAATCAATAGTATATTAGACATAAATATATTACTTGTCGATGAGTTGTATTTACTTTTATTTATTAAATTGTTTAAAGTTGTGCTTATATTTGACAAAATTGTTAATTTATTGTCCATTTCAATGACCATCATATTCTCAACTGAGTTATTATTAGTAGTATTGTTATTATTACTATTATTATTATAGATTTTTTTGGTGGTTTCAAAAAACTTTGTTTTATGATGTATTTAATGGCATAGAATTATAAGAATTTGATATCTTTTAAGTAACTAGAGATTACCTATTAGATAGATATATATATTCAATACAATTATTATTATTATTATATCGATGATAATGATTATGATAACAATAATAATAATAGTAAGAAAAATAATTATTATTATTAACGTTAAAATTGTATAATACAATAGTTTATAGTATCAGATAAAAAATAATAAGAAGAAATTATTTTCCAGACAAAACAAATCTTAAGATAATTTTTTTTKTTAGAAATTACTTATTTAACATAATATTGATATCATATTTAAATAATAAAACAACAATTTTTAATATTATATATGATTTTGTCTTTTTTTTTGTTGTTGTTGCTTAACTTGTAAATCAATAATTTATATAAATTAAACTAAACTAACCGAAATTTTTCTTACCATTACTATTAACAGCAAATTAGATGATAATGATAAAAGTTATTATGTTATTATTGWCGTTAACTGTAAAAGCGATGCACTGCTAATGCAATCACTAGTTTTATATAACATTATAAAAACCAGAAAATTCATTATTTTGTTGTGTTTTTGTTGGTTGACTACTAGTGTAATCATACACAGAGAGTCTACACTAAATTAGTATACATTTATACAGTATATRTTGAATGTAACGGTATTTATATTATATAACTTATATACAACACTATAAGTTATTTACAATATTTATTTTAAATATATAAATTTGTATAAATATATTTACAATATAAAMTATATATAATAATAATAATAATTTTAATTATATATATAGAGAGAGAGTATATATATATATTTAATGTATTTTATATACGGTATTTATATTACTTTATTTACATGACATTTAACTTGTTTTTTAAATATAAAAGAAAGTAAATTAAAAAATAAACAATATTATTTTATATAAATGTCATARACTTAATATTATTTGTATAGCATTTAATTTATTAAAAGCTATTTCAAGAAAACATTATATTAGTTTTATATTTACGTTTCTATATTATTATATAATTTATACAATATTTTTTTTAAATATCAAGAATACAAGTATTATTTTATCATACATTTCATTAAAAATTATAAAGATATTTCTATAAACCAATAAATACATTAACTATGCATTAATACAATAATAATAGTTTACATTATTCATATTCAACTTCAAACGTAATTTTATAAATAATAAGTGATAAGTTGAATCTAATTAGTTAAATAAAACATAAATATCATATTAATATTTTCAAAAAATATATGTCAAGATAAACATTATATACGGCATTAATATTATATATAATATTTGCTTTTAATACATTTAATGAAAAGATTAAAGGTTAAAATTATTTTTGTTATAGAMAWATATGTTATAAATGTTATAATGATAAATATATATATATATTATTTATTTTCCACTCAAACCACATAATAACCATTTTTTAACAATAATATATTTTCCATTTGAATTCAATTGTATAATTATATTTGAATTTACTTATATAAATATTTATTTAAAATATTAATTTATTCCCCCATTAAATCATTGACCATTAAATTATGATACATTAAATTTCACATATAGTATGTAATAAATATCTGAGATTCTGCGCTTATACCTGTATATACATACTATAAATATTATATTTCAATATACTTATTAAATACACTATTTATTACTATAAATATCAATCCGATATGTACTTTAATTACAATATATATTATTTAATTTATGTGTTTTTCTGGGTAATACTAAATATTTGATATCTTATTGTATATTATATGATATTTTRRGTCTGTGTCTGTGTCTGTAGGTGTTTAATAATAGTTAATTTTTTTGTTAGTTATTTTTCATATACAATATGTGTAGTGAAATTACTTTTATTATAACTATATATATTTTTTTCATTAGCAAATGTATGCTATAAAATAATACATAATAAAGACAGTAATCTAAAAATAGCAAATTTTTCCAAGAATCTATATTTTACATAAAAAATTAATTAAAAATAAAATAATTTTATTTGTTTTATAGACTACCACTTAAAGTTCTAATTATATTCAAATATTTATTATACTTWATTTTAATTTAATATTCATTCATGTAAAAAATAAATATTTTTTTGTATCAATTTAATGTATACATTTTTCTACATATAATTAGTAAAATGCATTTTTAATATTATTATTTTTTGACATCTTATGATAGTAAAATCAATTATGATTTTGATTGTCAAATATTTGTATAATTAGTAATTTCATATATAATTTTGATGATTAAATTTTAATATAAAGATTTTATAAATAACTTCTACTAMTACTACTATTACTACAATACTACTTGTAAAAATAAAAACAATGTTTAAATAATATATATAAAATAATATAAAAATAAACAAATAATTATCAATTTATTTTAAATATAATTATTAMATATWTTTTCAATCAAAATAWATATGATAACAAYATATTAAAAGATAMAAAATTATTTAATWCAACTAATGATTTATTGTAATAAATAAGTGATKCTATATTTATAMATAATTTTATATATAATATTAATATTATACATATTATATATTWGWKATATATTAAAATTAAACATATAAATATATATATATTCAGAGATATATATATATACAGATATATATATATATATATTTACTGTAAATATAAAAAATAAAAWKTTATGTAATTAAATATTAAGTTAACATCTGTTAATATTAATATAATCAAAAGTATTGCCAATTCAGACATAAAAATGCTGATTATTTGTTGTTTTTTTTGTCKGTAAAACCGCSGGCGCATACATTATCACTTAACTATACAAATAACTGGACGATATAGACATCAACACAATATAGAAATTTATTTAATACTTATTATTGTATTGATATATAATATTAGCACCGGTAGCTGTTTGGCAATATTATTACAACACAACACACATAATAGGAAATAAGGTTCAGACAAAACAAAAGTCTTGCGCAACACTTAACCCACAGTTAATTACTTTCCGRTTTTTATAAGTCTTTTTTTGACAAAGTGTGGGCAAAAAAAATAATTTGTTTTAATAAATTAATTAATGAACTATATATTGGCAATATATTTATAGATGTAATTTGTGTTGTAATGTGAATATAATTATGTTTAATTGTTAAATGTTATAATTTAATAAATATAATTTGAATAAATTAATTATATATTTAATGACAAATTGTAGAAAATACATAAAAATCAAAATTATAATTATAACAAGTATTTATTGTTAATGATATCATAATTCATGTTTTTTAAACTACTGTAATTAGTGTTGGCAAAAAATAAAAATTTATAAAATAATCGAGAAATTTCTATCTATGGGATCCCCTCTAATTTTGTTATCTTGATATTTGCTATCATATAACAATACATTACCGTAAATATTATTATTAGTATTTTAATTATTAATTAAAGTAAAAAATTAATTAATTAAATTACAGTAATATATATATAATAAAATGGTAAATACAATTTTACAAAACTAATTATTATTATTTTATATATAGGTATCTCATTTGTATAGTATCGTTTGAATTTATAATGTATAGTATAATATATGTATAATATTATATCTTATTAATATAGTATTACAATAACTATAGATATGGGGATCCCATAGTATAACAATAAAGTTAAATTTCTATAGAAATTTATTCATAGATATTTAATATTCTATATTTATAAAACTTTCTATTTGCCCATCTCTAACTGTAATCAATATTTGTGTATATTTTTTAAAGCATTAAACTATAATTATAATCAAGTATCATAATCTCTAATGTTTTATAGATATTCAATATCCTATACTATAAAATCTCTGTTTACTGTTTAAATTTAAAATTTTAATGATAATTTTTAATTTTGTTTTGTTTTATTATTTTAATTATTTATGGACAGCAATTAGCAATTTTAGTAAAGTACAATCATTAAAAATTAAATTGTTTATTGTTATCCTAAGATATATATATATATTATAAATTATATATCATTAAATTATAAAAATATTTTATTAAATAATTCATATACTGCTTCAGCATATTATTAGAAATAAAAAACAAATAAATAACACAAATATTATATAAATTATTTTTACAAAATAATTTTAAACTTTTAAAAAGAATAAAATAAATATTATTATTTAAAATTATCACTTATGATAATTAAAATGTTTGTGTATTTCCTAAGTATTTAAAAATAATTTATTAGACTTATTATACAAGTGTTTGAATGTTGACAAACATTAATTCATTAACCAATCAAACTAAAGATTTCAATTACATTGTTATGTTTATATTAAATATAATATTTATATTATACAAATAAATAAATTTAAATAATTTACTGCAATATAAAAAATAAGTATTATTATAACATTAACTAATAATCAAATTGAATTACTAATAATAAAAAATACTATAAATTATATAAATTATTGTTTTTCTGTTCAAATGGGCTAAAATTAGTAATAAAATTATTATACCAATTTACATTAAAAGTAGATTACATTAACATAAAAATATCTAATTAGTAATAAAAACAAATTAGTAATAGTGTGCAAAAGTTTTTGTTTCAATACTGTCATAGATTTTCCCTAAATATCCCGACAGAATCACAAAATACGTGATTATTTCTTAACGATTGCATTGACAACATTAAAAGTCTAACAAATGAGTTAAACGTTGATAATTCAAACCACAAATTAAAGTTATATCATTAGCTAATAAACACAAAATTTGAAATTTTAATTATATTAACTATATTTTATTTTATGTAAATGCAAAACATTTTGTTGAGTTTATTTTATTTCAATTTTTATCAATGAGATATTTTATCTTTTTTTCCCCCMTGTATTTTGGTAATTAAACAGGATAATTACATGACAATTTGTTTGCACACTAAACAATTCAAATATTTTATGAAATAATATAAATAATTTTCTAACTAATGTTTTTTGATATTTACCATCCGATTCAATGTAGTGGTCATTAAATAACAAGTCTGCTAAATATAAAACAAATTTATTAGATTAATTAAATTAGATATTTATAATTTATATGTTTAAATTAAATTATTTGTTACTGAAAAAATAAAATTTCCATTCAATGAGTATTGATTTAAATTTAGTATAACGTTTATTTACAATAAAAACAATTGCAATATTTTATTCATAGCAATATATTGGACCAGTGATTAAAATTACAGACAAAACAAATAAATAATTTTTTATTATAATTTATGTAAAAAAATTTGACAAACTTATATTTTAATGTAATTTTTTAATAATTATAAAAATTTACAAATAATAACTTTAAATAAAAAAAAGTTATCATGATAACACTTAACTTTAAGGACTGTATTAGACTATTATAATATAATTAATAGAATATTATTTTTATTAACATTTTTCACTTATTTTATACATTTACAAAATAATTGTATTATTGAATAAAATAAATGAATGTAGAAAAAGCAATAAATAAAAATGAATGTAATTTTTTAGTTTTGAATTCAGTAATTTAATTGAAAAAGCAAAATATTTTATGTTATCTATAGACTGATCACCTTATTTTTTAGTAAACCTGTATAATACTATAAAAATTACATAAATTTTACCATATTTTTGTATGTTAACCTGTATTTAAATAACTGTATATAGTCTTTTAGATTTTTTACACAAATTAATTTTAAAAATCTTAAATTAAATTTAAATCTTATAAATATTTAAATATTGAAAAAGTTTACAAAAACTTTTTTTAAAGGTATTTTAGTTAATTTTAATTTATTTTATAAATTGAATTTACAATATATTAGAAAAGTACAAGTATTTTTACAAACATAAAATATATATATATTATATCCGTTTTATAATTTTTTTAAATTTATGTTTTTATTAAGCAATTAGTTTTACATATTTTTTAAAACTGTATATTATATTATACAGATCAACACATTTTCTGTCGCCTGTATCATACCCTCTATTACTGTATAATACAGGCGTCATCTGTATGGGTGGTCAGTCTAGTTATATAGACTGTATAATCTTAATTTGTTAAAATTTTAGTTTTACATGTTTAAGAAATGTTACGTCAATATATCCTAGTAACAAGTTTGTTTAATTTAATTAAAATACGTCCAAAAAAATAAATCAAAAAAAATTTAATTTATTAATTTGTTACATTGTATCAAAATTTATAACATTATATTTGTATTTAATTAAACACTTTTAGTTAAATATATATATATATATATATATATTTCATAAGTTAGTATATAAATACATTATTAAGATTAAATTTTTATTATAAATTAAATATTGATAAAACGCATAAAACTTAAATATCATGTTTACTTAAATTTTTTGTTTATTATATTATTTATTAATGTTGTTATTTTCTTGAAGTACTGGTATTTATTATATAATATGTTTACAATAAATAAAATATTATTTTATATTATAGTTTTATTATTTAACCTATGATGTTAAGTATATTAAAAATGATCACTATTTCATTTATTACATTTATTTATATATATCATAGAGTAGTGTTCAAAATATCGCATACGTTTGTTATCACGTAAGCATAATAAATACAGTATACTTAATATACGCACGACTCAACTAAATAAATAAATTTTATGTAAAAATACAAGACATAAAAATATTTACATAACATAATACTGCATATACTATATATATATATATATATATATATATACAGTATATATATATAATTATCCAATTAAATACAAATATAATTTATATAGAATTAATGATATAATTTACATAAATTATTTGTCAATTAAATATAATAATTAGAAAAAATGTTTACAAAAATTTACAAAAAAAATAATAATATAATAATGTGTTTAATCTTCAGATATCATGTTCTTCGCTGATCTCATAGTTAGAGTCCAAACGTTCGACAATAGTATTCATACGAATTGTGTTTCCGTCTGAAGACTGGGAATGCATTCGTTGAACGCCTGAAGTCAAGCACTTAAACAATGATTTGAATTCATTGCGAAAGTCATTGTTTAGCCAACAATAGATAAATGGGTTATAACTATAAATATATAAAAATTAATAAAAATATAAATTATAAAATACATAGAATTTAATTAATCAAAATAATTCAATTTAAATGTTACAATAAAAATTTTTATTATTAATTTAGTTATTTTATTTATTTATTTATTAACATACTATAAATAGTAAATAATTAAAGTTTATTACTAAATATAACATAAATAATAGAAAAGTTATATTTTTACAAATAATTAAATCATTGAATTACACATTTATTTTGATTTATATTCTATTATTACATAATATGTTATTTAAATTTTAATGATAAATAATAAATTTACTTATTATACCAATTATAATAGTAAATATATTATTTGTTTGCATTTTAAGCTAATATTTCTGAAAATATATATTTAAATATTCAGTGATAAATATGCTATACATTTTATCCAGTATAATATTACATATTATTAATTCATAAAACATTTTGCTAATAATTTCATTAAAAATTATATGATATCATTAATTAAAGTAGATTTATGCTTATTAAAATTATATATTAAATGAATACTAACTCTTTACAAAACATTATAGGTTTATAAATGTAATTAAATTATTAAATTGCTATTAATTTATATTAAATGTTTAACTTATTATATTCCTAATTCCTAATATTCATCCTAATTTCACAAATTAAGTATTATTATAGGATTAACACAATTCATTTTAATCTTATATCTATTTGTTAAATATTAAGTTACAATTTAATTTAGAAATAATATATCATTTTCATATAAATTTTTATGATAATCAATATTTATTTACTATATATATTTGTTTTTTAAAATAATAGTTAAATATAACCAAATTTTTAAGTTAATTAATTAACTTATTGCACCATAATTTAAGTAATTTAAGAAATAATAATAACAAATGATATAAATTCTAGAGAATTATTAAAAATAAAGTTTAACATATCATAAGTAAAAAAATAATTAAAATGTTATATTAAATATTAAATAACATATTGTTTGAAAATATTTTTGACTGCTTTTTCCATATTATATATTAAAAATATTTATCTAATGGAAAACTAATTAAATTATATTAATCAATAATAATTTGTTTAATAATTTGTGTAATAATTTGTGTAATAATTTGTGTAATAATTTGTGTAATAATTTGAATATTGTTACTGACATTATAATTATAGTTTTTGAAATACCAGTATTTGAAATGTTTATTTCAATATAATGTTATTATGTAAAAATAATTTTTGCTAAAACCTAATATGATTAAATACCATGGCAAAATATTTTATCATAGTTTATATTATAAAAATTTATATATATATATATATACAACAAATTTACATTAATTTATAATAAAGTAGTAATTATTGTACTAAATATCTTTGTGACAACTTTTTTTTTTATGTTAAGAATCTCAAAATATTTGAAATATTTATCATATTTTATGCATGAATTTTAATGTTTTATTTCTTTATATTAATTTATTTTTTGTTAACAACTTTACAAAATAATGTGTGCTATAATTAATGTATTTTATATTACTCTAAATAATGATACATACTAATTAGCTTAATTACGATATTTATACTAAATAATTAAATAAATTTTTGCATTAGGATAAATAAAAATTAAATAAAAAACAAGACATAAAAATAGAAACAAATATACACTGTATTTAATTAAATACATWTATACTAATAAATACTTTACATTATTTTTATACTATTTATTTACTAAAATATTAATTCACATGAGATATATCTCAAAAAAATCATATATAAACTAATATTTTTTTGCAATTACATAAAATAACATAAATTATTTTTCAATTTATAAATTTTTAAAAAATATAAACATGTGTTTTCCATAATGTTCGTCTATGTTTGGCTGGTTAACTGTATATATATATATGTATGTGTTATGTGTGTGTGTGTGTGTGTCTGTGTGTGTGTGTGTGTGTGTGTSTGTGTGTGTGTGTGTGTSGTGTGTGTAAGTTTGTCTACCTATCTGTCTGTATGATATAATAAAAAATAAATTCAATTTTTTAGGAAATAATGTTAAACTAAAAATAAATCACATTATCAAATACATTTTTTTCCAAATAGATTACATGAATTGAGAGAAAAATAGCAAATTTAATTTATTATAAAAAAATCTTTTTACTTGTTTTTCTAATTCTAAAACTGATAGAAAATTAATTTTTTCAAATCAAAAATATTCATTATTATTAAATATTCATTTATTTTTAATTATGTGTCTATATTTCAAATATACGYAAATATTTAAATAAATTAATCAATAATATTTATTGTACATAATAAATATATATATATATATATAATATTAAAAAATAAAGATTTATAAAATATAATTTAGTAAATTTAATAATTTTTAACTTAAACTTACCAAACACTAGACATAGCAAACCAATGATTAACAAAAAACAATGTATAACTATAGCCAATAACATAAAAGTCCATTAATAAGTGAAACACATTGAATGGTAGCCAACAAATGGCAAACACGAGGACAACCATAATAAGCATTTTAATTCGTCTCCATTTCCGTCTAACGAGAGTCGATCGGTGCGATTCAGTTATCTGACCAACAATTTTGCGCCGATAAATAAACCAACATATCTTCAAATAACATATACATGTTATAGTAATTGGTATCAAATATTGTGTTAGAAATGTTAGACTCGTTAGGGTTTGTCGCCAAACAATACGCGGTTCCGGGTATTCAATCCGACACCTGACTAATGACGAGTTTTTTGTAATCTTAACAATGAATATCCGATTGAAGACACCGTTGTGTACGGACAACAAAATACTGGATAACCATATAATTGATAATATTTTGCCAAAAGGAAAACATTTACCCAAACAATAGCCGCGTGTTATATGTGTGCTATAAATAAGACTTTTGTAGCGTTCAATAGCTATAAACATCATTGTTATCGACGAACAATACACTGATATTGATTGAATCAGTGGTACTAAAACACATAATATCTGTCCAAATGGCCAGTTATCTAGTAGTATACGTGCGATATTGAATGGTATATTCATTACAGTCATGAGTAGGTCGGCCACCGCTAAGTTGGCAATCAGTATATTAGTTGTGGTCAGAGATCTCTGTTTGCCAAATATGACTCTCAATACAATCAGATTACCAATCAATGAAACCAATATTATAAATGAATAACTGGCAAATAATAAACAGTTAAACATTAGTTTTTCGTTATCGTCATCACTAGTATGTGAAACATTGATTCTGGATATCAATGATAACAACAATTTACTTGTTGTTGAATTTGTATTTGAATTGTCGTTATTATTATTATCAAAATTTTCATAGTTGTCTTCCATGATTCAATAAAATAATATATTTAAAATGTTTTTAAATATTAGTATTGTAAAGTATAAATATTTTTGTTGTATAATTGTATTGTATATAAATGAAAGTTCAAAGATACATACAAAACAAAAATTTCTAATTAAAATAACTTTAATATCATATTTTATATTTGTTTTGTTTCGTTAATAGATAATATTTATTTTACATATAAAATCCAATTATTATTTTATGTTAAAAATATTTTATATTTACTTATTATTATTTTTAAAAATCACAAATACATATAAACACAAGTTTTACAATTAAGTTAATATTAATATTTTAAAATTGTAGTTTCTTTATTTATTTATTTTTAATAGTTTTTAATATTTACTGATAAAATATTTAAAAGGAAATTAATAAATACTTGTTTTTTTGTATTTTTTTATAAAAAGTATATTTTTCTTTAAAAAAAACATTTATTATATACTCAACTAAATTATTTTTGTTAATGTCAAACACTTATATTAAAACTTTTTTTCAAAAAAAAAAATCATTTCACAATTTTTATATACTTTATATTCAATAATAACAAATACATGTAATAGTCATCTGCCGTTAATCACTAATAAGATTGTATATATATAAGTACAGTATATGTAATATACTTTTGATGATACTATTGATATAGACCTGCGCTTCACTATCCGACTCATTCATACAAAAAAATAAAAACAAATATTTTTATTCAATAATTCATTAAATTTTCTATAAATAGACTCTAAATAAGATTATTTACGATAAATTATGTAGAAATAACATTGATAATTTTATAAATATTATTAAATAATAAATAATAATAATAATATATTTGACAAGTTGATCTTGTTTTATTTTATTTTTATTTATTTTTATTTTGAAAATATTAAATTTTATTTTTGAGATTGAAACGATTTTATTATAAAAAGTTTAATTAGATACTATTGTTAATATGATATTTTAATAATATAAATAAAATTCTAAAAGATTTCGCATTTAAAAAATATTTATTATAAATATAAGCTTAAAGCATTTTTAAAAATATTTAATACTTTATTTTAATATCAAAAAAATTATATTCTTACATATAAATTACAATCGATAAAAATATTTATAAGTTACAAATTGTATAGTAATGAGAAATTTTTATAGTTATTAAAAAACATTACATCATTAATTATAATTTAAAGTATTTATATAAATATTTTTTATATCATATACAAGTAACTAAAATTTATTTTTTTATATTGCAAATAGATTAAATTATAATAAATCAATTAAATATATATATATATATATATCTGTTAAATTGACTTTAATATTGATTTTATTATTTACTTCAGAATTTATTTAACTCTAAATTCATAAAATTAAGTTCAAAATAGACATTTAAAAAATTTACAGTTTATTATCATAAATAAATACATGATATTAATAACAAAAACATTTTTTATATGATATTTTGCAATATTTACTTTAGTACACTTCTAAGAAAATAAATAATTTAAATTTAAAATATCTTTATTTTCGACTTATATTTTTAAAATTTCAAATATTTTTTTTATAAATAAGAAGTTTAAATTTTGTTAAATATAAATTATATTTAAAAATATATTTATATATATATATATTTCATCTACAAATTTGTGGTATTCGTCTAAATTAGCTCCTATTTTATTATATAAATTATCCAAAAATAATTATATATAAAATATTTTCATACAATAAAACAAAATTATTATAAATGATAGTTTTATTTATATTGTGCAATACATGAATGTTATTTATATTTAATATCTCTAGTATTCTTAATTATCCTTAAGTTTATTTTACTAACTTAATAATAAAAATGTTTAATAAATTTTATTTTTCAAAAAATAAAATCATAAATTTTAGTTACAATTATAAATAATTCTTTTATAAATATATTTTGTAACATTTGAATTATAAATGATATCTTTAATTATTTGAATAGAAACTAATTATGTAATACATTTAAATATAAATTAATTTGTCTCAGACTAAAATATATGTTTATAAAATTTTTCACTAAAAGTAAAAAATTATTTAATGCAAAATTAATTAATTGTTTCGTATATTAAATAAATTATTATATGAAAAGGTTAGATAGAAAGTTACAAATATTTAATTTGTTGATTTTTATATTAATTTTTTTCTAATCATAAGACATTAAATAACAATTATCAAATGTCTAGCATTGAAAATGTTTCTTTTATAGAATTTCCAATTGATATCAAATATATATTATTTATATTCTATACAAGTTTTTAAATAGCTATAAATAGTGTTTTATTTAGACATTTTATAATGTTTTTTTGTGTGTACATTATATTGATATTTATTTGCAACAATTTTACGTATGATAGATTTATATATATATATATATATATATACTGAAGATTTTTTTATTTAGCTAATAAATAATATATTTGACAAATCATGAGATTATATCTACAAAACAAAAAGGATATTAGCAAATGTCTATTAGTATTATTGATAGACTACATATACAGTTAATGTATAAATATATATTGAGTCGATAATATGTAATAAAATACAAACAAATACAAATACATGTTATATTTACTTTGATATAAAAAACTAAATAATTTGATTGAATTTAATAATAAATTAATGACATAGATTTAATGCGTTAACATAATCYCTATATTTTTATATCTATATATAAAGCGAATATAAATATATTATAAGGAAAAGTGAAATTTATTGATAAAATAAGATTATTAAATTGAATGGCATTATTGGTGTTCATTGATTTTGTTTAATTTAATAATTAGCTTATTATTAGTATATAATTACGTATATACAATATATACAATTTTAATTTGACATATTTTAATTTTATTTAAAACTTTAATCAAAATTATTTTCATATAATAATAATTATTATAAATAAACAAATATATATATATAACAATTTTAATTTATTAAAATAGTCTAATAAGTTAAATTTATAAAGTTTGCAATTGATTCTGATTTTGACAGTTAATAAAAAAAAATTTAAAAATAAGGTAAGATTTTTGTTGACCTTTTTTAGATCAATTTTTAACAAAATCAGTACAACTTTTTATTATTATAAATACACTATGAAATAAAAAAAATTGAATTTTAAATTTGATTATATTTTTTTAAAGAATAATTAATTTAAAATCTATAACATTTTTACTGTAATATTAACTTCAAGTAAAAAAAGATCTAGACTAATAAAAATATTATTTGTATACATATAGTGTACAAAATAATTTTAAAAAATAAAAAAAGTAACAATTTATATTTCAAATAATATTTATCTAATATGTTACGTAAAACAGTAGTTTTTAAGCCATATTACTATTATATAATATAAAATAATTTCTAAAAATAAGTTTCTTTTTTAAAAAAGTATTTTTCAATTTGATATTATTAAAAATCGGATGCTTTATTATAATTTAATATTTTATTTTTAAAATCAATATAAAATCATTAAAATTATTTTTATGTTCTATTTAATAATAAAATATAAAAAATTGGATATTTTTTCTTTTAATGTTATAATAAATTTGATTAAAAACAAACATAACTTTTATTAAATATTATTTAATACATATTTATGTTTCATGGTTGATATAATTTTAGGCAAAAATAAATAAACATTAATAGTAATTATATACAGTATATCAAAATTTATTTTAAAAAATAATTATATATGCTATTCATTGTGTTGTATAGATTAACAATATTACACAAACTTTTATACATAAACTATTTTTATTTTTTTAATATTATAATTAATTATAATTAATATACTTAATATAAAATTTTGTTAAAAATATTCATATAAAATATAATTAACTTAAATAGTATTTTGAAATATATAATAATTAATTAATTATACGGTTAGTATAATTTTTTTAACATATTAAATTTTTGTGTATATAAAATTCACTATATTTATTTTAAAAAAYAACAATATCTAATACTATAGTTATTTTTATTGGAAATAAATTCTAATTATTAATTTGTGTGATTTAACTAATTATTTAATTTACTAATTTTATCGATGTGTTTATTGTAGAGATGGGCCAATAGAAACTTTCTAATAAATTTCCTCAGAGAAAGTTTCTAGAAAGTTTCTAGAAAGTTTCTCAGGAATAAATTTCTATAGAAAATTCAACTTTATTGTTATGCTATGGGATCTGTATCTAAAGCTATTGTAATACTATATTAATGAGACATACTATACATATAATAATATACTATAATATATAGTACACTACTATACAAAATGGGATACCTATATACCGGGTATTTACTAACCTTTATTCAAATACAGTACTAATCAATGCATTGCTTATATAATAGTTGAATAAAGATTCGTATAACACATAAGTATAAAATAATTATAATTATTTAATAATCAGTTTTGTAAAATTTGACTCATTGTATTAWATATATACTGTATATATCATAGTTTAATATAATTAAACTAATAATTTTCTTTAATTGATAATTAAAATATTAATAATAATAATATTTAATTATTACTTATAAAATCAATGTATTGTTACAAAGATAATAAATATCTAGAGAACAAAATTAATGTGGATCTCATAGATAAAAATTTCTTTTAGAAACTTTCTAGAAATTTCTCTTTTTTTTGTCAACAATAGTTTATTGATACCTAATTCAGTCTCATTTTTTTGTTAAGTTGTTGTTTTGTTATGTTTCTGGTGGACAAACACTTGAATAGCACCCGAAGCTTATTTTGAAAGTCATTTTCATACAGCAATAGATATATGGATTATAACTTAAAAGAAAATATAAAAAAAAATTGAATTTTATTTTTCAATTTTTTACAATAATTTTCAATCTAACAGTGTAAACAATTTTTTCCTGTATCAATAAATTGAAAATAAATTGTAATATATATATATATTAGTATATATATAATGATTAAATTACAATCATATCATAATTCATAATCGTATTATAAATGTTTTATTTTGTAATTTTATTTTATAGCTAAAAGTTACAAATATTTTCATTTACAAGTTATTTAATTTATACATTAATTATAATGCATAAAAATTTATGAAAGAAATTTTTTAAAATTAATTAATGTAGATTTTTATTTGTTTTAAATAGTTTAATCTAATTATAATTTATGTAATATATTTAAGCAATTACTGGGTATAGTAATTTTATTTTATAAATTTTAATTATCTTTAAARATAGTTTATTACTATATTGTAAATATTGTACTAATACTAATAAAGAAAAAATAAACATTATTTAATTTTAAATACTACTTAATTTTTACTTAATATTTAAATTTTTCTGGAAACGATTTTTTATAAATGAAAAAAAACTTTTTTCTGGGTAATTTGAATTCAATTTTTAAAATAGAGTATTAATATGTTTGAATATATATTTTTAATCTTTTATACATAAAAATATTTAAATAAAATAGATTTTTAATTCAAAAATAATTAAAAATATAACTTTTTATGTTAATATAATACATACAGTATATAAATAATAATATACTATTATTAACCTTCACTTATAAGATTAGACTTAAAACTATTATTAAAATTATTGTTTATGTAAAATTCAAGTGATATTTTAGATTACAAATTAAATTAGTTAATGACAAAATAGTTATAATAATTTATATATATATTTATTGTATATTACATTTATTTAACTTAAATAACGTATTTTGATTAACCAAATAAATAACAGAATCCTTTTAATAATCATTAAGTTATGGAAAAATTAAAATATATAAATAAGAAAAACTTAAGCTAAAAGATATGGAAATTAAATCAAAATTGAAAAATGTTAATTTTAAATTTAGTATATAAATAGTTTATTTGAAAAATATAGCATTCAACATTAATATGTTTTTAGTTTATATTATAAATAAATTAAATTTTTTTATTATTAAAATATAAAAGAATCTTATTTTAAAATTTAAATCAACTCATTTGAATTATTTAACATTTTTAATTTATTATTGACAACAAATTAATCAACAAAATGATTGCAATAAAACGACAAAAGTTATTAAAAAAATGATTTTGTTATTAAAACATAAAATATAACTAAACACTAAAATAATTAATAGAAATAATTTATTATTATAATTATTAGATTTAATACAAAATATAATTACTCAATAAATATCATTGCATTAGACATTGGATAACAATGATTTAAAATGTATGGAAATTAACTGAATTTAATTATACCAAAACATACTAATAAATTATATATATATATTAATTTATTAGAAAATTAATAAAATATTACAATAAAAATCCAATTACTAAATCCTTTATTTAGTAAATTGACACAAAAGTGGACTCCATTGATATATGCATTGATTCAACTTAAATAATATTCTAATTCATTTGAATCAATACTGAGTCTAATGGAATCTACTTTAGTGTCAATATAGTGAACACATTATAAAACATTAGATCTAATATTAATTTTATGTATTTTCTATATTTTATCAAATATTTTCTTAATTTCCTAATAAAATCAAAAATATTATAAATAATTTATTTTTTGAAAATTTTATCAAATAATTTTGGAAATATCTTCTTTGTATTTGACAAATTTGATAAACAATTTTATTATATAATTTTCAAAGATATTAACAGTCAAAGTCTAGTACTTAGAGGTGTCCGGGATGTGTATATTAAATTGTAGAAAACAAATATCAATTTGTTTGAACATATCGTTGGTTAGTCATAAAAGTAGACTAACTAACAAAATCATCGATAATTTATAAAACATATTTTTTTAAAAGCCATCATAAGTTTGTAAAGTATAAACATCATATGAATAGTTAAACAGTTTATTGAATCAGTGTAACAATAATACTATATCAACTAATTAAATGGCCAGTTATGCATTAGTACAGGTGCTATATTGAACTGTATGTTTATAAACAGTTATCAACAGGTTTGGCAACTGACAGGTTTCCGATGAGTACATTAGTGGTCGTTCGGCACAATCGGTGTGATTGTAGACAACTTTGATTACCAATAGGGTTACCGATTAGCTATGAGACTATAATTGAGAATTAATACTAAATTAAACATAAATAACTTTATATTAGTTGTCAATGATTTGTTTTTTATAAATATAATTTATTATTATGATTGAAGTTTTATTGTTATTTGAAAAATTGATAACATTATGTCCTTTTTTTGATTTTTATTTTTTTTTGTTGAGATTATTATTATATTCTTTTGTTTTATTATTTATTTAATGACATAGATATTTCTCAATATATCTAACTTAAAAAAAAGAAAAACATGAGATTATCTATTAGATGTCTTTAATACACTAAATATTTTTAATAATAATAATAATAATAATACTATAGTATTTTCTACACTAAAATTAAACTAATATGATATTTGATATTTTTGCAGATGATTTATAAGGCAAACTAAAAATATCTATTTTAAGAATTTTAGATTAGTTTTAAATTAAGATTATTTATTGAACATTTTTTTATTATTATGTTTTAATATGTTATTATATTGTATTTATAGTTATTATTATTATTATATTATATAATACTCTTTCTCACTAAGAGTTGTTATTTTAGTATAATCTTAAGTTTATATCTACTCTAACAGTAATAACCAGAGAAATGAATTAATTATTTGTTTTGTTTCATTACTTATCTATTAGTGTAACCACTATAGTGTCTACAATAGACTTTATATTATTATTTATATATACACATTATACATATATTCAATGTAAATTTATATTCAGATATAACGGATACGTTTATTTATTTATTTTTTAGTTTACATGTTTTTTATATAAATGTTAAAATCATATGAGATTTTGCTCTTTTTTAACCCATTGTACATTTAACTAACACCTTTAATTAATATCCATTGTATCCAATGTATATAAAAGTATTTAATAATAATATTTAATATCATACTTATGTAAGTATTAGTTATCAAACATACAGAATATTCTGTCTTATTGTATGTGTGTGTACTATATATGTACAGTATATGTAATTTATATGTTTATGTGTAAGTGTGTGTGCATTTGTATTACTTAATTTGCATATATATTTGTGTTTGACAATTACTTTATTATATTAAAATAGTTTCCACTAACAAATATGCATTAAAAGATAATACAATTATTTTTGATGTGAAATTAGATAATTTAGGATAGCTTGAGAAATTGTATTTTACAGATAAATAAATTATTTAAAAAACACAATTGATGTGTACTATAATACCAACACTTAAAGATCTAATTATTTTAAGCATATTTATTTTACTTATATTAGATTTATTGATGCGAAATATTAATTATTTAGTATGTGATTACATTTTTAGAGATTTTAGTCAAAGATTTTTTTAAAAATAATAGTTTTTGACGTAATTCTAGTAAAATAACTATGAATTAGATTATAAAAAATTATATATTTTGGCTGCAAATGTCAGTTAATTAAATAACATTAATTACAAATTATACAACAATATTAAAGACAAATATAACGTTTTAATATTTAAATATTGTTTAAAAATTAATAATATGACTTTTATTATATGAGACATTAAAACATCTGATTAAGTGAGAGATTAATAATGTATAATAATTTATTATTAATATATTCAAACTAAATTATCAAACACTAATATATTAATGTATTATTATTATATTTATTGGAAGTCAAAAAAGATTATAGTATTTATTTAGATAATGTTTAACAAATCTAATTAATTTATTAAAGTAGAGCTTAAATTTAATAATCAAATATATTTTGAAATATATTGTAATAAATCATTTAAATTATTTTTTATTTAAATATTGAATATACATTAGGGTTTTTCACATATTACGTTCGCATTTTTTTAAAAGAAATCTAGACCCATCCCTCCTCTATGTTTGCAATTATTCGCATGTAGTCATTTTTAAAAATTTCGTTCACATGCCCCTAACCGCTAACCCCCCCTCTCCACCACTAAAAATAAAATATCTAAATGCGAACGTTCTTAAGATCTCTACCCCTCCTCCTCCTTTGCAAAAGTTCGCTTTGGCCGACCCCCTCCCCTAAAGTGCGGACGTAATATGTGAATCACCCCTTATACAGAATATTTTTTAATTATTTATAATTACTGAATATTTTATAGTATTATTGCTATCGTAGTGTAATACGAGACTATAAATTTAAAACTATTAATACATTTAAAAATAGAGTATTATTACTGTTTACTAATCATATACAGTATTAAATCATAAATATTTATAAACATGATATTATACAATATAGATATTTTAGTAAAAAGTTATAATAATTTCTAATCTTTTAGATGTTTTACAATATTTTACAATATGTATAATAAATTATGAAAATTTAAATAGTTCAATAATTTATTTTATTTACAAATATTAGAAAATTTATTTATTTCTAATATTATATTTCATTTCTAAAAGTAATACAGAAAATAACTAATATAATTATTTTAAATATAATGATAATAATAATAATAAAGTATCAGTAGTTGATATAGTAATAAATATGATACTACTATAAGTTAGATTCAACTATATTTAACTCTAATTCACAAAGTTTAAAACTCACAATAAATTGAATTATAGACTTACAAACTATTTTGAGGTAATTAAAATTTTAATATTTGTATTGTATTAAAAATAATTTCATAGTAAATGCAATATATATATATATAATATGTTTTTATTAACAAAAAAAATAATAACAACAACATATAATTATGATATAATTAAATGATGTACTAATGATGAGTTAACGCCAGTAAATATACCCAAAATTAGCGCCAATCCCGACATAATGCCGGCCGTCTCCTGATGTCTATCGATGACACCGCGGGGCGCGTACATCATCGCCAAACTGGACAGATAGCCAAACGACATGGACATGACAACTGTGCCAATCAGATAATACCAATCACTGGCCAATAGCACCGGTAAGTGTCTGTCAACATTTTCAGGTCGATAATTGCATAATAGAAAATAAGGCACAAACAAAATTCTTGCGCAACAATAAATCCATAGATATTTAGGTCCAGGAGTTTCTAGTTTTTGTGCCAAATAATTGCCTAAAGTTACCGATACATTGAAAAAGAAAAAACAAAATGTGGGCACAAAATAATTTCCATCAATTAATTGATTAATAGGCTTTATATCAGCCATTAGTGCCGGGAATATAGTTAACGTTAATGTATATGTGATGTAAATATTGATCAGTTGAGGCCATATGCGGCCCAATACGTGACAATATAGCCGTAATCCCGATAGGTTTTTGCCGGTAGTTATAGCTTTTGTAGTATTACGAGAAGTAATGTCTAGACCTTCAATGCTATCCAAAGTAATATTGTTATCATTGGATATCTCCTGAGATTTATTTATATTTCGGTTGTAATGTATGTAAAAATTCTGTTAAATATAATAAAAAGATATTTAAAAAATTAATATTTATTTATTTATTGAATTATTAGTTATTTAAAATTAGTTTATCGTATTAATTAAGTAAATTCAACTTTAAAAATATTAATTTAAAACCACATTTGCATTATTTGTATTTAGTTTAGTTTTCTCTAAAATCATTTTTAATTATTAATATTAAAATCAAAATAAAACTTACATTATTTTTTAGATAAAACTGCGATATGAAACATATGATAATTATGATGAGTGCCAATGAAAAGTAGATTATGCCTACAATACGTGGTGTAGGGGACAGGGCTATCGATACGATCATAAATATGGAGACTATAGTACCGCTGAGATTTGTGCCCATAACCACAGCGTTTGTGTATTTCATCGGCAATTTGGCGGCCAAACCAAAGTTACAGCTCTGAAGTATACCGGTTCCCGAATTGATTACTACTGCCGATGTCATTGTCAGCCAGAAAAACCCGATCGGCCAACCGTTTGTATCCATTACGGCCAACACAATGGTAAACAAAAATACCAGTGCTTGCAATAAAAGTGCCGATGAAATTCGTGTAGTAAGTGATCCATAACTATTAAATGATATAATTAATGTTAATTATTGTTTAATTATTTTTAATTTGTATTATATGATTATTTAGTAATATTTTATTTTGCATACGATTTATTTGTAAACAAATTGAGAAACTGTAGGCAAACATTTGGAGATATAGATGCTATACCCAGGTATGACAAAAAATTTGATCGGTAATTGTCCAAATCATGTGCCGATTCATAATCAGTTAAATTGACTTTTAGTTTGTAGTCAACAAAATACTAATATTTAAAATAATCATTAATTATTTTTTAAAAAACATTTTATTCAAACTTATTTAATATTATTTTTAATAAATAGATAAAAATATTTTAATTTAAGTTAAATATCATGTTGTTATTATTATGTTGTTTATATTAAAAAGGAAAATTTTAATTTAGGTCATAAATTTGATTAAAAAAATAAAATTATTAAAGTTATTAATAGACTATATAAGCTAATGTGTCACTTTCAAGTGTGTTAAAAATGATCAATTTTATTGATTTTTTAAAACTCTATATTAAATTAATATATCATTGAATATTTAATTTAAATTAATTGACTAGATTTTATACTAAACAATACTATATAATAATAATAATAATACTATTTTTCTTAAAATTATAATTATAATAACATAATTTTATTATAATAAAATCATATGATATAATCAAATAGATTTTTTAATTAAAAATATATCGTAATATACTAAAATTAAACATGGTACATAATATATTTCTAATTAACTATTTATATAAATATTGAAACAAAATTAGCATATACTTACACTATCTGCATTAATTAGCATATTCCATGGTAATAATGTACCAATGCCATTTATAAGCAAAATAATATAAACAAAGTTGTATCTATTAACAAAAATAATTAAAATATTTTTTTTCAAGTAAATTAATTTTGTTTGAAACACTTTACTTATCAATCGGAGTGTTGTTATACATGTTATATTGATTTTGTTAAGATATATATATATCAAACTAAAAAAAAACTTAATAATTAAATTTGCATTTTAATAGAAATAGTTTTTAGATATATTATGCTAAGTTTACAATTACATAACGTTATTCAATATAAAATTTTTGTTTATGTTTGATTTTCTTTTTAAACAAATTTTGTTATTTTATAACATCCGACTGCTTTTAGTCAAATGTTTTTATAATATTTTTGTAATTTATTTTATGAGCCATAATTGGCAGATATACATACATATCACAATGTTTATAATTTTATCATACAAATAAAATAATAATCTTAAATTTATTAAATATGTTTGGTTTGGACTGTAATTGAACTAATCAATAGAAATTTATTAATTAAAAACTTTTTTTTTAAATATAAAATACACACTATTTATTATATTTTTATAAAATTATAAAACATACAAAAAGTATTATTAAATGTATATACTTTACATTAAATAAATAACAAAAACTAGCAAATTATAAAAAATTATTTTAAAAGATTTATTTTAATTAAAAACAATTATACTATTAATGGGTAAACCAATGAAAAGTTAATACCCAACAAAATGCCTAATATTATGGTTAGGGCTGCCATCATGCCGGCTATCGATGCGTAACCGGGTTGCACACAACGGGGCGCATACATCATACACAAGCTGGACAGGTAGCCGGAGGACATGGCCATAGTAACGACACCGACAATAAATATCCAGTCATTTTTAATGACAACCGGTAGAGATCGGTTTACATTAGTTGGTTGATAATTGCAATATAGAAAAAACGGTATATATAGTAGACGTAATAGTGTAAAAATAATCACATAGTTAGGTCCTGGCCGTTGAAAACGTTGGGCTATAAAGTTGCCGACAGTGGCAAACATATTGAACGCTAAAAAACAAAATACCGGAGAAAAGTATTTCTCGTTTAGTGTGTTGTTCATCGACTTGATATCGGCTATCAGTGCCGGGAATAGTGATAGTGAGACATAATAAATGAGTATAATGTTCAACAACTGTAGCCATATCTTGAATAATACGTGCTTATAGAGGGCAAGACCTTTCAGGTCATCCGTGTCTTTAATATTATTATTACTATTGTTTTTATTGTTTGTTTTGTTGCTGTTATTAATATAATTGTTTGCCTCAATTTGATTATCATCGACAAGTATTAGTCCATCTGATGTCTGATCTTTGGCATTGTTGTCGAAGATTTCTGATTCAATCTTTTTTTCCGTATGATATATGTAGAAAGTCTACCAATAATAGAAAAAATATTTATTTTTTAAATATATATATATATAATTATAGCACAGGTAAGCAATTATTTTTTTTTAAATCAAATAATATATAATAATAATTACATTGTTTTTAATGAAAACCTCTGAGATTACACACAGAATTAGTATGAAAACAGCGCACGAAAAGAAGATAATGGCCGCCACTCTGGCCGACGGCGAGACTGCAATCGAGCCGATCATAAACAACGAGGCTATGGTTCCGCTTAGATTCATACCTATCGTAATATATAGTTATGCCAACAAATAAAAATCAAATATTTAGTAATATATATATATATAGATTTTGTAGAAAGTTTTTTTTGTGTGACCACTATTTCAATACTGACCAATGGAAACGGCATTAGTGTATTTCATTGGCAATTTGGCCGCCGCCCCATACACACAGCCCTGATAGACACCGTTGGCTACATTGATGACCACTGCCGACGCCATTGTTAACCAGAAAAATATTTCGGCCCATTCCGTCGTATCGATTATTGCCAGTATTATCGTAAATACAAATACTAGCGCTTGGATTACAAGTGTTACTGTTATTCTCGTTGATAGCGATCCGTGTCTATTGTGTTTTGTATTATAATTATATATTATTTATTTTTTTTAATAATATATTTTTGTTTAATATACTATAAATATAAACTTAATAAATTTAGTAATGTTTTATTTTAAAAAATTGAATCAATTGTTTATTAGTCTGTACTTTCAATGACATTTTCCTGATGTCATTAACTGATAATATTTATAAATGATATTAAATAAATGTTTATATTATTAATCATATCAATTGAAAAAAATTGTAAAATTGATAAATACAACTCCAATAATTTACAAATAAAAATTGAAAAAGCCCTGACTAATAATAATAATTAATTTAAATTAATATAAATTATATATGTATTATACAAATTTTATATTTGAGATCTACATCCTAGTTTAATATTTTAATATCTAAACTTATTGTGATTCAATTAATATGTGAAAATATAGTATTATTTATATAAATAATATTTATAGTAATATTAATAAAATACTGTTATAGATAATAGTGTATTTGATGTTTTGACATTTACTAAACTAAACATTTTTTAATTTAATTGATATATTATATAATTGATTAAATAATACTTTATTTACTATAATTGTGATCTAAATATATTGCTATTTAAAAAATGTATTATAAATATAATATTCAACACTGTATTTAATTAAAAAATAGATATGAGATAATTTTTTTTGTTAGAAATGTTATATTTTAATAAATATTTATGATTTAAAATATTATTTAATACTTACGATGTATTAGCAAACAAATTGATAAGTTGTAGCAAAATATTTGGCGCTTTTGAAGCAATACCCAGATATGAGAGAAAGTTTGTCCGAAAGTTATCTAATGTTGGGCTTGACTTTGGCACTGATAGCTTGTAATCTACAAAATACTTGTTTTTTAAATAAATAAAATAAAAAAATTATTAAATTAAAAATTGATTCATTTTTTATACATTTGATTTATTATTATATAACAAATAAACATCGAAATAATTTTTATTTTATTTTATAATTCAATTAAAATATTTGATTTATTTCAATGTACATTATTTTTTATTATATAATAAAAAAATTTGATTTTAATTATTTAATTAATAATTATAATATCATTATTAAATATCAAATTATTAATTTTTATGCAAATTAATTAAGATTTATAAACTACATTTTAAAATATATATTACTAATTTTAAAATGTAGTTTATAAATCTTAATTAATTTGCATCAAAATTAATAATTTGATATTTAATAATGATATTATAATTATTAATTAAATAACTAAACTGTAATTATTAAAATATATRTTTGTGTATTGCTACAAAATATTGTAACATTCAATAGTAACTTAAAATATTCATATAAATTAATATATTAATTAATAAATATATAATTTCTTATCATTTTTAAAATAAATACAATTAGATATAATTCTTTGATAATTATTAAGAGATAAATTAGTTAATTAATTAATTATCTTAATAATGTTAATTGACATCAATGACCACCAGTACAACAGTTATTAAGTGGACAGTTATCAGTAATTATGATACTTTTTTGAGTGTCTTTTATCATATATTAGTATAATATATGTATTATTGTAAAAACAGTCATATATTAAAAGTAAATGTCTATTATTTAGATTATTATATCACAAATATAAATTATATTAACTTTAAACATATAACATACAATATTATGTTGGAAACAATTATATTAAATAAAAACATAATCATTAAAGTGTCCAATTATTAAGGACATTTTTGTTTAACRGTTAGCCATTGATGTCAATTTAAAAGATCATAATAAAATTAAAATTATTTCATATATTATAATAATCACTAAACAAGTAAAATAATGTCAAATGTCAAATAAAATTAGAAACTATTTATAATTCATAATTATTTAATTTATATAAAATTAGTAAAATTAATAATAATATAAAAATTCATACACTATTTGCATTGATTAACATATTCCATGGTAATAATGTACCAATGCCATGTAGTAATAATATTATAAAAACAATGTAATACCTTTAGATCATAATAGAAATTAATTAATAATTAATTAAATTATTTTTTTGGTTATACAAACCTATCATAGGGTATCGTTTTTGTTATAGACGATGTCATAATTATATTTAATATTTGAAATTAATTTACTTATTTAACAACAAATAATTAATTGCACTAAACTATTGGAAAATAAAAAAAAATAAATTATAACAAATTAGAACAAAATGTTATTTAATAATAATTAATTTATTGTATTTATTGATAAGTAATAATTGTGAAATTTTTGTACAATATATCATATACAGTATGAGTTATTTACCACTCAAATCAATACTATGATAAATAATACAATAAATATATAAATTATATGCTATTTTACAGTTATCATTTCGTATTATACTTTTAAAAAATTAATATAATATTGTATAAACTGTCTTATATATACAGTAGCACTTATAATAGTAATTATCGCTAACTGATCACACTTTTTATATAAAGTTTTTCAAAAGTTGCTTGTTTAATACAATCAAATTTACAACATAATTGATACGTTTATTTATTTATAAATTATTAGTTTAATACAATATTTATAAGATTATTATGGTTTTAAAAAAATATTTTAATCTGAATTTTTTCATAATAAATAAAGTATACATTCAACTGTATTTACCATTTGTATTGAAACTAATTGAAAAATTATTATATTTATTATTAGTATTAATTATTATGATATTTATAAATAAAAACTTTTCTTTTTTAATATTCTTCTAATTAGATATCAAATTGCAAATTAAACAGAAATGTTTTTGTCAATTGCTATGTTTTGACATAAATAATAATAATAATCATTGATATGAATACTTTTACAAATAAAATTGTTTGTATTGATTTGTCAATAATTTTTAAATAAATCTTATGATTTCAGTTATTAGTTTAGTAATAAATATATAATTTTACTAAACAATTGATTCAATTGTAATGTTTTGTTTTTATTAATAGTTAACAACATAAATGTTTTATTGTTATTATTAACTTAAATAACATAACTAACAATCATTAGCAACAGTAGTCATTTGAAAAATTAATTAATTAACCAATAATAAGAAAATATTTATATAATTAAATTAACTAACACAACTATTAACTATTAACTAATAACTATTACATTTCTATAATATTAATATTGCATTAAAACATTTATTAAACTAAACAAAAGTTTTATAATACAAATATTTTATTATTATTTATGATGTATAAGTTATTTAATTTTTAAAAATAAATTATTTTTTACTTTACCATTTTTAGTACATTTATTAGTTATTTATTTATTTGATAACATTTAAGATTTAAATATATCAATTAAATTATGGGATTATAAATTGCTTATTAAGTTATTGTAATCAATAGAGTATAAGATATATTATGTATATAACCCCCCAGATTGTCATGAGATTCAATAATTAAACATAAATAAGTAAAAAAATAATTAATACTTACAATAAAAATATAAACAATATTAATAGTTTTGTAACCGATTTTGTAAAAATTTAGTATATTGTAAACTAAATAATATAAACAGTATTATAAATTTATACTTAAAGTTACAATAAAAAAATTACTTTAATTATATCAAAATGTAATTAAATAAATTATTAAAGTAAAATGTTTCAAGATTATTTGAAACTAGATCTTTTTAATATACCAATTGTCATACTGTTATTATCATACAGTATTATAGTTTATTTTACRGTTTAGAAGTTTTCATTATACAGTATAAACATTTATTTATGATATGATAACTAATAAAAACAGTTATTTAAATTTTAATTTACAGTAATATATATATAAATTTATATATTGACACTTTTCAATGTAAAATAAATTAACATATATTTGATTTGTTTATTCATAGATAATATATTGTATAAATAAAATATTTAGTATCTTATAATTGTTAGTTAATAAATCATATGATAAGTAAAATTAGGTTTCATATTCTATAGAAATTATATAATATGTTATAATAATATATATTTTTAAAAAAGTAAAAAAAATAGAAAAATATTTTATGTAAATTATTCAAATTTAGTTTTACAATTTTCATCATAATTATAATAAGATTACAATTATTATATTATTTTATGATTAAAAATGATATAAATGTCATTTGTTTTTATAAATAAATACTAATTTTTTTAYTGACATTAATCCTAAATATGGGAAATCCTTTTCCTTGAGTTATGACAACAAATTATTTTAGTAATACTAAATTATCATTATCACAATTATTATTATTATTATRTGATAAATTAGTTACTATAAACATGTTTCAAATTTTATTTTATATTCAAATATTATTTTATCATTTTTAATCAAATTTTATTTTATATTAAATTATTCACAAAAAATTGTTATATATTTTCTTTAATAAATGGATATAACATATATTCCTATGTTAGACAAATGTTTAAAACTAATTGTCGAAAACAAACAAATAATATTAATAATTTTAATCCTATCTATTGCTACATTTTTAACAAGTATTATAAGTTTGTGTTATATAAACTTTAAAAGAGACAATAATTCAATAAGAAATTTGAAAAAATTGGATGAAAATCGTTTACTATTAAATGATAATCAACTCAAACGGTTTGCTATTATACATAAAGAGATGAATCCATTATCAATGTATCGAAATACTCAATATTATTATTAGTAATAATTGTGTATAATTATTATATAATAATAATTTAAATTGTGATTATTGTAATATATATATATTTTTATTTATGTAAATAAATCTAAACATACAAATTCTGTAATAATATTAAAAAATTAATTTGTTTTTATTTGAAAAATTAAATATTATTTCTATTTTTTTGGATTACCGATAAAGCTGTTTAAATATAGTTTTTTTTGTTGCTTAAAAACCAACAATTGTCAGAAACATTTAGCGACCAACCGATACATAAACACCTTTTTTGTTATTAAACTCAAACAATTGATTGTCTGAATCTCCCTGAGCCTCGTCGTCGTAGACATCTCTGTCTCCGTCGGCCGACACCACTATTGGTCTCTTTCGTGTATCGACACCAACGTTGACGAAACCATTGAGTACAGTGAGTGCCAGCCGAGTGCCGCCGTTACCTGTTTTCAGACCCATCCGGAAGATTCGGCTGTTTAAACAAAATAATAATAATTATTATTAGATTATAAATATATTTTACAATAGTATTAGTCAATTAATTAAGTGTTAATAAAAATTTAATAATTATTTACATACCCCAGGTCAATGCCGACATTGTGTTCCCGGGGATCAGTAGTTTGTTGGGCCCAACTCATAGTTATTAAAATTAATATTGATATAAATATCAAACTAAACTTATATTGATTTGACATATTAAAATCAAAAATATTGTCGATTAAAAATTTAAAGTCAAAAATTATTTAAGCTACTAAATGTCGGAAAAATTATTGAATAATCTATATGTTTATTATTTTTGATAAAACTAATTAGTTTTCTAAAATCACAATTCAATTGAAATAATATTTCCCAATAAAAATATATATATACAGTCTATAATTAAAATCAAATATTTGCACTTAACTTTGAAAAAAGTTGTCACGAAAATATTGTTTCACTAAAAAAGCAAAAATAAAAAAATCAAATTTAATTATATAAATTATTTTGCGATTATAAACAAGTTCTGGTATTTCAAGTTTAAGTATCATCTCTTAGTTGTAAATAACGTAAATATGTAGCAATTATTATTCAATTTTTAAATCATTTAATCAACAAAAAAAACACGAAATACTAGAAATACAGTTAAAAAAACTAATTCATTTGAAAAGTAAAAACCCAAATAAAATGTTTTATATTTCTAATTAATTTTTGGAGTTATCTAACAGTAATTGCATTTGTAAGCAGAAAAAAGTTTTTAACTATTTATAAAAAGTTTTATATTAAATAATAATTTTAATTATTATTGATTAAGTATTAATATATTTATTCAAACATTTGTATAATTATGAAATGGACATAAACAGGGACAACACCAACAACAACAACCTAACCAATAGTTACGCCGATCTTTACTACCGGTGCTCTGAGATTCAGTATCAATGGATTCAACTTCAATGGGAATCCAACTCTTTTGTCTTAAAAGTAAGAACTCTTCCCTTTCGAGTTTCGGTCGACTTTTCTTCACTTGACTTGTTATAGCATTTCGTAAACTATTTTTCAAATGATTTTCTGGTTGTTGTTGTTGTTTAGTAGGAGTGGCCGTAATGTTAACCAYYAAAATGCGGCCAAAACTAACAATACGTTTCATAGCGTCGGTTGGATCGCAACAGACACTGAGTCCAACTTTTTCAAACCGATTTCTGACCAATTCGTCCATTTGTCTGCTCTGTTCGGGCGAGAAATAGTTCAGCCAATCGCCGATTACGCCCTCAAAAGAGGCCGCTTTCTGGTTGGTGTCCACTGATAGGTCTACCGTTTTGTACATATTGGCCGCTTTCGGTGCTTTTGTCAAATGGTTTAGTATAATATCATTTATATCGGCGTCTGTCAGATCATAGCCAAGAAAGTCAACAATTTGTTTGGCCGTACCGTAAGTTTCCTGAAGATAATTGCAGAACAAAAAAAACTAAATAAATATTTTTCTAATTTTAAAATAACATTTAATATTATTAAACTAATTATTTTAATACAAGTTTGATATCTTCATAGCYAACAAACAGTACATTATTTGGATAAGTTTGCAATAATTGCCAGTATTGTAGACAGTGTTCAAAGTGATCGCCATAAAGCAGATGACCTTTCATATAGAGATCAATAAAGTCATCAAAAGAGGATAGTATGCCTTTTACCCGATGATAGTAATAATATGAGACGGCATGATCTTTGGGGTTACGCAATAAATAAATAACCTAGATAAATTAATTTGTAATAATAACAATTATAAATAGTAGTCAATATTTTCTTTAAAAAAACAATGATTTTAATTACTTTACAAATTGGATTCATTTGGACACCGTTTGGCATGAGATCTAGCGGTAAGTTAGCTGATAGTAGTCGCGGTCTTTTGAGACTATTAAGCCACCGAAGGTGACCGTACGGGTGGGCCACCTCTAGTTTGCCCATTTGTGCCGTACGTTTCCTATCCGACGGTAACTTCTCGTTCAATCTGTCCACTAGTTTGACCAGTAATTCTTCGACAATAACTGAACCGGACTGTGGATACGACACAAGAAACACATCCGATTCGCGAACCTCCAGATCTTCGATATCGTCCAATACTTTTGAATGTATGACATCTCCAGGCAATTGATAGCCTTTGTATTGAAGTATTTTGGGAAACGACTCCAAATAGTCCGTCCGTTTGGCACAGTTATCAATGAGTGATTCATTTTCATTTGATGATTGTTTTTGTTGACACGATTTTTGGCTGTTTCTGAAACTTAACTTTTTTATTGAATTTGTTATGCTTTTCATTGTGTTTTTCAACAATTAACAAATAAAATATTAGTTATATTTAATTAATATTTTGTTGAGAAAAAGTCTAAATGTTTACTTAAAAATTTTACATTTTATTTCTAATATTAAATACTAATTAATATAGAGTTTTACAAATAATATAATAAATATTACTATAATAAAGGAAAGTTGTGTATCCGCTAATGAAAATAACACTTCATTAGTATCTAAATAAATAAATGTCATTTAATTTTGTGTAAAATATATTTTTCCAAAAATATCAGTATTGAGAGGATATCATAAAATGTCAGAGTATTATAGAAATAAAATAATATTTATATTTAATTGTTTATGATTTAAAAAATTTCTATTAACCTTGATTGATTTTCTAATAATTTTAAAAAAATAAAATAATTGTATATTAGTTATTGCTCAAGATTTTTATTTTACATTAATAAAAATATTTAATAAATTATATTATAAAATATTTTTTAATTAATATTTGTTTAGGGCCAATAAACGCATTTATGTGTCTAAATAAATACAGTATAGTAATAAAATTAAGTAAACTAAATAAATTTTAGTTAAATATATACTGGGTCACACATATAGTTAAAAAATATGGCAAGTGTTTCAAATTAGCCAGTTGCTAGCTAAATATTATATTTTGTATATGTTTATAAAGTAGTACATATTTTTAATACTAATATTTGTAATATTATAATATTGAAATTACTGACACATTTAGATATTTTAACAAATCATATATCATTTTATTATAATAAACATATTTAATTTTTTTATAACAAAATATTTTTTTTAAATATTTTTTTTCGGTTAAATCCGATTTATTAAAATGATTTCTGTAATGAACATATAATAATCTCCAAAATAATAATAATAATAATCACAAACTGATAAATATGTTAGATATTTGCAAATTTTTATTCATATTTTTATTGTTTGCATCAATTAATTTGATTGTATCGGATGATCCAGTAAACACTGCCAGTGCTGGTTAGTCATATATATATATATATATTTATTATAAACAATTTAATATTTCATTTATTAATACTATTTTTTGTTGTTGTTTTTRTATATATCTTAAAGATACAAATATACAAAATGCCAATAATGATAACAACGACAACAACGATAACAAYGAYAACAATGAATTGCAAAACAACGAAACCGATACATATACCGGTGTCGACAATGATGATCAACCAGTCGAAAGAGAGGGCTGGCAGGTCATAGCCAGTGATAATCCTCCGCCTAACATAACAGTGCCAACTGGACCGACATTACCGAAGCTTATCGAAATTAGGTTAGGAGACAAACCCATTGGCAGCAAACCAATTAGYAGCAAATTGACTAATCATTTGACGGCAGCGGTATTGCCCGGAAAGGATATGAACGAAAAAAAGTTAAATCTTAAACAAATAAATGAAAAACATATGTCCACTCGGGTGGCATTGCATCAGACAATTGAAGCCATATATAATTGTACACAAGACTCGGTACTGTCAATACTGACAATGAGGACCGACTTTGACAACTATTTAACCTGTAATCAGGTCCTGGATATTAAAGTTGATACCACATTGAATGCCACAATAAGAGTGGCCAACAATCAGACAACACCTGTCACTGCTTACGATTCCAACGTTCAGATTGTCTTTTTCAGAGGTATTATCTCCTAATTTTGTATTACATTTTTATTTAATAACTTTGATTTTAATTTAATAGGCAATCAAATGTATTATACAAGTGCTCGCATAGATAGTGGTTACTGTGAAGGCGATAAAATTACAATATTGAATGTAGGTATGGCCCGAAAGGGTGGCTGCAATGCCCGATCGGGAGTCAGACAAGTGGTCTCCGAATATGCACAGTTGACTATTGCTGGCAATTGTCGGTCGACATGTTTTGGTGATGTCCAGGTGTCCATAACACCCGGTGTCAGAAACTATTGATTGATATCAAATAAATTCAAATATTTGTTATATTTATTTTTGTTTATCATTACATTTAAAATTCTAATAAATATGATGTTTTGAAATTTTTAATTTATTATTATAATATCTATTATATTTATGATTATATTATGGATATAATTTATAGATAATAATGTTTATTAAAAACCCATATTTTTAAAAATGTTTGTTGAATTRTTATAATGTATGCATTTTATTAAACAGTATTATTATGCGGAACTAATGATAATTATTATTATGTTTTGTTATAAATACAACTCTAAATAAAATAAAAATTTGTTTAATTAAAAAAACTGTTTCACAAAAAATAACATTAATTACTATTTTAATCAATCATTTATTGATATTATTTGTATTTAGTAATTATCMAAAAAATGTATTTGTATTTATTATTTGCTTCAATAGTCACTATTTATTTGCCGACACCATCGATGTCTGCCGGCCGACGACCGATAGCTATGGAACAAACTTTTTGCGGACTCATGTTTGCCGAAGAGTTAGAGGCCGTCCAGACTATCGATCGTCGGGCCAGTGCTCAGGCATTTAATGTATTATTTTATCAATATTTTATCAAAAAAAATAAAATACAAACAAAAATATTTTATCTATTAATTATTTAAATGAATAGATTGGTCAAAACGGATCACTATGTATAACAACGTGTCGTATCCTAAGTCGTGGTAATGTCAAACTTTTGGATCCCGTTCCCACTCCAGACTTTATATTTTGTTCATCCGGTCCTCAAGTGAGTACACAAAAAACATTACTGTTTTTAWATGTTTTTTTATTGAAAAATATATATAWAAATATCTATTAAGTTTATATCTATTTGAAAACAAAAATAATTAATTTTATTACTATTATATAATAAATTTTATTATACCAAATATATTTCAATAGTACTGTTATAAAGGCAATTGTGTTAATCGTAAACAATTGACAACACTATTAAAGAAAAATAGAAATAATTTACTAAACAATGGTATTAATAATAATGGTGTCAAAACAGGTAACGATAATAACAATAATAATAAAAACGGCACAGATTTAAGTAATGTTTAGTTTGTAATTAAATATAGTTTTTTTTAGTTAAAAAATATATACTATTTATTTATATAAAAAAAATCATATAACATAATATTTGAAATAATTTACTTATATAAAAAATTATTAGCTTATTTATTAATTTAATAGTTATTAAATAGTTATAAAAAACACATTTTATATATTTTTAACTATTTATTTTATTAAAAAAAATATATTTTATTGTATTTTTAAAAAGTAATTATAATCAAATTAGTAAATACAATGAACTAGTGCAATTCAATTATTTATTATTATTTATGTAATAAAAATTTTTACTTTAACATGAATAAAATGACTTATTTTAATTTATAAAATTATTTATAAAAATAATTGACAACAATTGTTATAAATATTTTGTTAAACAGCGAAACTAAATAAGTCTTTTAATAAAACATTTGTATTGAAAACTGGTTTTTATAATAAATAATAAAAAAGTAAATAATGTAACCATGGCTATTTATAGTAAAAATTCAGTTATTAAATAATAATATATAGTAATAATAATAAAATAAATACTTTTACAATAAATGTTATCTAATATTTTAAGATAAATATTGCATTAAAAAATAAATTATTTAATAAAAATACGGTATAAAAATACAATAACTTTACTACTAGTTAAGTCATACATTAAATATTTACAAGTTATTAATTAAATATTTTTTATTACAATCAATAGTTTAATAATTATTTTCTATCAATTGATTTTTAGTTTATTAAAATTTCAAAATTATAAAATTAAATTTTACCTATTTTTTGAGTATTATCTAAAAATGTGTGATAATTATACCTTATATTTATCATTAATATGTTAGCATTTAATCCATTAGATGTTTAAAATCATTTGATTTCAAGCACTAAATAATTGTTTAAATTGTCTAAAATTGTTTTCAAAACAAATAATGACATTAAGATCACTATAATGTAGATCCAGGCGTAACAACACAACTGTCTGTCCAATTGTTTCAACGATGCAATACTACTATTATTATTGACTGATAATACTGATGGCGGGGGTGACGGTGTAGTTACGAGCACCTGTTGCATGTAGTAGTACTGATGCACCGGTAGGTAAGTATGTATTTCATCATCTGTTATGTAATCCGTTTTGCTGTCCATTATGTGTGAGTTGTAATTATTTGTGATATTTGTCGACACAATAATAATTTGGTAAAAATATTATTTTGAAAAAAACAATAATCTCTATAATAATGATTAACACCTTATATATAAAATATATTTTTAATAAATTTTATAAAATTAAAATCAATAGCTGTTGTCAAAAGTTTGAAGAAATTGATATTAAAAATTAGTTAAAACACATCAATATTGTAATATCACTATAAATGTCATCAAAATGTGTGATAAACGTGTTTATAAATGTTTACTTTTTAAATAATAATAAAAATCATTACATAATTATTAAATCGCTTTAAGTTTTGTCATCAACTGTTAGATGACATTAACATCTGAGAAGTTTTTCAGTAATTTCTGAATATTTTTTTTTTGTATATTACATTTACACCATTACTATATATATAAAATATTAAAGTCCTTCAAAATACTTGTAATTGAGTTTTATATTTCTCAAACAAAACAATATAAAGTAACAACAATTATATATGAGTTTAGATTTTAAATGATATGTCAAAAAATAAAAATAAAAAATCTTTTCCACACAATTGGCACTAGAGAGCGAAAAGTTTCGGACCCTTATTTATTATATTTTGACTATCAAGCGACTGACATCCAGTACCTGATCTCCAGTGGATGATTCAAAAATTAATTTGAAGGATAGGTTTTGATTATTAATTTTAAAACAATTTTTCACAATATTTCCACTATTTATAGAATTTTATATCATATCTTTAAAAAATTAAATATTTTTATAAAAATAAACTTTAAATGTTTATAACTTCAACTAAAAAAAAAGATGAGTTTATCAAACATATGCCAAATACTGTTAGGTTTGATGTGTTGTTAAGGCACTCCAGTGGATGATTCAAAAACAATTTGAATAGAATTATTAATTTTAAAACAATTTTAATACTATACTTTTATAGAATTTTATATCATATCTTTAAAAAATTAAATATTTTTATAAAAATAAACTTTAAATGTTTAGTTTTTATGCCAAATACTGTTAGGTTTGATGTTGATGAATATCTTTATTTGTGATACTTCAACTAAAAAAAAGATGAGTTTATCAAACATATGCCAAATACTGTTATAATGTTAATAAGGAAAAAATAGCTTACAATATATCACACAATACATTACAATCTTTATTATTATTAATATATGTGTTGTAATAGTCAGTCACAGTGAGACAGACACATGAAATGCGTGATAATTGAGTGGTTTTGTTGTTATTGTGGTCTCTCTCTCTCTCTCTCTCTCTCTCTCTCTCTCTCTCTCTCTCTCTCTCTCTCTCTCTCTCTCTCTCTCTCTCTCTCTCTCTCTCTCTCTAAATGTACTTTCAAAATACAAATGAACCCATAAATGACATAATATTTAGACAAAAATTATATTTTGTTGAAATAATACGGTTATTAGCGTTTTTTTTAATAAATATCTATACATATTATTATTTAAATGTTTAGAAAAAAAGTAACCCAATTGACAAGTCATGTATATTTTCTGATTATAATATTTTATGTTAAAGTATGATATATTTTGTTTATAAGTTAAATACAATATAATGATTTGTCTATTAGTATATGTTATGAAATATACGGTATGTCTCTCCCACTCATAATCTTTCAATATTATGATAAATGATACGAAAATAATTATAGATTTTAAAATATGATTTTTGAAATTGACAAAATTGTGTTATCAAAATATTTGCATAAATAAAAAATAGTAACTAATTTTATTTTTTTAATATTATAAGATTACTGTTTATATGTATATTTGCCAAACTTAAGTTTTAGCAATAAAATTATTTATTCATTTAACAAAATTTATCACTTAATTAATAAATAAATATTTATAGTTAAATTATAAATTTATCATTAGTAGTTTACAAGTTTGCTAAAAGTAATATATTTAATTTAATTTTATTAATTATGCATATTTTATTAAAATATTATAATTATCATACTTTAAATAAAACTCACTAAAATATAATACAGTAGTGTACTAATAATGTACTAAAACTTTAACTTAAAAATTTGTTAATTCTAATAAAAAAATTAAAAATATATAAATACTATTTTTATTTTTTAAAACTTTAATTATTTTAATTTTATTAATTAGTTTATACATTTAAATTATAAATTAAAACATTAACAGTAATTTCATTCACATAATTATTATTACAGTTGTCTACAACTTTTAAAAAACTAAATTTCCTCAATTTTTGTAATTTATTTTTATTAAAGTAAATAAATCATTTAAATACATTCCACAGCTATATGTAATAATAATATTATTGTAATTATATTGCATTTAAATAATAGGTTATATAAAAATATAATATGATTCATATTATAATTTTAGTAAATTTGAAATAATTATTGGAAAACTTGATTGAAATTTTTTTTTAAATTGAAGCTTTTATCAAATACACTATTATTAACACAATTTTAAAAATATGTTATAATCAACAACAGATTTAAAAAAAACAACAAAAACAATACATTAAAATTTTATTTTCTTACAAAAAAGGATAAAAGAAAAATATCTTTAAATAAAAAACAACAATAAAACATACATACAGTATATAAATAACACTAAATATAGTTTGTGTGTTAAATCGTAGATCAGGTTTTTTGAGATGAGTTTTACAATACATTTTGATTCATACAATTTAATGCCACAAATATGGGTCATATTATGGGTAAAGAGTTTTTTTGGGCGCTAAGTGTTGTCTGATATCTGAGAAACACTAATATTGGAAATGTTTTGTTAAAACTTTTTTTTCAAAGTGAAGTTTATTTATTTTTTACTGATAAATGTTATCGAAAATAATGTTTTTTACAATTAGTTTTTCAGTAATTTGAATAATTATTGTATGCTTTTATTGTATGTAATATTATGTTTATTAATTGTCTATCACATTGTTTTTGATATAATATTGTTATGTTTATTTGTTTTTGAGTTAATTATTTAGTTAATTAAAATGTAATTATTTTACTGATGTGTAATTAAAGTACCGGTACTTGACGTATACTTTTAAAAAAATTTTGTTAATTAAAAAATAACTAAAATATAATTTAAATTTTTATTTCAATATCAATTAATAATGTTAATGAAATATTTAAATTATTAAAAAAAACTGTAACTTTTAATCAAATATATTGTTTTAAATTAAGTGATTTTTTTTAAAATTATGATATATTGAGATATCCTATCCTATTGTAACTTATATTAAAACAATTAATTATAAGTAATGAATAACTATTGGAAAGAAAGTGTAAACATTATATTAGTGTCGCCAACATTGACATCAATTGACGGATCAGTTAAATGTGATTACGATGTACTGACCATTGGTGGCACAGCGTCTGCCGGTTCATTACAATCGGCCAGTTATGTACTACCGGGCGGACAGTTAGACGCATCTGACTTTTCATACAACTGGTGGCAACTATTCGACAGATTAGGTGTTTCCTCGACAAGTCTCGACTCATTTAGTGCATCAGTATCTCAAAGGCCACCGATTATTACCGAAAATCTGTTGGTCGATGAATTGAAACGGTGTTCCTCTAATTCAGAGGAAGTGTTGGTCGACACTGACATAGCTTTGAGGATATGTGCCATAAGACATGTTTTTCAACAAACAGGTCTACTATTAGTCAATTGTTAATTATTTATAGGGGTTTTCATTAATTAATTTCAAAGTATTTCAAAACTATTTCAATAGTCAATTGATTTCTATATTTATTTCAAAAGTTAACATGGTACATTTTAATAGATCTTAGTTATACTGATCAATAAATGAAAATCACAATTTACTAATATAATAATTATTGATATGTTATAATATCTTTTTAATTAATTTATCTATTATATATTTTTTAATTACTATTCTAAATTTTTTAAATAAAAATTAAATAAGTTACTTATAAATTAGATTAGTAATAATTAATTAATACTATTTGCAAATCAAACATTGCAAAAAAATAATTAATTTATGATTTGATGAATTAAATATTTATAAAATTAGTAATAATGTTATTGTGATTTTTCAAAACTATCTTTATTAGTTTAAAAGGTATTGAATAAATTAATTAACTTCATTATAAATATGTTATTATAATTAGTAACTATTTGTTAATTATTATAAAATAATTTTTATAATTTTAAGCTTTTGATTTATACTTTGTATTAACTATTATTAATTAGATTTATTTTGTTGTTATTTATAGGAATACTTTTAGTTCATCGAAAAAGTCATAAATATGTGGATAAAAATCAAACGATTGAATATCGCAAACGTGTCACACAATCACCGCAACTGTTCCCCGAAATGTGCGAAACATTTGACTTATTGCCCGACTTGTGGTCACTAAACGAATGGTGGAATTGGTTAACGCCGTCGAGTGTTGGCCGCAGTCCACGATTCGACACTATGTACTACTTGTGCGCTTTGGACAGTCAACAGCCATCAATGTCTGGCCAGTTATGGTCATCGCCGGTCACTTTACTGAACAATCGACACAATGGTCACTATATTCTGTCGCCAATACATGTCTATGAATTGTCACGTCTTCTCAATTTTGAGACAATCGTTGGGCTCAAAGAGTTTGCCCGAAAAAGACAGATAGAGGGCGTCCAGAGATGGCAACCAATTTTGACGATGTATACCGACGGAGCCATAGCTACTCTTCCCGGTGATGATTATTACCCGACACGTGTGGAAGTGTTTGCCGATAAACAAGCGCAAAGTTATTCACTTAGTTTACGGGAAATGCGGGCTAAAAGTTGTCGATTGAATCGCATTGAACTGATGGGTACTAACAGTGATGTCGTGGTTAACATAGATATGCCGTCTAAACACATACGACCTGTTTGTCAATATTATGAAAGGCATACAATTTGTGCCAATTTATAATTTTAAAACGTGTTTACAAAATATAAATAAATAATATTATTATATAATTATATTTTTACAAAATTTAATATTTCACATTAAAATACAAAAAAAATTATTAAAATATTATTTTCCAAAAATAATGTAAAAATATTTGTATTTTTATAAATAAAATTATATAAAGCATTTAAATACGAACTCTTTATCTAAATTAAATATTAAATAATTTTATAATTGGAGACATCTAACAATTTTGTAAAAATATAAACTAAATTTTTAGATATTTGATGTATCAAATAACTAAATTTGAAAAAATAAATAAAGTCACATAAAACTGGATTGATTTCCATTACTCGACTAATGATAGTATATATTAAATAGAGATAAATGATGTGAAGACACTTTGAGTTTATTTTATAAATGAAATCATTCAGACCATAGACTGTCAAAACTGTGACAACTATTGGTTAGAAAGAGATTTTCCATTTCAAGTGCTTAATATGTATTGTACTGATTATCACCGTTTAAGTGATTCCCTCTGAAGACTGGTTACGGCGGATGAAAAGAGTAGAGAAGGCGTGAAACAGTAGAGACAGTATTGTTGTTATGTATTGATGTGAGTGTTGGTCAACGGTTTGACACATTTTTGTTTGCATTGATGTTGAATGACGTCTTTTGTCATGTTTTTGTTTGACATTATTAGTGTTGATTGTGTTGTCGAAACTTGTTTTGAATTACTGTAGACATAATTGGGAAATGATGTTTTGTTGGTCTTTGAATTGAAATTGTTAGATGACTGACATAACAGTAATGTTTTCAATCCTTTTAATACCTGTGCAGTGATCTGTATGGTCAGTGAGTTGTTTTTCAGGCTGAACTGTACGGTGCTTCGGTAAATGCGTAGCCTTTAGTAAATTGAAGATTTGTGCGTTGTTTACGATTGATTTTGTGTTGAGTGTTGAGCCACATATAATGGAATCAAATTAGTTCAAATAGATCAAATGTCATGAAGTTTTTCAATGGTTTATAAAACCTATAAATAAAATTTAATTAAGTGATTTATTAAATATATTTTGATATTTAATTGTGATATTTAAAAAAATGAGTAAAAATTATAACCCAAATGAAAAAGTATTTATTATTGAAACATATATTGAATTTTAAAAATATGAAAAATATAAATCTCGTAATAAATTTGTTCAAAATAAGGTTGAACAATTCAATAAAAAACCACCAAATCGTTCGACAATAACAAAGATATATAATGACTTTAAAAAATATCAAAAAATAAATTTAAAAATTCCTCATAAAATAATAGTTGACTAATAATATTATTTAATTAATTAAAGAATTATTGACAAATTTTAAAACAATTAATCTATTATTAAGTCAATTTTAGTTACGTAATATTAAAATGATTTATGGCTCATTGCATAAAATATTAATAGATGAGCTATTATTATATCCATATAAGCTCCAATTTGTTAAAAAATTAACAAAAAAACATCAAGAAAGTAAGACAAATTATTGTCATCAAATGATAAGCAAATTGAAAGAAAATCCATGTTATATAATAAATAATGTGAACGATAGGCCATCGTTTTACTGATACCGCTGATGAGCATTGGTCACCACATATGCACTGATATTTTTTAGATTAAGTAGTAAGAAATAAAAAGTTCACAAACTATAACACATCCATTCAAACCCTGCCGACCTCCCGTATACCTTACAACACTGGTATCTAAATAATACCAGTGCATATCTGGTGACCAACGCTATGTGGAATAACAAAACGATGGCCTATCGTTCAAATTATCGTTAATTTAATGATTCGTAAGTCTTTTTAACCATAAAATTAAGCATATACAATGTAAATTTTATTATAAATGTAAAACAACTCAAAAGTTATGTGATTTATTATTTATTTAATTTAGATTATTTAGATAACTATTGGTGGTCTGATGAGGCACACTGTCATCTCGATGATTATATTACTAAGAATATGAGATGTTGGGCGCTTAAAGGAGAAAGACCTGTCGATTTTGTAATAAAAAAACTCATCCAGTTTAGGGCTGTATATGCGGCTATTTCACGAAAAGGTATTTATATAAAATATTGTAAAACATTTCAAACACTAGTTTACTAATTATATAAATTGTTTTTTCTTCAAATGAATTAATTTATGTCTTTTATTTACAATATTAGTTGCAAATGTTTTATCGCAATACTCGACGTCACATTTATAATAATATTATAACAATTTTCATAAATACAACTAATAGATTTAGATTGATTTTAGGTATTATTGGCCCATATTTTTTTGAGGACGAGAATGAAAAGCGTCTTATTGTTAATAAATAACATATCAAAAATATTTTTAAATTCGTCGTAAAATCCATAAACTCAGGAATGTAGGTCAACTGACCCATACTTAAGGGCAGTGCACATTACACTACACAACACTCACTTTTGTATGCCACGTGTGACACACACAGCATTTATTATTAAAAATAAAAAGTGTTTAGATCAGACAAAAGTATCTCTTTCGCTGGCTTTTCGACAAGTTCTCCGCTTCCGTCGACCGCAACGCTCGTCTCTAGCCGCACGCACGCGATACGCTCCGCTTTCAATATACGATAGACGAACCCCGCTATCAGCGTCTAGAACAGCCCGAGTGTTGTCCGCGGAAATACTAAACACTGATGCTCTGGTGATGGCAACACGAACCAACCTAAAGGCCACGATTTGCCGAAATTGTTGCCATTCTACCCGATTGTCGACCCAAATTGGTTCAAGAGGTCGATTTGTGAGTGCAGTGCCGCTGCTGTTGGCGATTACAGTACTACTACCTGTACTACTAGTAATACAAACGTATCGAACAAAGAGCTATTGGACTATAAAATCGTGATATTATTACGGTTTTAAATAAAAATTTTACCAGTAATAGTAATAATAATAAGTCGACAACAATATTGACGTCAAATATTTATTTTCAAACAATCAATTCATTGTCTTTTTCAGCCACCAATAATTTAAATAATAATAATGATATCATTGGATAGCACTGGTACTCTATGGAAAGGTAGTGTAATTTTTTTGTATTTATTAATTTATTTATTGTAATAGTTGAGAGTTATCGTCAAAAGAATTACACTTTATTTTTGTTTTGTTTTGTTTGTATACTACAGGCGACCTAAAAAATGATAAAACCGTTTACTTTAATCCAAACGATTATATATCATATTTTAGCCATAATTTGCACACAACTTCTATGCAAAGTTATGATATTATAAAGTTATTTAAAAAGTTACTATTAAATGTCGCATTAAATGCTTTAAGTAATAATAATAAATTTAAATTATACAAAAAATTAAATGCGATTTAAAACATAAATTCAAAATATAATTAATATATAAAAATGAAAATAATAATAATCATAATTTAATATTGAATCAGATATTTATAAATATACAATATCTATTAATGGAAAAAATTATTGTGCTCAGAAATTGTTATATAAAATGTACAGCTTAAATATATTTGATGATACGGTATGTATTATTTTAATTATTACTTTTTTAATTTTAGAAAATTGCAAGAATGAAAAATGACGGATACAATTGCGTACCGATATCATGTATGCAATGTATAATAAATTTAAATACTTTTATTTTATTTATTTATATGAAATTTTTTTTAACTAATCTTAATAATATAACTATATTCAGATAATTTATTTAATTATAAATTATGTTTTGAATATAAAAGTTTAAAATATAGATTATATAATTGATCATATATTTAATTCATTAAATAACAAAAATAGAAATTATATTTAATTAAGATTTTAGAGCTGATATATTTTTAAATATATTTTCAAATAATTTTAAAATTTATGAAAATTGTTTTAATTCTGTATAATATTTATTTTCATTAGAATTAATGAATATGATTTTAATTTTCAAAATAATTTAGCTAAGTATGTAATAAATACTAATGTTAATAATTTAAACAATTATTATATACAAGATATAATTAATTTTAATTTATAGATATTTAATAACATATTATTAGGTAAATATTTAACAATACATTTTGATTATAATAAAATAACTATTAATAATTTATATAATTTTCAATTTAATTTTTATATTTATTATATATACTTTTTTTATTAATATTTTTTAATTGATAATAGTATTTAATTTTATTAAACGTTTAAAAATTATGTATTTATACATATAGTTATGTATATTTCTTCAGTAACATTGCGATCAATTTATGACAAAATTTTAATGTTTAGAATTGTATAGAACGTCAAAAATAAGTTTAATAATAAATCAACATTATTTTTTGTTAATATTTAACAATATTACTACAATACGACAATAATACTAAGTAATTTAATAGCAATGAGTATGTACTGTATAAACATAGATCAAATTCATTGTCACATTGTGAATTTTAGCAATAATATACAGTAAAGTCATAGCAAAATGCACTGCAACTATTATACAGTTAATGTCAATTAAAAGTTTAAAATTTGAGCTAATATTATGTACAGTTAATTTTACGTTAAGCAATGTAATTTAGTACTGTATACAGTTAGCTAATATTAGGTACCATGGCTAAAGCATTACATAATATTACTTAAATTTAAACTTTTAAGTGGCGTAAACTGAACATATAAAGTCAATTTGTATGTATAAGTTTGTGGAAATCTATCAGTGCCTATATGTTTGATATATGTTTTTAAACAAAACAATTAATTAAAATGAAAAAATTATAATATTATATATTTTAAATATTAAATTATAGTATTGTTTATTGCATTGCTATCGTTATCGTCTATATCGGGACTGTTGGGCAGTCAATGTCCAAAAGCGGCGACAATAGCTCCGTGTGTTTGTCTAAGCGAGTCGACCGACGGCACAAACCGAGTGGTCTGTGACGGCAAAGACAATATCAATCTCAAGAAAATCTTTGCCGATATGAGCGCTGAGTTGGTCTCAAAAGACAAACTGTTTCATTGGTTTCAATTGACAAACATTGCAATCACTGAACTAACCGATAGTGTCTTCTCTGACATCAAGTTTCAGTTCATTACATTAGTATTAGACTATCGGTAGCCAAGCGTTCGCTAATTTCAGAAACCTCCTGCTTATGACAATTGATTATGAAATTAATAAAAACTATTACGAAACACAACTCGACCTCAACTTAGGTTACAATCGTTTAGACGACAAATCTCTGTCACCGCAAGCTTTTGCCGGACTTAAGACTAGATTTAAGCTGTCGTTTAATAATAGATCTGTAATAATATTACAATAATTTATTACAATTATAAAAATAACAGTATCATAAGGAATAATAATAATATAATCAATAGTTTATTTTAAAGTTGATTAATAGTTCATTTTTATTTTGGTTTATCACATCTAGAAAAAAAATATATAATTTTTAATAATAATCTTTTTAATTATAATAATATTACATACGCTAATGTTTCTTTATTCCATTCAAATAGACGATCACATTTGCATTCCAAATGTATTTTATCTTTACTGACAACACATTCACCAGTAAAATGTTTAGTTTCTTTGTCTTTTTTACAATATTCAACACCAATTATTGTTTTCTAAAAAGTTATTTTTAAAAATTTATATACTATATATTATACTAAAATAATCTTACTATTAAATCTTTTTTACAATCCCATTCATGTACTTCACATCTATAAAATTATTGTCTATTAATAATTTTTTTAATTATATCAATAATACATACCCTGATATTGCTTTATTCCATTCAAATCCTGTATCACATTTGCATTCCAATTCTTTTTTATCGTCACTGACAACACATTCACCAGTAAAATGTTTATTATATTTATCTGTATTACAATATGTATCACCGATTACTTCTTTCTATTTTTTTGTAAAAAAGTAAAATATTATAAATATATTTAAAGCCTATAACTTAAATTAATTCTTACTATTAAGTCTCTCTTGCAATTCAATTGATGATAATCACAACTAATAAAATATATAAAATATTTAAATAAATAATTTGATTAATATTAACAATACAAACGTTGATAATTGTTTGTTCCAATCAAATCCTTTAACACATTTACATTCCAATTGATTTGTATCGGTATTAACCAAACATTGACCGGTAAAATGTTTAATATATTTGTCTGAATTACAATATTTTTTACCAATTACTGTTTTCTATAAATTATTATTATTAAAAAATATATAATACTAATTTTGTACTAAATATAAATTAAGTTTACATACTATTAAATCCTTATCACAACTCAATTGATGAGAAATAGCACATCTAAAATAATTGTAATAAATAAAAATAATTTTTAATATACCTTAATATAACAAATATTTATTGATTTTAAATTGTTTAAAGACATTAATTAAAATAATTTATTTTTTACATACATTTCTTTATCATAATCCCAAATATAGGGTGAATCACATTTGCATTTCAAAACACCGGTTGAATCATCACATCCTTTGGAATATTTGGTGATTTCAGGCCTACAGTGTTCGTCACCTGTTTTGCCGTCCTTTAATTTTTTATAGTTAAAGTACATATAATATTAATAATTAATTACTTATATAATAAAATTTATACATACTTTCATTTTATTAGTCTTACAGCTTATTTTATAACTGCAACTATTAAATAAAGTAATTAATATTTTTTATATCTTATAATTATAAAATAAATGAGCATGATACATTTCTTTTTCATAGTCCCAACTATAGGGTGAAACACATTTGCACAATAAAACACCGGTTGAATCATCACATCCTATGGAATATTTAGTATATTCAGGCTTACAGTGTTCGTCACCTGTTTTGCCGTCCTATCAATTAATCAAATATTTTTAAACAATTTTTAATTTTAAATATTTATACATTACTTTCATTAAATCTGTTTTGCAGCTTATTTTGTAATCACAACTATTAACCAAAATATTTGGATTAGTATTTTAATAATTATTATATAACTTAAATCAATACAAACATTTCTTTATCATAATTCCATGTATAGGGAGAATCACATTTACATTTTAAAATATCAGTTGAATCATCACATCCTATAGAGTATTGAGTAATATCAGGATTACAGTGATCATCACCAGTACGTCCGTCCTATAGATTATTAAATATTAAGTTTTAATATTTAATAATTTAATAGTTTTTTAATACAAACTTTCATTTTGTCATTATTGCAGCTGATTTTTAATCGATAACATTCAATATTAAATGTTTTAATAAATAAAATAATTAAAATATCTGAAAAAAATATTTAAATATTAGTAATAATTAGTAATAATTAATAATAAATAATATTGAATGTAATTATTTATATTTACATAAGATTTTCATTATTTAAATTTTTAAATAATATAATAATAATAATTTGTTTAAAATAATAATTTTTTAATTCTAGATGTTTAAACTAATATAAAAATATTAATAATTTATACTATTTAATTTATATACGTATTATATATACTTTATATTTATATTTTTTGAATTGATAATAGTATTACAATAGCCTTAATGTTAATTAAGTTATCACATTAAACATAGATTTTGTTATTTTCAAAAAATATTAATAATTTCAAAAATTATCGTTATTTTTAATAATCATAAAATATTTTATATGATATATCAACCTTTTAACGGACGGATAAATTATAACAAATAATATAAACAATACATCTATCGATCAAAATGGGCATCAATTATGTTACTAATTAAGAAAATAATATTTTTTAATTTATATATGAAATAATACCGTAATAACTCAATACTGTATATATTTAAACCATCTTATAAGCAATCATATTACCGTCTTCCCATAGTTAACTCATGTTTTTAAAATTAATACCGTCTTCCCATAGTTAACTCATGTTTTTAAAATTAATACCTTATTACCATATTAAAAATAGTTTTTTTGAAAAAGTACCGTATTCCCATATTAAAAATAGTTTTTTTGAAAAAGTACCGTATTCCCATATTAAAAATAGTTTTTTTTGAAAAAGTACCGTATTCCCATATTAAAAATAGTTATACGGTAAAAATTGTGAAAATCATTTAAATGTGAGGTTATACGGTAAAAATTGTGAAAATCATTTAAATGTGAGGTTATACGGTAAAAATTGTGAAAATCATTTAAATGTGAGGTTATACGGTAAAAATTGTGAAAATCATTTAAATGTGAGGTTATACGGTAAAAATTGTGAAAATCATTTAAATGTGAGGTTATACGGTAAAAATTGTGAAAATCATTTAAATGTGAGGTTATACGGTCAAAATTGTGAAGAAAATCATTTAATGTGAGGTTATACGGTATAATCTAATGATTTTATACAATTTTTAATTTTGGGTCATAATTTATGGAGAAAAAAATTTAATTCAATGTTTTGTGGTCCGTCCGCTGAATGGGGATTAGAGAAAAATAATTTAATAAATTAATAAAACTATTTTTAAAATTTTTTAAAAATTTGTTGTCTTTACTAATATTTTCTTAGATATTTAACCTGTATATAAAAAATAAAAAATTAATTAATTAATTATTAGTTTAATTATAATTAATTTTCAAACTTACCCTTTATTTCATCCACTATTGCGTTAACCAGACGTTGTCCTAATTGGGATCTAATTGTGAATTTGTGTCCAATTTTTTTACAAATTTTACATTACTTTATGAGAGGGCATATAAATAGCTCTCAAATGACCCATTTATGACAACAATTGATTAACAAATAACATAAATATTTAATTATTTAGTTTACCCGTCCGTTAATTGGTTATCCACTGTTAGGTGGATTTATAATATATTACTTGTAATATATAATTGAAATTAATAATATTACAATAATAATAAATTAAGTTATTAACCATGAGTTTTTAATCTAATTATATTTTATTATTGAAAATATTTTTTAGATAATTATTATTGATTATCATTTAATTACTAAATAATTAAAATAAAATTGAATAATTTTTAAAAAAAATTATAAAGGGATGTTTTAAAACTATTTTAATTCAAATTTTAATCCTTAATTTTTATAAACTGTTTATTTTGTGTTTAGTACTGTATATACATAGGTTTATTCATTGGTTTAAATACTATACAAAATTAAGTTATATTAAAAAAAACTTTTTTATTGAAATCCAAACGAGCCTTTTTGAGTCTGTGTCTGTCTGTTTGTAGTATTTTTATGCTAAGTTTGAAATTCAGATTCGGTTAGAATACTACAAATAATGAATTAAAAATGATCAATCTCAATGTACATGATTAAAATGACGAATTACTGATAATTTTAATAAAATCAATGTTTTAAATACAAATATAGAGCCGTTTTTATAATTTTTTAGAACGAAATTTCTTTAGTTGATCTGACCGTGTGAGCATGTGCGTTAACCTGTTGAAAATCAAATCCGTCGGGAAACATGACATCGACAGTGGTCAGAGTTTAGTCCAGTATCTCTAGATATCTTTCGGCGGTTAAATTCCTCTGGCCATACATAATGAGGTCGTTCCACAAGCGTTGATGCATCACAACACCATAATTGCTGGTCCGTCTTTTTGTACATGATTTGATGGTCTTTTACGTGCCCACAATTTTTTTAGACTTGAAAATAGCGCTCGTCCGTGAGGACCTTTGACCAGTCCAGATTTAATTTGGTCTGACATTATCTCAGTTGTTTTCCTTGTACACTGGTTTCAATATAGTCACGGGGTTTTGGATCTCCGTAATGACCTCCAAACTGTGACGCATGAGATCATAAGACTCATCTTCATCTTCTGGCCAATTCATCCGCAAGTCCAGATGAACTTTTCATTGTTAATGGACAGTTGTGTCAGCCTTCGCGGTCATTTGGTTAAAGTTTTGGAGGTCTACCGGATCCTGACCTTTTAAACCCAGGATACCGTTCTTATGGATGCACCTGTTGCATCCATTAAGTAATTCAGGTCTATGTGGCCTTGGTTACATCTCAATTGTAGTGCTTCCAGACTATTGAGGTTTGTCTTATTTGGAATATTATTGTTTGCTTGTTTGCCAAAAATAAGCAATAAAATGTGACATATATGTGGGAATTAAAAACAATTTTATAACCAAATGATATGCTATAAATTAATTTTCGAATAGAAACAAATAAATTTTTAACTAAATAATTCATTCATAAAAATGTCAGTTTGACCAAAATGTAACTTGTACAAAATTCATACATCTAAAATCAATTAATAATTATGTTTAACGGTCTTGATTCTATAGCTCAAATTGATCAGATTTTGTAACTCGTTTTTTAAAAATCGTAAGTAGTAAACAAATATTTTGAAGAATCATAATTAAGTCAAATTGCGATATAGCCGTTATTACTACGAACTAATGGTTATCAAAATATTTATGTTATTCAATATATTTTCTGGAAATGCTTTCTAGCATTCTCAACTGGTCTTATCATTAATTATATATTATAACTAAATAATACTTTTTCAAATATAGATGGCATAACTATATAGAATAAAAATTAATTAAATATTTTACATATATTTTTATTAAACTATTTTCTATAAAGATTTTAAAATAATTTAATAAAAACTTTCACTTGCTTTTTAAATTTGAATTTTTAATTTTAAATATTAATAATTTTATATTAGGACATTTTATTGCATCAGTCATTTAGTTTTTTTAAAAAAAATATACATAATATTATACATTTTTTAAATAGAAAATTATATTTTATATAAATTAATTTAATATTTTGTATATTATTTTATTAAATAATCAATTAATTAAATAAATTAAAAGTTTTGTTAAAAACTATAGTTTTAAATGTATTAGTAATAGTTTGATTAAAATGTTTAATAGTATCAAAAAAATTTTATTAAATTTTTTAACTAATATATTTGTTTAAATTTTTTTTATTTTACTTTTGTAATATAATTAATAAACTGTATTAATGATTTTAGTAAAATTTATTTAGATTAATTAGTTTATTTTAATTAAAATGTCCATGCTAATTTTAATTTTTTAGTAATAAATAATAGTAATAGTATTAAATATTTTGTTTAATAAAATTTATTTGATTTCTAAAATTTGTAGAGATTTCTAAGACAATAATTTTTTATTTTATTAAATAAAGTAAATAATATATTTATTTATTTATCATTAATATATCAATTTTGTTGGCAATAAATATTTCTTTTATCTTTTATTGTTAAGATTGACGACAAAAGTATTTTACAAAATAAAAATATTAATTGAAATACATTCACAACACAGTTATTTGTTATAAATTATAAGTTATAATATACTCTCAAAATTAATTGAAGATAATTATTATGAATGACTGCAAAATTAATTGATGGCTCCATATATTTGTTATAATATTTTCATATTTTATTGATAAGAAATATAGTGTTTCGAAAGTAAGTTAATTATATATATAAATCCTATAAAATAATTGATTGATTGATAGATGTGTACAAAGTTTAATATATATATATATATTTCTTATTTAATACAATTGATAATAATTTTGTTACATATAATTTTAGTTTTAATAAAAATTACATAACTATATTTTTAAATGACATTATAAAAGTAATTAATCAAATAATTTTTTTAAAAAACATTGTTTTATATTTTTTAATTATTATTAATTTCATAGTTTAATTGTATTTTTAATTATAACTGTTAATATTATATAACATATAACAATTAAATTGTTTAATTAAATTGAAATAAATTAAGTTATGAAATCAATAAGTTATCAATTACATTTAATAAAACTCAAATACTTAACCTATTTTTATTATATCTATCTAATCGATTAGGAATTATAACAAGTGTTTACATTAACACTATGGGAGGTATTATTTTAGTTAACAGTTGCTAATTGATTTTTATTGAAATTAATATTATTAAATATTTTGATTAAAATAAAATCAATTACTAAAAAAAATTGTATTGAATTATAACTTTTGATATTTATTGTATTAACTTATATTTGTTAATACAATATATATTCTATAATAGTTTATCAATAATTTCATATTTAAGTATATATATAGACAAAATAAAAATATTATATAAATTATAATTATAGATAATAGTGTTTAAAAGCTAAATAGATAAGTAAGTCAATTGTTATATAGATTTGTAATGTATCGTTAAATAAATATTATATTAATTGAAATAAATAAAAAGCAAAAAATAATAAGATAATAAAGTTTATATATTAAAGTAATAAACTACTTATTTAATTAAAATAATTAAAAAACAAGTATTTTTTATTTCATCTTAAAATAAAATCAGTAAATATATTAAACATATTTTACTATAATTAATAATATTTTTTATAATTTGAAAATTATTAATATTTACTTAAACATAAAATATTCAAAAAAGATTTTAATATAAAATTTATAAATAAAAATACAGTGAATAATATAAATTAAATACGTTTACAAAATTAAATCAATGATTGTTAAGTAGAATCTTATCACAATTAAAAAATTATTTCAAACATTTACTGTAAATTAAATTCAATGAATAGCACAATATATTTTTCAAAAAAAAACATATATTATGGGAAAACTGTAACATAAGAAAAGTTTATTATTAATTGATTGCGATATCAAACAACTGTATATAAAGAGTAAATAAATTAAGGCTTAATTTAAAAGAAAATAATTACTTTTTAATTAATTATAACAACTATTATTATAATAATTAATTTAATAACAATGAGTATGTACTCTATAAACCAAATAATTAATTAAAATAAAAAAATATAAGATTATATATTTTAAATATTAAATTATAGAATTGTTTATTGCATTGCTATCGTTATCGTCTATATCGGGACTGTTGGGCAGTCAATGTCCAAAAGCGGCGACAATAGCTCCGTGTGTTTGTCTAAGCGAGTCGACCGACGGCACAAACCGAGTGGTCTGTGACGGCAAAGACAATATCAATCTCAAGAAAATCTTTGCCGATATGAGCGCTGAGTTGGTCTCAAAAGACAAACTGTTTCATTGGTTTCAATTGACAAACACTGCAATCACTGAACTAACCGATAGTGTCTTCGCTGACATCAAGTTTCAGTTCATTACTATTGAAGGCGCGTCTGCTTTGAAACTGATTCATACGAATGCCTTCGCCGGACAACAAACCACTATTCAGACACTAAGCATAGTTAAGACACCGTTAGCTGATAGTGAAGATCCTAACTATAATGTGTTCAAAGCTATCAATTCGTTGACTGGACTCAAGTATCTGACACTTTGGTCAACAAATTTGACTAAAATCCCAGATCAGGCACTGACCAAAACTACACTACTCTCGCAAATATCATTACAACAAAACAAAATACAGACTATTGGTAGCCAAGCGTTCGCCAATTTCCGACACCTCCTGTCACTTGATCTCAGCTATAATAACATAAATCATGTTTCGGACAATGCATTTGTTATCAATAAAAACTATTACGAAACACAACTCGACCTCAACTTAGGTTACAATCATTTGGACGACAAATCTCTGTCACCGCAAGCTTTTGCCGGACTTAAGACTACAATTAAGCTGTCGTTAAATAATAGATCAGTAAAAGTATTACCGGAATCACAGTTTGCACCCATTTTAAGGGCCGATAAGGGAAATGAAATCATTCAGACCGTCGACTGTCAAAACTGTGACAACTATTGGTTAGAAAGAGATTTTCCGTTTCAAGTGCTTAACATGTATTGTACTAATTATCACCGTTTGAATGATACCCGAGAATTCATAAAATGTCATTAATTTAATTAAGTAATAAATACTTTAATGAAAAATATTTTACAATTGTTTAATAGAAATTAGAATTTTGAATAATTTATTATTAAAAAATATAGATTATCATTGTTTGAATGTTACGCTTTAGTTGGTAATTTAAAAAATTTAATAAAAATGAAATTTAACAATAAATTTAACTTAATTTAAATTACACTTATTACAATTAAAAAAAATAGTATAATAATTAATCACAATAATATAATCAATAGTTTAATTTAAATTTGATTAATAATTTATAATTTGAAACATTTTATTTTGGTTTATCGCATCTAGAAAAAATATTTGTTAATAATATTTTTAATTATATCAATAATACTTACGCTGATGTATCTTTATTCCATTCAAATAAACCATCACATTTGCATTCCAAATCTTTTTTATCTTTACTCACAACACATTCTCCAGTAAAATGTTTAGTATCTTTCTCATTTTTACAATATTCATCACCAATAATTGTTTTCTAAAAAAGTTATAGAATATATATTTTTAAATATTATACTAAATATTTTAAAATATAAACTAAAATAATCTTACTATTAAATCTTTTTTACAGTCTAATACATGTGGTTTATCGCATCTAGAAAAAATATTTGTTAATAATATTTTTAATTATATCAATAATACTTACGCTGATGTATCTTTATTCCATTCAAATAAACCATCACATTTGCATTCCAAATCTTTTTTATCTTTACTCACAACACATTCTCCAGTAAAATGTTTAGTATCTTTCTCATTTTTACAATATTCATCACCAATAATTGTTTTCTAAAAAAGTTATAGAATATATATTTTTAAATATTATACTAAATATTTTAAAATATAAACTAAAATAATCTTACTATTAAATCTTTTTTACAGTCTAATACATGTGGTTTATCGCATCTAGAAAAAATATTTGTTAATAATATTTTTAATTATATCAATAATACTTACGCTGATGTATCTTTATTCCATTCAAATAAACCATCACATTTGCATTCCAAATCTTTTTTATCTTTACTCACAACACATTCACCAGTAAAATGTTTATTATATTTATCTGTATTACAATATGTATCACCGATTACTTCTTTCTATTTTTTTGTAAAAAAGTAAAATATTATAAATATATTTAAAGCCTATAACTTAAATTAATTCTTACTATTAAGTCTCTCTTGCAATTCAATTGATGATAATCACAACTAATAAAATATATAAAATATTTAAATAAATAATTTGATTRATATTAACAATACAAACRTTGATAATTGTTTGTTCCAATCAAATCCTTTAACACATTTACATTCCAATTGATTTGTATCGGTATTAACCAAACATTGACCGGTAAAATGTTTAATATATTTGTCTGAATTACAATATTTTTTACCAATTACTGTTTTCTATAAATTATTAATATTAAAAAATATATAATACTAATTTTTTACTAAATATAAATTAAGTTTACATACTATTAAATCCTTATCACAACTCAATTGATGAGAAATAGCACATCTAAAATAATTTTAATAAATAAAAATAATTTTAAATATACCTTAATATAACAAATATTTATTGATTTTAAATTGTTTAGAGACAGTAATTAAAATAATATATTTTTTTACATACATTTCTTGATCGTAATCCCAACTATAGGGTGAATCACATTTGCATTTCAAAACACCGGTTGAATCATCACATCCTATGGAATATTTGGTGATTTCAGGCATACAGTGTTCGTCACCTGTTTTGCCGTCCTTTAATTTTTTTATAGTTAAAGTACATATAATATTAATAATCAATTACTTATATAATAAAATTTATACATACTTTCATTTTATTAGTCTTACAACTTATTTTATAACTGCAACTATTAAATAAAGTAATTAATTTTTTAAATATCTTATAATTATAAAATAAATTAACATGATACATTTCTTTTTCATAGTCCCAACTATAGGGTGAATTACATTTGCATAATAAAACACCGGTTGAATCATCACATCCTATGGAATATTTAGTATATTCAGGCTTACAGTGTTCGTCACCTGTTTTGCCGTCCTATCAATTAATAAATATTTAATAAAAATTTTAATTTTAAATATTTATACATTACTTTCATTAAATCAGTTTTGCAGTTTATTTTGTAATCACAACTATTAATCAAAATATWTGGATTAGTATTTTAGTAATTATTATATAACTTTTTCAATACAARCATTTCTTTATCATAATTCCATGTATAGGGAGAATCACATTTACATTTTAAAATATCGGTTGAATCATCACATCCTATAGAGTATTGAGTKATATCAGGACTACAGTGATCATCACCAGTTCGTCCGTCCTATAGATTATTAATTATAAGTTTTAAATTTTTAAAAATTTGCAAATTTGTTGTATTATTTATACAAACTTTCATTTTGTCAGTATTGCAGCTGATTTTTAATCGATAACATTCAATATTAAATGTTTTAATAAATAAAATAATGAAAATATCTGAAAAAAATATTTAAATTTTAGTAATAACTAGTAATAAATAATATTGAATGTAATTATTTATATTTACATAAGATTTTCATGATTTAAATTTTATAATAATATAATGATAATAATTTGTCTAAAATAATAATTTTTTAATTCTAGATGTTTTATATTAATAAAAACTATATACTTATATAGGTATTATATATACTTTATATTTATATTTTTTGAATTGATAATAGTATTACAAAAGCCTTAAAGTTAATTAAGTTATCACATTAAACATAGATTTTGTTATTTTATAAAAAATATTAATAATTTCAAAAATTATCGTTATTTTTAATAATCATAAAATATTTTATATATTACTTGTAATATATAATTGAAACTAATAATATTATATTAATAATTAAGTTATTAACCATGAGTTTTTAATCTAATTATATTTTATTATTGAAAATATTTTTTAGATAATTATTATTGATTATCATTTAATTACTAAATAATTAAAATAAAATTGAATAATTAAAAAAAAATATAAAGGGATGTTTTAAAACTATTTTAATTAAATTTTTAATTTTTATAAACTGTTTTTATTTTGTGTTTAGTATTGTATAGACATAGGTTTATTCATTGGTTTAAATATAGAAAATTAAGTCATATTAAAAAAACCATTTTACTGAAATCCAAACGAGCCTTTTTGAGTCCGTGTCTGTCTGTCTGTAATATTTTTTTGCTAAGTTTGAAATTCAGATTCGGTTAGAAGTCTACAAATAATGTATTAAAAAGTTGCATTAAAAATGATCTATGAACATGATCAAAATGACGAATTACTGAAAATGTTTTAAATGCAAATATAGAGCCGTTCCAATAATTTATATACTAATATACAAAAAACTTTGTACCTTATAGGAAAATATGGTAAGTATATATAAAGTTGCTTGAAAAATATATTATTATTTATTAAATAAAAAATATGAAAACAATTGCAGTCGTATAATTTGAAATTATAAAAAACTGTAACTTTTATTGAAATAATATTAATCATAAAGTAATACAAAAATCAATGAAATTAAGTTTAAACAAAGTATAGTAATGTGTGTGTGTATGGAAAGTGACTGTCCTAATGGTCAGTCAGTGTCCTATTTTTATACACATGTTTGGGTAAGTGTCCGCACAAGAGGCTGCTTTGACATACATGAAGTCTAGGATTATAACCCTTTTAAATAAATCATAAAATCATATTTTGACTAAAATAATCATAAAATAAAAGTAAATTCATGTTTATATTTAGTAAACCAAATATCTGTTTAATTAACAATGTATATCAAAATATGTACTGTATATTTATATGATAATAAAAATTGTATACTAAGAAAATACATGAAATAAGTTTATATTTAATATATAGAAATTAACATAAAAATAGGTTATATTTAAAGTTATATTTAAGACAATAAAATCAATTAGAAATAAAATGTATAATAAAATTAAAAATAAATGACAATATTTCGGGTATACTTTATATCCCTTGTCTTTAAGACATGCCTACAGGTTATGCATATTTTAACTTTGATATGTGATTTGAAATATGAAATCGCAGGCTATTTACTTACGAAATTATCTTTAGTCGATCTGACCGTGTGAGCAGGTGCGTTATCCTGTTGAAATTCAAATCCGTCGGGAAACATCGACAGTTGCCAGAGTTTAGTCCAGTATCTCTAGATATCTTTCGGCAGTTAAATTCCTCTGGCCATACATAATGAAGTCGTTCCACAAGCGTTGATGCCTCACAACATCAAAATTGCTGGGCCGTGTTTTGGTACATGATTTGATGGTGTTTTACGTGCCCACACTTTGTCTTAGACGATAGAATTCAAAGTAGCTATCGTCCTTGAATACCTTTGACCAGTCCATATTTAATTTGGTCTGACATTATCGCAGCGGTTTTTCCTTATACACTGGTTTCAATATAGTCATGGGTTTTTGGATCTCGTAATGACCTCCAAACTATCACGCGAGAGATCGTAAGACTTCATCTTCTGGCCAATCCACCCGCAAGTCAAGATGAACTTTTCATTGTTAATGGCCAGTTGTGTAAGCCTTCGCCGGTCATTTGCTTAAAGTTTTGGAGGTCTACCGGATCCGGACCTTTTAAACCTGTTCATCCATTAAGTAATTCAGGTCTATGTGGCCTAGGTTACATAGAATTTGGAGTGCTTCCAGACTATTGAGGTTTGTCTTATTTGGAATATTATTGTTGATGCTTGACATTACTTACCAAAAATAAGCAATAAAATGTGGCATATATGTGGCATTTAAAAGACAATTTTATAACCAAATGATATGCTATAATTAATTTTCGATTAGAAACAAATAAATTTTTAACTAAATAATTCATTCATAAAAATGACAGTTTGACCAAAATATAACTTGTAAAAAATCACACTTCTAAAATCAATTAATAATCATGTTTAACCGTCTTGATTCTATAGCTGAAATTGATCAGATTTTGTAACTCGTTTATTAAAAATCGTAAATAGTAAACAAATATTTTGAAGAATCATAATTAAGGCAAATTGCGATATAGCCGTTATTACTACGAACTAATGGTTATCAAAATATTAATGTTATTCAATATATTTTCTGGAAATGCTTTCTAGCATTCTCAACTGGTCTAATCATTAATTATATATTATAACTAAATAATACTTTTTCAAATATAGATGGCATAACTAAATAGAATAAAAATTAATTAAATATTTTACATATATTCTTTTATTAAACTATTTTCTATAAAGATCTTAAAATAATTTAATAAAAACTTTCACTTGCTTTTTAAATTTGAATTTTGAATTTTAAATATTAATAATTGTATATTAGGACATTTTATTGCATCAGTCATTTAGTTTTTTAAAAAAATATACATAATATTATACATTTTTTAAATAGAAAATTATATTTTATATAAATTAATTTAATATATTGTATATTATTTTATTAAATAATCTATTAATTAATTAAATAAATTAAAAGTTTTGTTAAAAACTATAGTTTTAAATGTATTTGTAATAGTTTGATTAAAATGTTTAACAGTATCAAAAAATTTTTATTAAATTTTTTAACTAATATATTTGTTTAATTTTTTTTTTATTTTACTTTTGTAATATAATTAATAAACTGTATTAATGATTTTAGTAAAATTTATTTAGATTAATTAGTTTATTTTAATTAAAATGTCCATGCTAATTTTAAATTTTTAGTAATAAATAATTGTAATAGTATTAAATATTTTGTTTAATAACATTTATTTGATTTCTAAAATTTGTAGAGATTTCTAAGACAATAATTTTTTATTTTATTAAATAAAGTAAATAATATATTTATTTGTTTATCATTAATATATCAATTTTGTTGGCAATAAATATTTCTTTTATCTTTTATTGTTAAGATTGACGACAAAAGTATTTTAGAAAATAAAAATATTAATTGAAATACATTCACAACACAGGTATTTGTTATAAATTATAGGTTATAATATACTCTCAAAATTAATTGAAGATAATTATTATCAATGACTGCAAAATAAATTGATGGCTCCATATATTTGTTATAATATTTTCATATTTTATTGATAAGAAATATATTGTTTAGTTACTTAGTAAGTTAAGTAAGTTAATTATATATATATATATATATATCCTATAAAATAATTGATTGATTGATAGATGTGTACAAAGTTTAATGTATGTATTTTATTATTTAATACAATTGATAATAATTTTGTTACATATAATTTTAGTTTTTATAAAAATTACATAACTATATTTTTTTAAATGACATTATTAAAGTAATTAATAAAATATATATTTTTTAATTTAATGTTTTATGTTTTTTAATTACTATTAATTTCATATTTTTATTGTCTTTTTAATTATAACTGTTGATATATTATATAACATATAACAATTGAATTGTTTAATTAAATTGAAATAAATTAAGTTATGAAATCAATAAGTTATCATTACATTTAATAAAATTGAAATACATAACCTATTTTTATTATATCTATCTAATCGATTGGGAATTATAACAAGTGTTTGCATTAACACTATGGGAGGTATTATTTTAGTTAACAATTACTAATTGTCTTTTATTGGAATTAATATTATTAAATATTTTGATTAAAATGAAATCAATTACTAAAAAAAATTGTATTGAATTATAGCTTTAGATATTTATTGTATAAACTTATCTTTTTTAATACAATATATATATATTCTGTAATTTCATATTTAAGTATATATGGAGACAAAATAAAAATATATAAATTATAATTATAGATAATAGTGTTTAAAAGGTAAATAGATAAGTAAGTCAATTGTTATATAGATTTGTAAATAAACATTATATTAATTGAAATAAATAAAAAAGAAAAAATAATTAAATAATAAAGTTGATATATTAAAGTAATAAACTATATAACTAAAATGATTAAAAAACAAAAGTATAATTTATTAAATCTTAAAATTAGTTATAATAAATATTTTTAATATAATTAATAATACTTTTGTTTTTTTAAATTAACAAATGTTATTATTTAATTAAACACAAAATAGTAAAATAAAATACAATAAATAATATAAATTAAATAAATTTACAAAATTAAATCAATGATAGTTAAGTAGAATCTTATCACAATTAAAAAATTATTTCAAACATTTACTGTAAATTAAATTCAATGAATAGCACAATATATTTTTCAAAATAAACATATATTATGGGAAAATTTTAACAAAAGTTTATTATTAATTGATTGCGATATCAAACAACTGTATATAAAGAGTAAATAAATTAAGGCTTAATTTAAAAGAAAATAATTACTTTTTAATTAATTATAACAACTATTATTATAATAATTAATTTAATAACAATGAGTATGTACTGTATAAACCAAATAATTAATTTACATAAAAAAATTATAAGATTATATTATATATATTTTAAATATTAAATTATAGGATTGTTTATCGCATTTCTATCGTTATCGTCTATATTGGGACTGTTGGGCAGTCAATGTCCAAAAGCGGCGACAATAGCTCCGTGTGTTTGTCTAAGCGAGTCGACCGACGGCACAAACCGAGTGGTCTGTGACGGCAAAGACAATATCAATCTAAAGAAAATCTTTGCCGATATGAGCGCTGAGTTGGTCTCAAAAGACAAACTGTTTCATTGGTTTCAATTGACAAACACTGCAATCACTGAACTAACCGATAGTGTCTTCTCTGACATCAAGTTTCAGTTCATTACTATTGAAGGCGCGTCTGCTTTGAAACTGATTCATACGAATGCCTTCGTCGGACAGCAAACCACTATTCAGACACTAAGCATAGTTAAGACACCGTTAGCTGATAGTGAAGATCCTAACTATAATGTGTTCAAAGCTATTAATTCGTTGACTGGACTCAAGTATCTGACACTTTGGTCAACAAATCTGACTAAAATCCCTGATCAGGCACTGACCAAAACTACACTACTCTCGCAAATATCATTACAACAAAACAAAATACAGACTATTGGTAGCCAAGCGTTCGCCAATTTCCGACACCTCCTGTCACTGGATCTCAGCTATAATAACATAAATCATGTTTCGGACAATGCATTTGTTATCAATAAAAACTATTACGAAACACAACTCGACCTCAACTTAGGTTACAATCATTTGGACGACAAATCTCTGTCACCGCAAGCTTTTGCCGGACTTAAGGCTACAGTTAAGCTGACGTTAAATTATAGAGCAGTTAAAGTATTACCGGAATCACAGTTTGCACCCATTTTAAGGGCCGATAAGGGAAATGAAATCATTCAGACCATAGACTGTCAAAATTGTGATAACTATTGGTTAGAAAGAGATTTTCCGTTTCAAGTGCTTAACATGTATTGTACTAATTATCATCGTTTGAATGATACCCGAGAATTTATAAAATGTCATTAATTTAAATAAGTTATAAATAGTATCAAGAAATATTTTTAATTATTTAATAGGAATTAGAATTTGGAATAATTTATTATTAAATAATTGAATTTTTTAATTAAAAAATTTTTCTTGAATATTAAATATATTTATTCTTAATCAATTAATAAATAAACATTAAATTAAAATTATATAAAAATTTTGTAAATTTTGAAGTATGTTATGTTAATTTTATTTATGTTCATCGCATCTAATAAATAAAAAATATAGTTAGTTAATAAATTAAATTAATTTAAATTTTTACGTTTTAGTTGTATCAATCCAGTCAAATCCATTTACACATTCGCATTGTATTCCTTTATTGCCGTCAATTACTTTACATTCTTTAAAATGTTTAGTTATATCTGTTGCCGAACAATAATCTTTTCCAATAACTTCTTTCTGTATATATATATAATAAAAGTTTAAAACAATTTCTATAATTATATATGTTATTAAAATATATACAATTTTATCTGTATTACAATCCCATTTATGTTCATCGCATCTAATAAATACATATAATAGTTAGTTAATAAATTAAATTTATTAATATTTTTACGTTTTAGTTGTATCAATCCAGTCAAATCCATTTACACATTCGCATTGTATTCCTTTATTGCCGTCAATTACTTTACAACTTTTAAAATGTTTAGTTATATCTTTTGCCGAACAATAATCTTTTCCAATAACTTCTTTCTGTATATATATATATAATTAAAGTTTAAAACAATTCCTATAATTATATATGTTATTAAAATATATACAATTTTATCTGTATTACAATCCCATTTATGTTCATCGCATCTAATAAATAAAAAATATAGTTAGTTAATAAATTAAATTAATTTAAATTTTTACGTTTTAGTTGTATCAATCCAGTCAAATCCATTTACACATTCGCATTGTATTCCTTTATTGCCGTCAATTACTTTACATTCTTTAAAATGTTTAGTTTTATCTGTTGCCGAACAATAATCTTTTCCAATAACTTCTTTCTGTATATATATAATAAAATATGTTAAAAATAATCCTTATAATGATTAAAAATATACAATTTTATCTGCATTACAATCCCATGTATGTTTATCACATCTAATAAAAAATAAAATTATTATATTTTATAATTTTATAATTTTTATTTAATTATTTTTTACGATTTATTTTCATCATTCCACTTATATCCGTCTACACATTCACATTCTATTCCTTTATTTACGTCATTTACTTTACAACTTTTAAAATGTTTAGTTATATCTGTTGCCGAACAATAATCTTTTCCAATAACTTCTTTCTGTATATATATAATTAAAGTTTAAAACAATTCCTATAATTATATATGTTATTAAAAAATATACAATTTTATCTGTATTACAATCCCATTTATGTTCATCGCATCTAATAAATAAAAATTATAGTTAGTTAATAAATTATATTCATAATATTTTTACGTTTTAGTTGTATCAATCCAGTCAAATCCATTTACACATTCGCATTGTATTCCTTTATTTCCGTCAATTACTTTACAGTTTTTAAAATGTTTAGTTTTATCAGTTTCCGAACAATAATCTTTTCCAATAACATCTTTCTGTATATATATAATAAAATATAAGTTTAATACAATTTTTATAATCATTTAATTTTTATTAAAAATTTACAATTTTATCTGTATTACAATCCCATGTATGTTCATCACATCTAATAAAATAGAATTATAATATTTTATAAATTTTAAATTTTATTTTAATGTTTTACGTTTTATTTTCATCGTTCCACTTAAATCCATCTACACATTCACATTCTATTCCTTTATTTAAGTCATTTACTTTACAACTTTTAAAATGTTTAGATATATCTGTTGCCGAACAATAATCTTTTCCAATAACATCTTTCTGATAATTTATTTTATAATTTAATATATAATATAAAAATATATAATCAAATAAATATATACAATTTTATCTGTTTCGCAACTCCATTTATGTACATCACATCTATTTTAAATAATTTTATAATATATAATATAATTTTTTTATTTTTTATTTAAAATTCAACTTACTTTTTATTAGCGTCATCCCATTCTAAGTGTTCCCATTTATAACACCCACATTCAAAAGTATCTAAATTTGGGTTTTTTAAATCTGGTGTTTTTGCAATACAAAGTCCCCAACTTTTATGTTCTTTACAATAATACATAGGTTTTTCCTTTATTGTCTATTAAAAAAAATAAAATGTAATTAAGCCTATAATATTTTACTTACTGTATCATTTTTTTGACACGGCGATCCATTAATTTTCTCTGCATCAGTTTCAAATATATCAGAATTTAATTTTTGACAATAAGCATGTAAAATGTTTTTTTGCAAATTTTTTATATTAAAAAGATATCTAACATCAGTCCATTCACATTTTATGAAATTTTGATCTAAATTTAATTTAACGTTGCCACTGGTTAAAAATTTAGTGTAAACATCGTCTTTTAATTCATCTATTTTGTTATTAGTTAAATCAATATAAAGATTACCATCGGTTGGTTTTATTTTTTTTACACAGTCATTTGTTATTTTGTTATTATTTAGATAAATATTAATTTTATTTGTTTGTGAAAATGAAAATGTATTTTCATCAAAGTCATCAATTAAGTTATTTGCAAGATTTAATTCATTTAATTTAATCAAATTTTTAAATGGTAAATTTTTAATAATCTTAATTGCATTTTCAGAAAAATCTACTAGTTCTAGATTTTTAAATGGAATTTCGCTTAATTTATTAAACGTTTCATCTTTTATTTTCAAATACTTTAATTTTGTATTATCTATAATTTCAAACACTGACTTGTAAAAGTTTTCATTTTCTTCATGACTACCTTTTAGAGTAATTATAGATAATTTTTCTAAATTATTAACTTTTTGAATATTCTCAATTTTTGAAGTCGACTTTTCTATAATAACTTCTTTAACATTAATATTATCAAAATTAATCTTAGTTTTATCAAAATTTCTTAAAATAATTGAATTCCAAGGACCAGCTGTTACTAATACTTCATTCTCTGGAAAGCCTGAAGAATTTTCATTACAAGTCAGTGTATTATAATTTTTTGAACAATAGCATTCTTTTAAGTCATCTGTGTACGGACATTCAAATCCAGTAGTTTTAACATTCAAACAGGTATTAATCAAATTAATATTTATAATTAAAAATAAAATGTCTGTAAAAAATAATAATATAATTTATATTTAATATTGTATAATTAACATAATAAAAATAATTATATTTAATTTTTAAATAATTTTCATAAAGTATCTGATAATATATTTTTACTTTCTAATATTTTTCTTTATTATATTAATATATGAAATACATAATACTAAAATGATATAAAATGTTTAAAAAAATACAGTTTTTAATCAGTTTTTTTATATTTTGTTATTTTAAATTAGAATAATTTCTTAACTTTTGTAAGTTAATTTTTAACAGTATTATGTTGTGTTAGTTATGTTTATTTATTTTTTTGTTAATTATAATTTTTATACAAATTAATTTAAAATTGTAACATAAAATAGATTAATTATTTTATATTTTAAAGATCTAATAGTAATATTATATAATTAAAGTAAAATTAATAAACTATTAATATAAAATACTTACATTTGTTTGAATAAATCATTTCCAATATTTTGCACTAAAATTAATTGTTAATATAAAGTTTTTTAACAAGTTATATATAATTTGTTGTGTTATATTTCTAAATATGATCAATAAGTTTATATAACTCTTAAGATAAAAAGGATATAAAGTGAAAATAGTCAATTAACTAATTGGTTTTGATATATTAACTAGGAAATTATTTTATTTTATCATTTCTAGTTTTAATATTATATTGTCTATAATCTTAAAAATATTACTGAATTTCAAGTTTTATATTTATTTAACTTAACTTATCAATTACTTTTTTAAAGATAAAATAATGAAATAAGAATAAGTTTTATTTGTGATTAAAGTTGATCTTTATTATATTATGTATAAAATTATAAAATTTGTTTAAGAACAAATTTAATTTTATATTATATTTTATTTTATCAAATAAAATAATATATTTATTTAAATTTTTAATCAATAAGCATTAAATTTATTATATACTATTAATAAAAATACACTGACAATACAGATATTACTTATAATATACTATAAAAATTTAATAAATAGTTATAATAATTTCATATTTTATAAATAATTTTTAATTTACTATATTTATATTTGCTATAATATTTCTTTAATTTATTATGAAGAAATATAAATTTATGATAGTGTAAAAAATTCTACACGTTATAAATTAATTGTTTAATTAATTTGTAGTTAGTTTTTTATAAAATTATTTATATCAATTGATTAAAACTATTTAATATAATTATATTTTATATATAAAATAATATATATAATTTAAACTTTTAGTTTTTAAAATTATTAGTATTTCATTTAATTATAAATAATTTTGATTTTTTAATTTATATTCAAATACAACAACACTTAAAATATATAATAAAATTAAAAACCTAGACAATTTAAATTATATTTGTCATGATTTGAATTTATTATTATATTTTGTTTGAAAATATATATTTGAATGATATTTAAGTATATTGGTATTTAATATACATATATTTGATGTATTGGCTGAAAGAGATATCTTTGAGTAGCCAACGGACAACAAAAATAGTTCTAAGTTTTTATGACCCGACTGTAAACAGTGAGAAACTGTTGTGAGTTTATGGGCACCGATAGTACAGTTGGATCTCACAGTAACTCTTGGATTGGCAGCTAAACTGTATAGTTGTATACCATTTGTATCAATACAATAACATAATAAATAATAATAGAAAATATGTGAACACAATAATTAATAATATATCAAAACAATGTTTTCAATTATTTTTAAACAGATATTCTTTTTTATTTCATATATATTTATCTTTTAAATAAACAAAATTACACTAAAAATATCATTTATATATATTATTTTTATAATAAGTTTTTATATTTTAAAACCAGTTGAAATGTTAGAAAGCATTACCAGAAAAAACTAGTGTTAAGTATCAAATTATTCAGTATAAATATCCATACATAATAATACATAACCACACATTACAATACATTACCCAAAAAATCTAAAAAAATAAAAAAATATTTCATTTAATATAAACATTATAACCTTATTTTTAGTTAAATCATAACAATTTTCAATTTTTTAATATATTAAAAAGTAGGTTTATCTGATATTTACCTTATTATATTTAAATAACAATGTGTTTAAAAATCAAATAATTGGACATAAAGTTTGTTATTTACATTTCTTTGTCTTTTTTTATAACTATAATAAAAATACTTTCTTAATGTTTTCAATTTATCAAAAATAAATGATATTTTAACGAAAAACAATGTATTTTTTTTGTTAATTATTATTTTTTACATAATTTGTATTGTTTTATCAATTGGCTATTAAAATGTTATTAATTTAATCAAATAATTAATGAAATTCATTGATCCCTCACTAATGATATTCTCAAATGTCGTTCAAAAACAATGAGTAAAAACCGATCTCAAGAACTCTTCTGAATGTGATTGCAGTCCATCTTCGATTGCATGGCGTGACTGACCTTAGAATTGGTCTGTTTTTTCAGTGCACTGCATATATTATAGTGTGTGTGAGATACAGGTATGTAATGGTATTAAATGTGTAGCTATTGGTCAGTTCAAATAAGAGACAGTTAGACGGTTAGATCGATCTAATGGTGTCAATAGGATGACCTAAATAACCGATCATAAAGGGAATAGATGTAAATGGATAGTTGTAGGCTATAAAAGTACTTAAATATAATATAAAACGCACTTAAATATAGGTATCAATTAAAAGGTATACCAAAATAGATATTCAAAATTATAGCTAAAAATAATGTAATAGATCCCCTCAACATACTTAAAATACATAATTATTTAGTAATTTATCGAGTATATCTCGTGAACAGGTTAACATATCCGACTGTAACCAACTCTACCGATTACTTTATGTGATTCCCTAAAGTTAAACTTATGGTCACTAATTTGTCAGACAATTGGTTTTTGAGACTAACAATGTTTTTCGGGTATAACTCCTGAACGTATCAATCGATCCGATCGGATCAAATTCAGCCGATTAGTTTATTATTCCCTTCAAAATAACTAATGACCACTATATAGACTCACCATTGGTTTTCGAGATAATCGGTGTCAGCGGGTATAATTTATCATAAAACCCCGTTTTCCGGTTATCTTGGGAATGGGGCAATTGATCCGACCGAGACCAATATGGCCGCTTTATTTTATGATTATCTATWAGTTTACTATTAGTCATTTTGTTRTCAAACCGACGGTTTTYGTGATAAATGTGGTCTACAATAAAGGTCTGCATATCAGTCACCAAAATAACTGAATAAAAAATGCTAAAAAATTAATTCAATTAATAAACCTCTATATGTTGTAATCTTATTAATCGATATGATGTCAAATTTTTAGACATTTTAATTTATAGTCACTTACATAATATATACAATAAAGTTAAACTATTTGTTATATATAATTTATACAAATAATAGGCTTTTGTGTAAATAATATATTGTTTGTAACATTATATTTGTTATATTCAAACCTAATTAAAATTTACAATCAAACAGTTAAGAGCAAAATAATGTAAAGTATTGAATTRAATTAATAAAATTTAATTACCGCTAATATTTTCGTACTTTTTGTTGTATAATAAAAATAATTTTTACATAAATTGAAACTAATTTATTTAAGATTATTATTGAAAAGCTAACTAAACATTTAACTAAAAGGTGAAGTAAAAAACAAAATAGAAAAAATATGATTTAAATATAATAATATTTAAATTCATAAATTTCTATTAAGTATTATACAATWGTTTATTTGCCRTAATTTAACAATAGRTTATGTAAGACACGRCTAACACTATTAAATGACAATAATATTGATATCAATAACTATTGTATAATTTATAAACCAATACTAATTAATTAAATACTAAATTGAATTTTTACTAAATAACTATTTTTATGAATATGTTTTCATTGCTTTCAGTAGTTTTGATATAAATATCATAAATTATAAATTTGTATTTTAATAGAAATTCAAATAATTTAATAAACAAATCATTAATAATAATAATTTAATAAATAATAATAGAAAATGTGTGAACATTTAATAATGAATAATAAATCAAAACAATGTTTTCAATTATTTTTAAACAGATATTCTTGTTATATATCATATATAAAGTTATATTTTAAATAAACAATTAAAATATACTAAAAATATCACTTTTATATCTTATTTTTTCAAAAATATAATATATAGTTTTTATATTTTAAAAAATGTATAACAAAATTAAAATGAGCTAAAAATAAGGAACCAATACATTATATAATTATTTATAAATCATTGTTTAATACTTAACATTAAAACATTTATATAATTAGTAAAATCTATTGCAATTTGTGATCAAATAGTTTGAATCAAAATTTCCAAATTGCATATATATTATCCATAATATTATTTCAAATTATTTTTTTCCTAAAATAATTATTAATTATATAATTAGTATTATTTTAAATGTAACGATAACTACATTTAAATAACAATGTGTTTAAAAATCAAATAATTGGACATAAAGTTTGTTATTTACATTTCTTTGTCTTTTTTTATAACTATAATAAAAATACTTTCTTAATGTTTTCAATTTATCAAAAATAAATGATATTTTAACGAAAAACTAAATGTATTTTTTTGTTAATTATTATTTTTTACATAATTTGTATTGTTTTATCAATTGGCTATTAAAATGTTATTAATTTAATCAAATAATTAATGAAATTCATTGATCCCTCACTAATGATATTCTCAAATGTCGTTCAAAAACAATGAGTAAAAACCGATCTCAAGAACTCTTCTGAATGTGATTGCAGTCCATCTTCGTTTGCATGGCGTGACTGACCTTAGAATTGGTCTGTTTTTTCAGTGCACTGCATATAAAATTTCCCGCATCCATGAGCTTAGTTAGGTCGACACCCTTTGACAAACAAAAATAAAGTTATTTATGTATTACAAACAAAATAATTTCCAATAAAACTAACKGTTTTGATGCCCATTCCGTGTAACATATAGACGACATCCTCTGTGGCCACATTACCGGTGGCTCCCTTAGCGAATGGACAGCCGCCCAGACCGGCCACCGACGAGTCAACAATATTAATGCCGTAGTCCAGTGCCGTCAATATGTTGGCCAAAGCCTGTCCATATGTGTCGTGACAGTGAACGGCCACCGAATCGACGGGAATGAGTTTAAGTACTTCTTCGAGAAGTGACCGCATAGTAGCCGGTGTACCGATGCCTATGGTGTCTCCCAATGAGATTTCATAGCAACCCATTTGGTAGAGTTTGTGCGCCAATTGGGCTACTTTTACACTACTTTGCGGTCCCTCATAGGGACAGCCCAGACAACAGGATATATACCTGAAAATAGGATAAAATTGATTTAAATATTATATTATTATTTATTTTCATATTTTTTAAATAAATAAATAATTGATAAATGTTTTGGATGTTATTTTACAATAAAAGAAATAACTAAAAAATTTTAATTATATTTAAGACATTGAAACTAATTGAGTGACCTTTTCAAGTGTTATACAAATTATTTTTTTCAAGTTTAATGAAATTTGTACTTTTATTTTCAACAAAATGTTGAAATCATTTCCTTAATTTTTATCTGTTAACAATAATATGAATAATTTTATTAATTAATTGTTATTAGAGCTTAATTTACGGTAAAAAAACAAATAAAACTAACATAAAATTAATAATAAAAACTCAATTTAAGTGGTTTTTCTATCAAAATAAAATTTGAAATAATTAAATAGTAAACAAAAGTAATAGTGATTATGAAAAATAAAAAAAAAATTTATGTTTTATAAAATGACAATTTATAAAAATGAATAAAAAATACATTATAAATGACAATAATTAAAATTAAAACAAAAATACGTTATAAATATTATAAAGCCTTGAAAAAATGTGTTTTAATAAAATTAAAGTATTTTTATTTTAACACTTTAATAATAAAAATTTAAACTAACAGATATAAACTACAAATAAATTTTCCTTAAAAATAATAGAAATATTATAATTAGCAAAAATAATATATTAAAAATATAACTAAAATATTAATTATTGTCATTAAATATTTAAAAAAGTGTAGTTAATTTTGATAAAGTATTATTATTTAATGGGATTTTCTAAATGATTTTGAAATATAATAGTCAATTATTACTGTATTAAATTAAAAATATATWTCATCTAAATTGAAAATTAGCTCTTAATTAATACTTATTAAATCCTTAAATTATACTTATAATAATAATAATAATAATAATAATAATAATAAAAGTATAAATTATATTACAGTAAGTAATGATACAAATTAAAGCTCAGGTGTAAGGAAAGGATTGGTGGATAACTACTATAACTACAAGTGTGTGTTAATGAAGTGGAGGTCACAAATGGGAAGGACACTCACCCCCTAACCCTGATTTCATTTTTGAGGGCTTTTTTGATCACTTCATCGATCCTCTGAAGACTTTCATTTATAGAACAGTTGACATTTGTCTTACAAAAAGTCTCCGAAACTGTGGTGAAGACTGCAATCTCTTTAACACCGGTTCGGATCGCATCCTCCAGACCTGACATTAGATGATAATAACAACAATTTTTTTGTAAATTAAACAAAAATATTTTTTCAAATATATCGATAAATAWATATATATATATATATATATAAAAAAATTTAGTATACCTTTAATATTTGGAACTAAAACCGGATAATTGACTACCAAATTGTTGGTAAACTTATTTACAGATGACATCACCTGCGAGTGGTCGGCCATCTGTGGCACCCATTTGGGCGAAACAAAGGCCGTGGCCTCGACTACCGATAGACCCGTTTGGGATAACTTGGATATAAATTCAACTTTTGTGGCGGACGGCACATACTCCTAGATATATATTATTTATTATAAATAGAAAAATATATTTACAATAAAAGATAATTTAAATATATTTTATTGAAAAAAATATCATTACCTTTTCATTTTGTAAGCCATCTCGTGGTCCAACTTCTACTATCTTTACAAAACTTGGTACTCGTTTTGATGGTGTGACCTATCATCAGATGATTCAAACAAACAMAAAAAACATAAGTCAATGATATGATAAAAATATGATATTTTMTTTTAATGAAAAAAAACAATTTTCATTATCTCTGATGTGAAATATTTAATTAAATTTAAAAAAAAAGATAATTATTGTTTACTTTCTGGACTCACAAATGTTTAGTATATATAAAACATGTAATATTTGCTAATATAAACATACAGTAAATATATGACATCTGATAATTAATATTTGATTAGATATATAATTATTATCAACGAAAAAAATGCGGTTCACATTTATATAAGATAATAATATATATATATATTCATATATGATATAAAAATATTAATTTTTATTCCTCAATAATGACCCTGGCAATTTAATCAATTCGCTAAATGTTATGTAATATATTATTTAAATATTTATATAATTATTCAAACAAAAAAAAACAATATTATAAACAAACATCAATTTTATAATAAATTTTTTAAATCTATTCATTGAAAAAAAGTAATGTATTTACTATTTAATAACAATAAAATATTTATTATTATTTTTGTAAAATAATTTTATAACTACTACTCAAAAGTCAATGAAAAGTTAAAAGTTATTTCAATTTTTATGGTCTGTTAGTTACATAAATAGTTAAATTGAAAATAATATATTATATTATAGTTTATAGTCATGTATAAAAAAACTAAATAATAATAAAATTGTAAAATAAACTACAACAAAACAATTATTAAATAATAATAAATATTATATTATATTATCACTGTATTATTTTTCCTCAAACTATTTTTAATAATTGTAGTCAATAACAAAAATATTATTATTATTATTATTACACAATAATTCATATAAATTTAAATGACAAAAAAATTACAGATAACTCTCTATAATATGAACATAGTTTGGGAATAAAAATTATTTCACAATATAGAAAGTTTCATATTAAAGAAAAAGTTCTGTATTATGAAAATAATATTTATATTAAAATTTTTCATATTATAGAATTGGAATTAATAAAAATCTTTTATTTTAAATTTTAATGAAAAATATTACAAAATAAAGAGTATATTAATTAAGTTTAATTCACTTAAAGTAATCAGTAATTGATGTTTGTTTGAGACTTTGTTTCTTAAGCTTTAAATCAATTAATGAATGTTTAATTTTATTTAAATGTATCAATACTTCAGGTAATTCAGAGATAATTAATGTCTCAAGTTTTGTCACCATTTCTAAGCCATCATTAACTGTAAGACTATTATTATTGATAACAAAATCATTTAATGGCAACTCATTTGATGTCATAATTTCAATATCGGTATCATTATTGTCGATATTATCATTAATAGCTTCTTCAAGCAAATCGTTTTTAAAGTCATTACTATGCAATTGTAAAGAGTCTTCAAAATTATCAATCTCTTCAAATGTCATAAGATTTTCGCCAATACATGACTGAAATGTTTCAAATGAATCGGCGACCACTTCTTCGACAATAGTGTCACTGTTGGTCTGAATTTCAAATCCTGAATGTTTATAACAATTAATAATTGTATCACATTTTACATCAGTCCATGCAATCAATGTCCACTCAATACATGATCTTAAATCAATACTTTTAATCATGTTTTTCAATTCAGTACCAAATTCAATATTATTGTTATTAACAGTTGATTGGTATAAATCATGCATATTATTAGTCAAATGTCTTATTAAATAACTTCGATATTTAGCTTTGAATGATCTGATGATTCCCTGATCCAGTGGTTGAAGACGTGATGTAGTGTTAGCCGGAAAATATTGAATCTTAATATTTGAAAAATTCAAATCATCTGGTATTTTATGTGCCGAACAGTTATCAACAAATAACAATATTTTGCGATTATTTTGCTTAAAATGTTTATTAATTGTTTGCAACCAATCAATAAATATAGTTTGTGTCATCCATGCACTTGAATTATTATAATAATGTATTCCTAATGAATTGATACTGGTTTTCATATTATTAAAACATCGAGGTTTACGAGCGGTACCAATGATGACTGGCTTTAATTTTTCACCAACAGATGAACAACACAAACCTAATGTCACTCTTTGCTTGAATTTTTTTTTACCAAATTTATTAACTCCTTTTAAAAGATACGACTTTTTTGGTAATAATTTATAGAAAAGTCCCGTTTCATCGAAATTGAAAATGTCTTCAATATTGTAATCCTTTAGTAAATCTTTTAGATTTTCTATCCATTGTTCAACAGTTTTATCATTTATATCTGCAGATTCGCCACTATATGATTGATACTTAATTTCATGTCTTTTTGTAAATTTTGATAGCCATCCATCTGATGCTTTAAATTGATTTAAGTTAAGTCTTATTGCTATATCTGATGCAAACACTTTAATAATTGGTCCATCAATTGGGACTTTATTTGCGTTAGACAATTGTACAAACTTTAGCACCAATTCATTTAATTTATCATTTGGCGTACGTCTGATCCGTTTCTTATGTTTGTTTGTTTGACTTAAAATATAATCAGTATTTTTGATGATGTTGTTGACGGCACCGATACTTATTTTGTATTTTTCCTGTAGTTGTCGTTGATTTAACCCATTTTTGTAATCAATAATTAGTTTACTTTTATTGCCAAATGTTAAATCTTTTCTTGATTTAGCCATTTTGCAGACACAAATAACTTTCACTCAATAATTTTGAATACAATATACTGTATTGACAATAATTATTATAAAAACACGTTTATTTAGACTATCAATGATTGCTATTAATTATACATTGATTGCAGTCTCAGTCTATAATAATTGTTACAGTTTTACAGTATATTTTTACAATTTTCATATTAAAGAAAACTTATTATTATTATTTGAATTTACAGTTTCTGTTCATAATATAGAATATAGAGTTTCATATTATAGAATATGTAATACATTATAATGTACTGTAATGTCATTGGTATTAAATATTTGTTCATATTATAGAGCTTTTTCATAGTATAGAGCGTTCATATTATAGAGAGTTATCTGTATACATAATTTTTTTAAAATTTATGTATAAATATTAAAAAATCATATTATAATAAATAATAATCAAAACATATACACCATGTAGTAGTAAAATGTAGTCAAAAAAATAAATAAAATAAATTTAAACAGCATTTCAACATATATTTCAATATATATTTTAATAAACAAAAACATATGATTTAATATATAACGTGAATATATATATTGAAAATGCAAACACATATCATATCATATCATATAATGATATCAATACACAAAACACACATAAATTTAGGACAATATGTAAATTGAATACATTTAATGAGTTTACAGTAATTATAATTATATTAATAATGATATGAAAAATACAATTACATTAAACTTATTGGTATTATTGTTGGAGACGACGGATGATGTGTTGGTATTATTATTATTATTATTATTGGCGGCGGTATTGTTGGTGTCGTTCACGGCCTGTGCGGCGGACATCAGCCGGTGCTGTGACTGTTGAGGCACAGGTGGCTGCTGTGGCCGACACACGCCGTGATATTTACCGATTTGGTGGCCGACTGTCATATATTTTGCACTGCAATTAGCACACAATATACGACTTATTACAGACAGGTCTCTGAACAACAAACGCATAGTCAGTCTGACATTAATGTTATGAGAGAGTGATGTTATGGGGAACGGGAGGTATGGCGTGTGAAAGTTACTGGAAAATTGAGAGAAACAGAGGGAAACACTGGGGGAGAGACCTGACAGAGAGTGAGAACTAGTAGTGACAGACAGTCCCCCCCTAACAACCAGTATTTAGGGGGAATGGTATGTGTTTTTTTTGTGTGTGGATTTTAGGTGACGACATGTACAGTACATACAGTAGTTTATTAGTAAAAATATATGGTTTACTCTTTAAAGTATAGGGGAAAAGGCATTGACGTCATGTAATGCACTGTTACGTCATGTGCTTTAATATGTCTGTAACTAACAAATGGGAGGATAGTATCTAATAGTTTGGTCACGACATCTATAATGTTGTATATATTTTGTACAAAAAAAAAATATATAAAATTAACAAAAATAAAATAAAATCATATGAATTGTTTGTATGAATAGTTTATTTGTACTTTAAATTTGTAACAAAACAAACAAACAAAAAATTTGATATGATTTATACAAATATGTTAATTAGGGTTCAATGATAGCTAATATAACCTGTATTTCTATTGTTTGTTATATTTAATAATATAAATATATATAAATTTTTTTAAAAAAAAACTTAGCATGCACATATTTTAACTACACATAATACTATAATTGCATATATATACTGTATTTTTTGTTGTTATTGAAAAGTTTAACAAACTAAGTGAACCGTAATAATGATAAGTTCAATAAATTGATGACAAGTTCAAGCATATTTTTTCAAAAAAATAATTATTTTGTCTATGTTAAAATAGACTTTTTAAAAATAACTTATACTGTATCTATCTATAAATAGTTTATTTTAAAAGTATCATACTACTGTATATATTTTTTTTAATAATTACTTTTTAATATTAACAATTTAATTTAATATATGATATAATCTCTTTTTAAAAATTTTTATTTTCAAAAACAATGTATTTATCATTTGATGTGTTTTCCAATAATAAAAATCTATAGCAATTTTCCTCAATTTACTTAATTTATTTATTTATTATTATTATTATTCTTATTAGATTTTTAAAAATACTATTACATAACACAAATTGCTTTATACTTAAGCACTCATTATACTATATCCAGGGTCATAATGAAAATAAATTTATGAAATAGAAATTTCTAGAAAAACATTAATGCAATACATGCAAAAAAAATACTTTATATCAAATAATTTTATGTAATTTATAATTTTTATCACATATTTTATTATTTACTGTATAATATACAGTGTATATTTATCACATGGTAGTTATTTGGCAAATATAATAAATCCATAAAAATTAAAGTTTTTTTTAAATTTTTTATACAATATGTAACAATTATTGTAATTAAATCACTCGTTATAAGTTATTATTAATATTCGTAATTAATTTTATGGTGTTTTATTAATAAAATATAATGTTTACAAAATAATAATATTATTTGTTAACATATAATAATACTTAAATGTAATTATTTATTTAATAGTATTATTTAAAAATATTTTATCATTAATAACAGTGTTTTATTGGTATTATATACGATAATATCGATTACTCTAATATAATCAAAGATAATCTAATTTTTTAAAAATAATACGAAATTAGTGAAATTATTTAAGAATATTCTGTATTAAATTATAATATATTTTGTGAGTTTGTTTTTTATAAAAAAAACAAGTATCATCATAATTGTTTTTGTATGGTTTATGATGACACGGATGAAATTGTTAACATTTAAAAAAGCCCTCAAAAAAATTAATATCAGGGTTAGGGGTGAGTGTCCTTCTCTTTCTTTCTCTAATTTAACCTCCATTTCCCATTAACACAGTGCTTGATAATTAGCAATCCTTTATTTTTATATAAATTGTTATACTCTATCATTTAAATATTATTATAACAGGTTTAACTTTATAGTTTAACTAACTAACTAAATAATAACATTTTTAAAAAGTAAGTTAAATATTTTTTTAATTAAAATTTGTAAAATTTAAAATAAAACAAACAACTTGTGTGTCCAATTAATTCAATTATTATTATTAACGTCAATTACAGTGTTATTTAAATAGTGAAAATAAAATTCCCATTTTATCCATAGTTATCAAATAATTATATGTTTGTTTTATAATATTATGTATGTATGTATATTTGTTTTATTGAAATATATTTTTCATTGGAAAAGTACTAAGTATTTATTATTTTTATATTATTGGAAATATTAATATATATATATTTTTTAAAAATATAAATATCTTAAATATTGTAATTTCCTTTTAAAGTTATTTCTTTTAAATTTTGAGTACATTTGAACTTAAGTTTTGTTTCTAAAAATATTTATTTTTTTAAAAAATACTATATAAGTATTTATAGTATACAAGTAGTTGAAATCATTAATAATGTATTAAATGCTAAATTTTTCCAGACATCATTATTTAGTTTTTTTAAAAAATCAATTAAATGATAATAATAATAAATATTGAATTATTAAAAATGATTTTTAAAAATATTATATATAATTTTGTTAATAATGTTTTAGCATTTGTTTATTAAAATTGTTTGTCAAAAATAATGATTTAATTGTCTTTATTTAATGTTCAAAAATCGGTATTTTCACTGAACTTGAAATATTTGAAAATATTATTTTAAAAGTTAGACGATTTGGTATTTTTCAACGTTTCAGATATTTTATTAAATATGTTATCGATTTTTTTAATGATTGAATATGTTATCATAAAATTAAATTTAAAATAAGTGAATTATATTGTTTATATTATATATATTTAATCAAAAATGACTATTATATTATTGTATATTTATGTTATGTTAAAAAATACATTTTACTTTTAAAAATATTTATTTACTTGTATACATAAATTAATAACGATTATCTTTTAAAAATTAATAAAAAATATTATATTGCTGTATATTTAAAAACAATTTTTTGTTTTGTTTAGCATAGTTATATTTTTAAAAAATAAGTTTTATTTTATTTTTTATTTGCCAAATTATTTTACTTGCACCTGATTAATATTTACTACTAATTAGTTAAAATTAAAAAATAATTAAAATCGTAACATAAAAAATAATTATTTCCATTGAAATAATATTGCGAAAGTTTTAGGATATATTTAAAATATATAAACCTGTATATTATACATATATAATATTATGATTACTAAAGCAAAAATATGTAAAGCATTTTATTAGTGGAAAAACCAATGAAATGTTAGGTTTTTTTCAAAAACCAGAAATTATGCACAAAAAATAAAGTCACATATTATTTGACAACTTTGCAGCAGTAGTAGTAGTAGTAGTAGTAGTACTAGAAGTAGTAGTAGTAGTCGACAGGTAGTTATGTGTTTGGGAAACAACACACATATTAATGATATTTTTTTTTATTTTTAAAATACAACATATATTTAGATGGATATGAGATATTTAAAGAATTTTAGTAATAAAATAATTATTGTCCACAATATAGATAGTCATCTATCTATCCATTGGGTGCTAAAAATATCAAAAGCCGTTTTAATATTGACCTTAAAAATGGGAAAAAACATTATAATTTATATATATATCTCAAAGAACTTAAAATTATATATAAAATATTACGGTAAGTGCAAATGTTAAGTGCGATGTTAAGTGCATAAAAAATAACTTTAATAAAATAATTAAATTTACGGTAAGTTAAAAAAAATATATTCATCTATTTCATTGAATTAATATTTTTTGTTGTAAATATATTATATGTAATTATTTAAATATATATTTACGCATTTTATATTTTAATAATTAATTATTAATTGAAAAAACTAAATTAATATAAAATATTAAAATTTTATGTTTATTTTAATTATTATGTTTATATATAGTTATAACCGTTATATAGCAGTATTGAAGTAATAATTTTCAGTAATTATAAGGTATTAGCTTTTTAAACTAAAAATAATATATTTACACTAATAAAAAGTGAAAAATAAATTATTATATATACACGTGTTGTCAATTTTTTATTGTTTTTATTTTCAATTTAAAAAACATTTATCAAAAATATTTATACTATTTATAAAAAATATATAATAATATAAAAATAATATAAATATAAAAATAATTTATTTTTTATTACAATGGAAAGTTAAATAAATAAAAATAAAATTTTAACTTAAAATAACAAATATTTTAATCAATATTTTTTACTTCAAATATAACCTTCAAATATATATAAACATTTCAAAGTCAAAGTTATTTAATATCTACAGGTAGTATATATTATTTATTTACAATTAAATATAAATATAAAATTACAATATATTTAATATTTAAAATAATTTAGTGTTATAAGTATTAAAATATAATTCAAATTATATAAAATATAAATCCAACAAAAAAATAAATAAATCAATAATGATTGGATATAAGCTCATTAAGTAGTGACTATATATGGATATACAGTAAGTTACATACTGTTTAAATATTTAACATATTTTAATGACTATAATGATAGGTAATAAAAAATTACATAAATTATAATAACAGTATTATAGATTAATAATAATGGGATATACTAAGGAAAAATTAAGTCCTAATAATATACCAAACAATATAGTAAATGATGCCATCATACCTGCTATAGAGGCATACCTGGGCTCTACTAGCATTGGACAATACATTATTGCCAGACTCGACAAATAGCCGGATGTCAATGACATAAGTATTGCACCCAATATGTAAAGTATATCATTACCGATGAGTACTGGTAGGTGTCGGTCGTTGGGAAAGAAATTACAAAACAAGAAAAACGGTATAAATATTAATCTCAATAATGAGTAAACTATCAGAAATTTTGGCGACGGTTTGGGCAACCATTCGGCCAATGAGTTGCCAATGGTTTTGAATAACGGAAATATTAGAAAACAAAATACGGGTACAAAATATTTATCGGAAATCAATTGATTCAATGGTCTAATGTTGGCCTGAAGTGACGGAAATATTGAAAATGTCACAAAATATATGACTATTATAGTCAACAATTGTGGCCATATTTGGTAAAATACGTGTAAATATAATTGATATCCACTTAAAGTTTGCTGATGTTTGTCACTAATTATAATATCCATTTGTTTGCTATCATTTTGATTACTATCACGAGATGCTATGGTTTTCATAACGATATCAATGTTTTGGTCACCGATTTGTGCGTTTTTTGTCATATAAAATGTATAAAATTTCTGTAATAAAATAATTTCATTAAATAGTATTTTTTTAAATATATATATTTTTAAAAAATACTCACATTTTTCCTAATAAACAATTCATTCATAAAACATAATAACAGATATATGACGGCAACTGAAAAGAAATAAACGGCCGAAACTTTAGGTGTCGGTGCGATTGACAACGATATTATCAGAAATATGGCGGCAATAACACCGCTAAGATTGAAGCCCATTGTTACGGCATTAGTATATTGCACCGGTAGTTTGGCTGCAATACCGTATACACAGCACTGAAATATGCCATTAGCTATATTGACTATAAATGCCAATAACATTGTAATCCAGAAGAATATTTCTGGCCATTGACTGGAGTCGGCAAATGCCAGACCAGTGATCACAATGAATACCAGTGCTTGAAATAACAGTGTCGACCAAATGCGCTTTGAAAGCGATTTATAACTATTAATAAAGAAAATATGTTTTATTATTATTATTATTATTATAAATAGTTTTAGGTTTTTTGAAGATAATTGTTTTCTTATTTATTTTTTAATATCATAAATCGTAATTACTTTGAACTTAAAAACATATTAATAAATTGAAACAAAATATTTGGCGCTTTTGATGCAATTCCCAGATATGACAGAAAATTTTTGCGATAAGTTTTTAGAGTTTCCGATGAATTGTTTGAAACATTTAGTTTGTAGTCAACAAAATACTAGAAATCAAAAAATAAATTAACTTTAACTACAATACATACAAAAAAAATTAATTAAAAACAATAAAATTTCTTTAATAAAATATAAGATTGTAAATTTTTAATAAAAATTTAATTAAGAGTGAAAAAATAGTTATTAAATATTAATTATTATATAATACTATATTATGAGATAATAGATATTAAATATAAAATCAATAAGAGTAAAACAGACAAATATTTAAAAGTATTATTTTTTATATATATATTTAATAAGTATATTAGTTTTAGTTTTAATGGACAGTAAAAATATTAATAACTTGATTTTAATTATTTATTAATTAATAGTTAATTTAGCAAAAAAAATTTCAAAAAATTAAAACTAATAATATACATACAGAATCTGAATTAATTAACATATTCCATGCAAATAGGGCAGCGATTCCATGAAAAAACATTACAATATATACAATATATTTTCTAAATAATTAAAAAAATAATAAAAAAAATTAATTAAATTTTGAAAATTAATACAGTATATCATAATTTTATTTATAGCATACTTATCTGTTGGCTCCATTTTTAATTATTTATAGATTATTTTTTAAAATTTTAATTAAAATTGTTGTGTTTAGAAAAACTCAACAAAATATTTTACATTTATTACAAGTTTATTACATTAGCTTTATTTTTTTTTAGTTAAATACAAATCACATTCAATATATATATTATAGTATAATTTATAAACAAACTATATAAATATATAAACATATATACATGTATATATAAAAATCTGATAAAAATATGATATAAAGTATTTTTTTGTAGGTTTTCTATATAATTTATTTCCCATTAATCACAATTTCCAGAATACAATTGATATACAATATAACAATAATACTAATAATACTTATAAATTATAAAGTGTTAAAGTGTTAACAATAAAATTAACAATAACTTTTTTTATGTTAACATCCATGTCAAATACAAAAACGTCATTGAAAATTACTATTGTAAATAATACAACAACAACTACACTACCATTAAGTTATGATATTATTATACAATACGATATACAAATAGGTAGGTATATGTAAAATATGTTTTTTTAAACATAAAAATTATTATTAACTGAAATTCCTGTGCATATGTGCATCGATTGTTGCCGTAATATAAGACAAATTGAGGTCATTTTATATACTGTATATAAAAAAAATTATAGTAAACTAATATACTGTGCAAATATATAAATATATATACTGTATGTAGTATTTACATACAGTACATTGTAAATGTTTTTAACAAAATATGTTTGCTTAGCTAATTAAATTTTTAACTAAATAATATCTTTTTTTACAAAATAATTATTTTAATTGCTATTTATTGAAATGTCAACATATTGTTGCGTAATATAAGGTATTTTGTAATAATTTAGTAAGTTTTGTTATGATTTATTAATATATTACAAAATTTTACTATAATATATTATAATTATTAATTTATTATTTCTATTTAGTTTAATAAAGAAAACTATAAAACAGTAAAAATATATAGTTTTATAAAATAAAGGTAAAATAAAAACATAATTATATCATATTTATATTTAAAAAATCTGTAATTAACACAAATCAATATCCAATTATTAGATATTAGATTAAAGTTAAAAAAGTTAAAAAGTATTAAATATTATTAAACAATACTTTTATATCAAAAAATCAAATTTTAATCAAGTACATTTATGTATTACATGATGTAATATCTGAATATAAATGAAATACTATTTTATTATACATAATATGTATTACATATTGTTTAATAGTCTCAATTTTTGTTAATTATTTAGTCAATATATTTTTAACGAATCAATTAAAACCAATCAGATTAGTACTGTATGTTTCAGTGGATTATTGTTTGAAACGGTAATATAATGACAATGTAATGTAAAGTTAAACCAATTCAATGTAACAATTGTTGAATAGGAGACTTAAGCAATGAAATGTCATCAGCAATAGTCCAAATCAATAGACCAAAAACACTGTGTATTTATTCAACAATAATTTGATGTCTATTAGTGGATTCGAACTCAACATCATAAGATTGAATTAAACATTTTATAAAAATTTCATTAATCTTATAAAATCATTAAATTGTAATCATTTATATTAAATTATTGAACAAATAATATATTTGAATTAAAATCCATTAAGAAACTTATTTTCTTCCTAAATAACTTTTTTTTATTATATGCTATTAATGCTAATATAATACTATATATTATATATTCTTTATAATACTAATTAAGTAAAATTATAGCTATATTTATAATAAAAAAATTGTATATCAAATTTTTTAAAGTAGATAAGTTTGATAAATAATTATTTTTATAAATTGTAAATCATACTTACTTTTATTACTTTATATTGACTATACATTACTCAACTAAAAAAATATGTCAATTAAAATTAGTTTCTCTAAAATAATTCAATAAATATTTCATTTAAAAAAGTTTTATTTTCTAGAATTTTAAAAATATATTTATAAATGTTGTTTTCGTCTTATTATTTAAAAAAATAATATAATATTAATTTGAAAAGTTAATAAGAAAGCAACTTTTTAATATTTATGTTTTTTAATTGATTTACAATTATCTATTAAGTACTGTATATCTAATTACTGTATATAATGTTTTAAAGAAGATATTTATAATTTAGATAATATTATTTTAAAAATACGGTGACTAAATATTTTAACTATTTTTGAAATTATTGTAAACTCAATGTAAAAAAATAAAAGCTAATGTATTATACTATATATATATATGATCACATCATTTTATTGATATCATTATATTTTTTTTATATAAATAAAATCAAGGTATAAAATATTTTTAGTTGATCACTATATTTTTTATCATAGATATCAAAAACAAAACAAAACAAAAAATATAAATAACTTAAATTCCCAGCTCTTACCCAAAAATTTTTTACCATTTGAATCAAATAAAATGTTGATAACGGATGTATGATATGATACTATCAGATATAATCGGAGACAACAAAAATTGTCAACAAATATATTATATATTTATGTCATTGATTGGGATGTATCGGCCGTCAAATCAAATCATATCCTATTATTGTATGACTTATCTGATGTTAATATCTTTATGTCAGTACACGTCTTCATCGGCGACAATAAGTGATACAAAAGTGACAAAAGTTTTGCCGCCAAAGTCTGTATGCGTGGCACTCATGGATGGCATTCACAAACACAAAGGTTTTTACCAATTGATATAAATCTTAAAAAAAATAATTATCTTAAATATAGCTTATAAATAATATATAGTTTTTTATATAATTTAATTATTTTTAATAAGATTTTTATATATAATTAATGTTTTTTCTTACTTTACAGTAAATAATTTAATTTTTGTATTTTTTGTATTACATAGATTCGGTATAATTAAGATGTTATATTTTAGATTAATTAGATGTTATAATATTTGTATACAGTATTATACTTTATATGATTATATAATATAATTATATTATATACTAATATATATTTTGATACAATTTTTTTATGTAGATGTGTATCATAGTAAGTGTCTATTAAATATATATATTTATACATGTATTTTTGTAATGTTATACTCTATACAGTTTAATATAAAACAGTTATAGTAATGATTTGTTCATATAGTTTATATTTTTGCAAACATCTAAATAATATATATATAGTTAAATTAAAAATAAAAGTTACATAAAATTTTATATTAAAACTTTTCTGAAAATTATTTTGTTTTATTTAATATTATATAATAAAAAAGAAAGAAAATAATGTGAATAAAACTTAAATTCATATTTGTTAAAAATATAAATATATATTTATTTAAATCTATTAAATTGTTAAAATAATAATTAATTTATTTTATTATTAAATTTCTAGGCATTGATAAGTTTGCGTTAGTCAACGGCATAGGTATGGAGTCGACAGTACAGCTCTATAAGGACTGTGTTTTATATGATGAAGGCTTCAGATATAAACGCAACTAAATATATATATAACTAATAAATATAATAATATAAACTAATTTATTAAAAAAAATTGTTTTAAAAAATTTAATATTATTTTGTGAAATACATTATATGTAAAATTATTTACTTTTAAAAAAACATAATTAAGTAGTATTTGAATAATAATAATAACAATGAAAAAATTATTTTAACTAAAAATGTAATCTTTAAAAAAAATCATTAAAAATACAATTATTAAGTTAATTATATTATTAAAAATTCAGTATGTCAAAAATAAATATATATATACTATTATATTTGAACAATAGTAATGTACTAAATAATAATAATGAATTTTAATAAATTATTTATATTTGTTAATTACACAAATTTATTCATTAATTATTTATTATATTTACAATACATAAGTCATGAAATTTTTCAAAATATACATAATATGTTAAATAAATTTATATTAATCTTCTTATACTGTACTATATATATATATATATATATATATAGATATTAATCATAACAATTATTAATTTATTATTTAAAATATTTTAGTATAATTAGAATACATGATTTTTATGAAAATTACATAATTACAAAATATAAGCATCTTAATTAGTGTATTCAATATATATATATATATATATATATATATATATATATATATATATATATATATATATATACAGTATATATATTAGGGTTGCTAGATTAAATTTTGAAGATAGAAGATATTTGAAAAATATGAAATGGCAATCGTAGGATAGTTAATAATTTATTTATAAAATTAATATTTTTAAAGATTTTCTAATATATCTCAGTTTTATGACATAAAATAGTTTTATTTAACTAGACGTTAAATTGGTTTAAAGTGGACAAAAAAATTAATTTAATACTGCTATTGTTAAAATAGTAATTTCAACATTTTAATGATTTATCAATTAATTTAAATATGTATTTTGTTAATTGTTACCACCTTATTATATAATAATTTTACACTAATTATGTATGTTTGTAACTACTAATATGAAAATATAAAAGTAGAGTAAAAATTCATTTCAAATTTCATAAGATTAGTCATTCAGAGACTTGTTTTATACAACAAAAATCAGATGACATTCCTCCCAAATTGAGGACGTCTTGCAACCCTAATATACATATTAGTATATATTATTTATTGCAAATATTTGAATAAACTGATTATTTGATGTACAGTTTATAAACCTTTATAATTTATTATATTTATAAATAATCTATAAATTTAATAATTTAATTTAATAAGTAATACAATATTAGTTCGTTATTATTATTATAATTATTATTCTTATCTATAATAATAACTTATTTGTTATGTATCCAATTACTTTTTAATATTTATTATTATAATAAATTTCTTAATGTCTAAATAATCGATAATGTCTAAAAATTGTATTTATAAATAACAATAGAAATTATCATAGCAAAATAAAATTAATTAACTTACAAAAAATGATTATTTTATTTTTTTTAATTAAATAAAAAATAGAATTTTAATGAGATTTTATATAAATTATGTAATACTATTAATTAATTTTTATTAATCTTATATATCTTATTTTATTACTATAGTGCTTTTATAATTTATTTTTTAAATACAATATTTTGTTGCTAATTTGAATTAAATAATATGCATTTATAATAAATTGTTTGAAAAATTTTCATCAGATACCATAAATTAAATTACATTTATTTAAAAAAAACACTAAAAACAAATTATCTAAACCAGAAATTACAGTTTTGACATTAAATTTATATCTAACAAAAATATATGAAAATTTGTTATATTGTATAAAAATCGATTCAATTATTATTAGGTATATATATATAATCGGATTACTATACATCAATTGACTGTAATTTTATAGCCATTGAATAGCTATGAGCCAAATGCTAGACTTAAATTAATTTGCAAACACTTTTCTTAACATAAGTCAATACATGTTTGAAATAGTATTAATACTATTGTAGAACTTAAGAGTTGGTATTTAATAACTGTTTTTTAAAAATAAATTTTACTAAAAATAGTGCTTTATTTAGCAAATTTGTAACAAAATATAACTATTTTAATAAATCATGCATTTTTTTATTATAATATATTAACTATTGCTAATAAATTTATTTTTATAATTTAGGTAACTTCTAATAATAATAATAATATAAGATAATTAAACCAAATAAAGTTATTTTTAGTCCAAATAAATATATAAATTTTTACATTAATAATTATCCTAGAATTATGCATATTTTAATTGCCCTAGTCAATTTGTTTGCAGATACCAATTCCGCAATCATACATATTATTATTATTATTATTATATTTAATTTATTTATATTCATAATTAAGTAAATCCGTAGTGAATAATATGACATTTTTATAATTTTATGATTTTAATTTTAAGATAATTTTTGCAGCATTTTATTAAGCTAATAAAATAATAATTTAATTAAAAAAAATAAAATAAAAATTTTATCTGAAAATTATATAGTTTATTTTTTGATCATTTGGGAATAGGAAAACTTACTTCAATTTTTAGATGCTTTATAATTTTTATAAACTATATATAGTATTGATATAATTATTTTTATTAGTTTATATATTATATTTTTAAATAATTTTTTTTCTTTATTAAATGCATTAGATATTATTATTAAGAATTTACATTAACATTAAATATTGTAAATTATCATTTTTGTTAATATAGCAAAAATTTTTAATATTGATATAATATATTTTTTTAAAAAAAATTATTTAAATTACAATTAATATAATTTATAATTGATTATTAATTATCGCGACAATTGTTAAATTCAGATTCATTAACAGCACCGACATCTGACTGTAGTTCCTCATCGGCGGCAACAACACAGTCGACGACATCGAAGTATGTGTTCATAGGTAGGGACACAACGTTTTGTTGGCCGTCACCGCTAACTCTTGTATGAGTTGATACACAAAACAATAATTTTTTTACTTTTTCTTTGAATCGTTTGTTAAGCCAACAGTATATGAATGGATTGTAACTATAGTAAGACAATGTCATACAATAGATATTTATTAAAAATAAATAAATGTATATTTTATAAAGTATATTAATAGTCAATTATAGTATTTAATCCATTAAAAAATTTATTATTTATTAAATATATAAATTCCTAAGCCAATTATTAATTATTTACAGTTTATTTACAAATTTAAATTAATTATTTATCTCTATTATTTTCACAAAATCATGTATTAACATAATAATTGTAAATATGTATTAAAGTATATACTGTTTGTATTTATATAAAACTATATAAATCTTAACTCTTAATAATAAAAATTTAATATCTTTGAATATTTATTTTTTTAATAATAAAAAAAAATGTTATCAGATTTATTTTGTTTTGTATTTTATTCTTTATAAAAAAAATTACAATATAAATTGATGATGCGTTCAATAATCATTTAAATAATGTCTATATATTTATAATCGCTATTTATGGTTAAATAATTAAATAAAATACATTAAACTAATACAAAAATATAATATATTAAAAATAAACTAAGTTTTATCTGATAGTACAGATCATATAATCCAATAAATTTAACTTATATATATTATTTCTAATCTATATATATATATATATATATATATATCAAATTTACTGAGAATTTAGATATAAATAAATAACCAAATAATTCTTAGTTTAGAAAATAATTTTTAATTCAATTTAGTTGAGAAAAACATTGAAAATAAATTTTCTACAAAAAATAAATAAAATCTACAGTATTTTTTGTAAAAAAAACTTTAGATTTAAAAAAGACTGCATAAAAAGCTGCTGTAAATTGATAAAATATAAACAGCAAAAAATGTCTAAAAATAACTAATGAGAGTGAAAATAATAAATATCACACATATATATAAAACACATAAAGTATTTAGTATATCATATAATTTATAGATAGATGTATTTTATATACTAACCAAACGCTAGACATTGCAAAACAGTGGACAATAAAAAATATAGTCAACGAGTAGTCAATAATATCAAAGTCGGTCAACAAGTGGTAGACGTTTAACGGAAACCAACAAATGGCAAAAGCCGTGACCACCAGAACCAACATTTTGATCCGTCGTCTCTTAATCCTAACCATCTGTGTCTTATGAATCTCACTGATGACACCAATTGTCTTTCGACGCCATAAAAACAAACTGATTCTCACGTAACACAAACTCGTAAATAGTATAGGTATGAGATATTGGCTCAAAAATGACAATACTGTCCATCTTTGTCGGTACACTAAAGCCGGTTCTGGATATACTACTCGACATCGGGTCAATAGATGGTCACTGACTAGTCTATTGTAAAAGCCGTGCGGTATCGATATGATTACCGAAGCAAACCATATGATTGCCAATATGACAGACATTGATACGGTTTGACCGCATATATAGGTGCGATGTGTTGGATGTAAATTGCAAACTAATATACGATACCTCTCGATGGCTATAAACATCATTGTAATGGACGAACAATGCACTGAAGTTGACTGAACTAACGGTACTAAAACACACATAAACTGACCAAATGGCCAGTTGTCCAAAACAAATCGTATGATATTTGTAGGTATATTTACCGCAGTCATCAATAGGTCACTAATTGCCAGATTAGCTATCAATGTGTTTGTCAGCGAACAAGTGGTGTGTCCACTAATAATCACTTTTACAACTAATAAATTTCCGATAATTGAAGTCAAAAATATCAATATATATAATGTCATTAATATAAAGTATTTTATGGTATTTTTCAGTTGATAGTCGTCATCAAAGTGATCAACATTTTTCAAGTATTCAATTAATAACGGGTTTACGGTATTTAATAAAAGACCCGATGTTTTTGAATTTATTAAGGATGTAAAGTTTTCATCCATATTTACAATTTTTAAAAAAAAAATAATATTTGATAAATTTGATTTATATTATTTACATAATTTAGTTTTTTACCTTTTTTATAAATATATATTATTTATCAATATATATCTATAAAAAAATAAGTTGTAAAAATGTCAAATTTATTTTCTATAAGTTAACAATTTATTTGAAAAATATAACACTTTCACGTTTACAGACAACTACTGTATAAAAAAAAAATGATATTGATTGCAATAAAAAGTTGTATGAGTTGTATGTCTAATATATAATTTCTTATATCAATAAAAAATTTTTGTTTAGCATTATTACTCTGTATATACATAAAAATATTACTCTATTTATTATAACATGAAATTATTGGATACCGTTTTGCGCAAACACTGCATATGACTAGACATATAATAGTAATAATAATATATTATATAAGTATTATATTTAGTTTTACAAGTGTTGAGTCCATACACTGGAGACACTGTACCTTAAATATAAATTATGTTTACAGTAGAGATATTACTACTACTACTTCTACTACTATTACTATTACTACTACTACTATTACTCAGCCTGTAGTCGACTATTTTAAGTGGACAGTCAGTAAATTAGTAAAATAGACACTAAAATTATATTCAGTTATAAGCTTAATGCACACGAATATAATAATATTTAAATAAGTAAATAATTTATGAGTTAACATCAAATATAACATGTAATTAAATGATATCATAAATATTAATAAATTATTACATTTATATATTAAATAAAATTTAAAATATTTAACAAATAAACATTTCTCAGTAATTATAAAAATGAAATCTTAATTAGTTATAATTTTCTATTTAATCAAAAAATTTCTTTTGTATTTCTCTTATAATCAAATAAATCATTTGTCTTGAATTAAGTTTTTTTTAATGATAACTGACACAATTTTTATAATAATTATATAAATTAAAATTGACACTAAAATCAAGAAAAATATCATATATTATATATTTTAAATATTAATAATTAATGTATTTATTATCATTATTATCCATATAATACTCCAAATTTCTATAAGATAATGATTATAAAACTTGATACTAAATTAAGTATCATATAAAAATAAAATTTTTAAATTATGATTAATTTAAACAAAATTTATTAAATTTATTTAATTAAATTTTTAAAAATCTATTTTAATTTATAATTTTTTTTATTTAATAATAATAACTTAATAATACTAAATGACTAAAATAAAACAAAATTTGGAAAAATAAATATTTTTAACAATCATTGAAAGCTTGTACTGAAACGTGTGTGTATGTGTTTGCAATTTATTAAAAATATAAAAATTTTATAAATAATTATATATTTTTTAAATAGAAGATGTTTTAAATATAATAGTAAATTTTTTTAATTTTATCAATTACATACATTAATATTTTTTAAATAAGTGAGTAAGTGGGTATAGGTAATAAGTGGGTGAATTGTTAAGTGTAAATGTTATTAAGTGGGTATTTATTGTTAGTATTAAGTGTTAGTAGATAATTGAATTTATTGTTTAGTGTATATAAGTTTATTAATGGATAAAAAATAGAATATTAAAATTAAAAAAAATAATAAAATTATTTTTAAAAAATTAATTTTATTAAAGCTGTTTAGCATTTTCAATTGATTGATTATAATTATTTTAAATAAAGTAGCCTTCATTTTTTAGAAATTCTGTAAATTACAACAAAAAAATTAAAAACTACTAATATATCTTACAATAGATAAATTTAATCAATTATAATATAATTTTATTTGACTTAACTAATAATGTAATTGATATTAATAGATAACATAATTTATTAAATATAATTTTTAATAATTAAATTTGTACTTATTTATATTATTCAAATAGATTGATTATAATTATTTTAGTTTATTATATACTTCAAATTATAAAAACATTTAGTAACTTATAATGTAAATGAAGTTTATTTAAATCAAGAATATTTAAATTTAATTATTTTTTTAAAAAAAATATATTAAAAAATTATTATTATTATAAACTACAGTATTTCAAAGTTAGTTAAAAAAATTATTAAATAAATAAATGTAATAATCTACAATACTAGATGGCAGCTTATTATTAATAAATTTAATAAATTTAAAATAAAGATATTAATATAGAGATAGATTGCTTGCAATCCTATTAGAGTGTCATTGAAAAAAGTATTCAAATAATTATGACAATAAAAAACTATCAATCATTTGACAAACATTTGTCACAATTAATATTTTATGATTATTAAATAAACAACTTATTATAAAATTAAAATTTTTAAATATAAGATATCATATTATCTAAATTTTATAAAATAATTTTTTGTATATGTAATTCATTTCTACATTTAGTGCTAAACATATGATTACAATGTATTGCTATAATATTTAGTGCAAAAACGTTACAAGCAATCAATTTATATATTTAAATAAAATACTATATAATATATTGATAATATTATGTAAAAAGTCTTATTAATTATTGTATTATTGTATTATAGACTATAATTTATATTAGATTTATATAAAGAACATCTAGGTTAAATTTTTAAAAATAGAATATTATTTTAACATTATATCATATTAACAAGATCAATCATATTTAGTTATTAAAGTTTCTAAAATCTTATAAATAAATATTTTTTTAGTTAAAAATATACAATAGAATTACAGTGCATTTAATGCCATTAATTTGAATAAGCTTATTATACAATGAATTTATCTATATATTTATCTTTATTCAATTTATAATGTTAAATTTACATCATATTTTATGTAATCTGATTTATAGAAATTAAATTTAAAAAAAATATTTTTTTTACTTTATTTATTGTAGCTTAAAAAGGTTTTTTTTAAGTATTATATTATAGTATTATTGGCATTACTGATCTATTTTTCTTATTTTATTAAATTTAACCTTTATTTCGATGACATTTAATTGCTATAAAAATTGAAATAATCATAGATTTTATTTTAAGTAATAAAAGTCTATATATCCAAAACAAATATTAACGAAAAAAATGATATCTAATATTTAGAAAACTTATATCTAGATTATATAACAAATAAAAATAAGGTACAAATTATTGCTTAATAAAACTTTTTAGATATTGTATTTTTTTTTAAATTGAACAAATAATTTGATATGGTTTTGTTTTTACATTAATTTTTTTTAATATTATAAAATAAAGTCTATAATAATCATTAGATATTTCAACATATTCTAAATCAATGATAATTGTAAAATATTTGTTAGTTAAAAAAATTTAAATAAAAAATGAGCCAATTATTTTATGTAAATAAATTACAATTTGTTTAATACTAAAAAGCTGAGTATTAATAAATTTACAATAATAAAATTTAAATAAACAATAAATCTATTACAGTAATGAATATCATAAATAGATATGTAAATAAATTTTATTATTATTTTTGCTTTAATAAATATAATCAATATTTAAAAAAAAATCCATTCATTATCAAAAATTTATTATATATTTGGTTTAATAATTTAGTAGTTTTTAAAATTATTTTTTATAATGAAATCTGTTAAATTAGGTCTTTTTTAATTAACATTATATTAATTTACTATTTTTTTAGTAATAATTTACAAATATATTTATATAAATTATTTTCCAAATAAATTTCAAAATTTATAAAAATATAATGCACCAATAATTAGTTTTAACACAATGTAAATTTAAGTTTTATAAAATTTGTGTAATAGACTAATATTTATTTTAAATTTTATTCAATGATTTTTCGTTGTTTTAGCACATAATTATTTTATTACTTAAACAATAGATAACGTAAGTCATCTCAAAACTGATGTATTTTAGTGGACAATACTGTTTCAGTAATACACATATCTATAATAAATAAAAATACAATTTAATACACAGTATATATATATTGTAGTTATAAGAAAAACTAAATGTAATATTTATTATATAATAAACATTATATTTAATTACATTCTTGCAATTATTTGCTGCCAAATAATTAAAAGCATTTATAGCTAGAGATGGGCAAATAGAAAGTTTCTAATAAATTTCCCTGAGAAAGTTTCTAGAAAGTTTCTCAGGAATAAATTTCTATAGAAATTTAACTTTTTTGTTATACTATGGGATCCCCATATCTATAGATATTGTAAAACTATAAATATATTAATGAGACATATAATACTATACATATAATATTATACTATATAATGTAGATTACTGTATAATACTATATTATACAAATGGGATACCTATATAAATAATTATAATTTTATCAGTTTTGTAAAATTTTATTCACCATTTTATTATATCATAGTTTAATATAATTAAATAAATAAATTTTTTACTTTAATTAATAATTAAAATACTATTAATAATATTTAAATATTACTTATAAAAACAATGTTAAAGATAACAAATATCGAGAAAACAAAATTAACCATGGGGATCCCATAAATAGAAATTTCTTTTAGAAACTTTCTAGAAATTTCTCTATTATTTTATAAATTTCTCTTTTTTTGCCAACACTATTTATAGCCAAACCATTTACTTATTATAATACTAATGAATTGTTAACTAATGAATTATATATTATAAATCATGCATTAATTAAAAACAATTATCTAAAGCCTCTGATTCAATACATAATTAATAAATATATAGAAATAAAATACATGACAACAACATTGATGCCAATGAATTCAATATTAACAATACTATAATAATAAACGTATATAAAAACTCTTTTTATTTTACTTAAAAATTTATTATTAATAATAGGTTTTAAATAATTTTAACATCAATACGTCAATAATTTATTATTGTTTATCAAATAGAAAAATCTATTAAAAATTTATTAAAATATAGATCTAATATAATATATATTATATAAATTAAATAAATGAAAAAAACAAATATAGTTTATAATATTACTTGTGTTCAATAAAATTCTGCTTATGTTTATGTATTAATACCAACATATAGATAGATAGTATCACTTTTTATTATTTAATTGTATCACTCAACACAAAATAACATTAAATTCTATATAAAATAAATCAAATGTTGAAAATTATGTTATTAATTTGAAACATAATATTAATTTTGTTACATCTAAAAAAGTGATATATTGATATACAGTATCTGTACAATCTATAGAATCATATATATATATAATGTAAAATCAATGCCTGGATTTTTTTTAGTAAAATTGGACCTTGAAATGAAAAAATTACAATCAATACTTTTAATCAACGATCAATTTAATTCATAAACAAACATACAATTATTTAGAATTTATTAATTCACCTTGATACTGCAGAAAATAATTGCATTTAATAAACTATTTTATAATTTATTTATAAAATTAGTTTTTTCTATAGATTGAATCACTTGTCAAACAACATAATATATACAACGACTAGAGTTGTGAACAAATTCACTCCAATTTTCCGGGAAATAAATAAAATATTTAATTATCTTCATTAATAGAAACAAAAAATATATGTTATTTAATTATATTATTCAAATAAACTGTACCTAAACTTAAATAATTAGCACAAAACTTATTAAATATTTTTTTAAATAAATATGAATCGATTAAATTTAATGTTACTATATATGACTTAATAAATAATTTGATATAACATATGTTTTTCAAATAGTATAATAGATTTTTTTTAACATTTAGAGTCATTGATATACTAGAAATTCTTAGGAATCAGGAAATAAATGAAACTTTTGTAATATACAGGTAACCAATAATAAAATAAATGATAATACCATAATATCTAATTTTTTTGGTAATATGATTATTTAGTCATTAATTTGTTAGATAAACTAAATAACAAAATTATATTATTATCATTAGTACTACTCCACCTACTACCTATTTTTTAGACATAAACATTAGAATTTTAATAATATATTGAAATTTAATACTTAAATATTAAAATATCAAAAAAATATACTTAAAATAATTATTGCTTACAAAAAATGATACTTTAAATTTGGATATTAAAACTTTGAAATTAAAAATATAATTATCATATTTTCTTAAATAAGTTTTTCGATATTTTTAAAATAGTAAACAAAACTCTAGACTATGTCTGAGAATTACAATAAAAAATAGTCCAATTAATTAATTTCGCGTAAATTTAATACTTATATTAATACTGTATTATAAATATGCAAACTTTGTTATGCAATAATTATGTTCATATAAATAATTATTTATATTTTCAGCAAAATTGGTATAATTTAATGATGATCTTAAAAAATAACGTAATACATATTATATTTATTTTTTGTTATTGTTATAATTTTGATTATTTGAAATTAATAAAATAAATTAATAGAAATTTTCTAGAGTAAATATAATATTACAGGGTTTCACTATTCTATTTCAATGTAGTTCAAAACTATTTCACAAGTAAACATATTTATTTCACTCTGAACAAATATATTTCAATAGTGAACGTATCTATTTCATTGTGAACACAGCTATTTCAAAAGTAAACTTATTTATTTCAATACTCCAAAGTATGCTTTATTTTAATACATTTAATACTTATTAAACATTTTAAAACTTATAGTTTATTAAAAATTTCAGATTATTAAAATTTTGCACTCTTTTTAGTAAATAAAATGTTTATTTTAAAGGTTTAATATTAAATACATTTGTAAACAATAAACAAAAGTTTGTTAGATATTGCACTAAAGCAAGAGTATTGAAATAAATAAGTTTACTTTTGAAATAGCTGTGTTCACAATGAAATAAATACGTTTACTATTGAAATATATTTGTTCAGAGTGAAATAAATATGTTTACTTGTGAAATAGTTTTGAACTACATTGAAATAGAATGGTGAAACCCTGTATATTAATATTTACCTATTTATAAACTAACATTTTTATTATACAGTACATTTATTATTTAGTTATTTAATCTAAGAATATATTAAATTAATGAAATCTATATTTAATATAATTATTTAATTTTTTTAATAAAGTGATATATTGTTCTTATTATTAGTACTAAACAATTTTCCGATTTTATAAAATATTTTGATAATATATTTTATATAACATTTCAATTTTTATAAAGTTCTTACTTATAGTCATTTTCAAAACTATTTAATGATAGCTAAAATTATTTTTTTAATTTTATTAATATAAATACATTTAATAATTTTTCATGATTTACAAGAAAAATTGAACTTAACATGGTTAATTTTTAAATCAATTCTAATAAAAAATTAGTTTTTAAAAATTATATTTTTAAACTATAATTTACTATTAAATAGATAATAATAAATTCAAAGTTGTTTACTTTTTAGACATACTTTTTTCATTGTTTTACTTAAACTATATATATATTTTCATATAAATTTTTTTAATAAAATTACTCCATTTTTTTATTACATTGAATACTTGTAGTATTTTAATGATTTTAATAATAGTTGTCAGTTAGTAGTAATAATAATAAAAATACTGTATAAGTTATAAAACAATTTTTTTTTTGTAAATTACTGAATCTCTATAAGTTTTGTATCTATTATTTCTATGTAATGAATATTTTTTCAACCTTTTAATTATTTAGTAGCTTTTGTCATCAAAAATATATTACTAAATAATTACTTAACAATTATTCATATATTGAGTTTAAGTATAACATAAAAGTTAATTACTATATATTATAATATATATATATATATATATATATTAAATACTTTTATTCTCAAATTAATTTAAAAGTTGATTGGAATGTAATTTATAACAATTCTTGACATTTTATTTGATAAATTAAAATTATTTATAATATACTAAATTAAATTTATATTTTTATTTACAAAAATTATTTTTAGACATAAAAATATATCATAATATAAATATGTATTCTTGATCAATTTCTAAATTATATACTGATATTTCATATACTAGTTATTATATGTTATAATTATAATACAATTTTCAATATACTATTACAGTTAATAACAACAACAAATATATCATAAATAATTTGATTAAATGCTTATATACTATCTGTTTATAGATTATTTTATTATTGAATGTGAATATTGTCATCTATTTAAAAAAAAAAATAAAATAAATAACAATATAAGGAAACACTAGTTTAGACGCGCAGATGCCTTAACTACCTGCCAGTGCTATTGGCAAACATACAGTATATAAGTCTAGACTAAAATCATAGTATGATCTTATTTAACAGTTTATATAAACAGTATATATTAATATATATATAAATTATATTCTGTACTGTATATTATTGACTAAAGTTATCAAAATAGCAGTTTATTTATTAATTTTTGATATTTTTAAATGAATTAGTTATTTATTAGTATTTTAAAATCCCATTTGTAAAATATAAATAATTTAAATTTTAGTTTAAAAAAAAGTACATCAAAAACTGTATTTTGTATAAAAATCTATTTTAATTTTGTGTAAATAATCTATTTATTGATTTAATGTAAAATAAATTATATAGTTTTTTATGAAAACATTTAAAGATTACTTAAATATTTAATTTTTTCAGTTACAATATATAGGATATATACAGTATATATACAGTATATATATATGTATATACATTAGGATATATGTATATTATTGAACACTAAATATTGTACACAAATAAATAAAATTTTAAAAAAATGATTTAAAAGATTTACAAACATTTTGTTGACAAATACTTTACTTATTTCAGCAAATGATTAAACTATTTATATATTTTTTAGTTTATTATTTGTCTTTTTATAATAATGTTTAATATTTTTTCTAATCCTTATTATATTTTTTATATTTGTTTCGCAATTACTGTTAAATTCAAAGTACTGTACTGTTAAAAAAACATTTTTTTTATATATAAGTACATATAACTGATCTGGAAAATTAAATTATTTTCAACAATAACAACAAAATTGATTCAAAAAAATTGATCGCTTGTGGCATATCGGGCCAAATAATACTAACAATGGATGATAATAATAATAATAGCACCGGTATGTTAAGCAACTCATCGCTGTACGACTGGATTAAAAATATGACCGATAATTATGAAGACTATCACGAAAGACGCAAAAATCTGATACTAATTATAAGTTACTCTATATTAGTAATTGTTTCGCTTGTCGGCAATGTATTGGTCTGTAAAGTGGTGTACGAAAGGCGCCGATCGTTATCAACAACAAACATATTAATTGCTAATCTGGCCATCAGTGACCTATTGATGACAACCGTTAACATACCGTTCAACATCGCACGGTTTGTTTTAGCTAACTGGCCATTTGGACAGGCATTGTGTGTGTTGGTGCCGTTTATACAGTCGACATCAGTGCACTGTTCATCGCTAACAATGATGTTTATAGCCATCGAGCGCTACAAGAGTTTACTGTTCAATACACACATGAATGGCAATACGTATTGCAACCGATGTTTCCCATTTGCCGGTATTTTGTTAGCCATTTGGACGCTTTCGGCAATATTTTCGATACCCCACGGCATCTACAATAGCGTAGAACCACTTAGTCTAGAGTTGACCGAAATTCAACGGTGCCGAGTGGTCTATCCGGAGCCCCGGGAGATGTTTAATCGGAAATACACTATACTATCATTGATGACCCAGTATTTGTTGCCAATCCTATTGACATTCATATGCTATGTCCGTATATCTCTATTTTTGTGGCGCAAAGAGATTGTGGGCACACATACCGAGTGTCACCGCATTTCACTAATCAGGCGTAAGAAGCGTCGCATAAAAATGTTGATAATAGTGGTCATTGTTTTTGCCGTCTGTTGGCTACCGCTTAACCTATTCTTACTGTTGACGGCATTCAATGTCCAGCCATTCAATTCAACCATATTTTTTCTCTGTCACTGGTTTGCGATGTCCAGTGTTTGGTATGTTTTACTGATTTTTTTTCTTTCTATATTTTATTAGCTTTTAATAAAATATTATACTAAAGAAGATTAATAGTCAAAACATTTTTTATTTAATAAAATAGATAAAGATTTTCTGTCAATAGAAAACAGATTTGCTAAACAAAATTGACAGTAAATTTATTATATTATACTGTAGTATATAATATATATTATATATATATATATATATATATATTATTAGTTACTTGAATCTAAAATATATAATAGATAAATATAATATGAGCTAGTATATTTTCAATTTTTCTAGCTAGATAGTATAAAACAAATTTATTTGATTAAAATCATTTGAAATAAAAATTTAATAAAAAAAACTAGAAATCTAATAATTTAACTTTATTTAACTATCTTATTTTATTAAATTATTAAAATAGACATAGATTGTATTTTCAAAAAAAATTTATTTTACTTTAATCTAACATAATTTTTTTAAATTAAAAAAAACTCATGATCATAAAACTGAGATATTTTAACTAAAAACTATACTTAATTAACTAAATAAAATTATGTATTAAATAAAAAATGTATTGCAAATGATTTTATGTCATGTGTGACTACATTTTTTAAATAATTATTAATTTAAAAACAATTAGAAATTTATAAAATGTTATTTAGGTTATATATTTTTAAAAAAAATAATATATTTGATTTGTGAAATATATGATATACCTAATTATTATTTAATAAGTAAAAACTTTAGATAGATTTTTTTCTTGTAATATTATATCTGAAATTTTGATAAAATTACAAATAAAATATTGATTAACTAAAATATTTTTGTTTAACATTTGATATATTCTCATAAAATGTTTTTTGTTATATTATGATTAGCTAAACATTATATTGAAAAAAACTAAAATAGTTGCTTTATTGATATTAATGTAAAAACCTGTATAAATATAAATATATAATTTATTTACTGTTTTTATATAAATAATGTTATACGAAAATTTAGTATAAACATATAATTTAATTAGCTATACTATTATATTATTAGAAATTTCTAAATTTTTATTGTTATAAATAATTGAATGAATTATTCGGAAAATCAGACAATTAAATATATTATATCTTCTTATTGTAATAAAAATAATAATAAATGTAGAAATTTGAATACATTATCAAAATTGTTAGATAAAATTCTTGCAATTTATAAATACAATATAAAAGTTAAATAAATATAATTATTATAGTATTATATATATATATAAAAAATGAGATATAAATTTTTAACATAATGTGTTACAATTTTACGTGAAATGCAACTATATTTGTATTATACATTTGTATAAGTAAATAATGTATTTTTTTACTAAAAACAAATAATAAATTTTAATATTAAGTGTTAATGTTCTTAAATATCTTAAATAGTTTAGTTTATAATATAATTTATACATATAAGTTAGTATACTTTGTAATTGTATATTGAATATACAGTACTATTAAATTGTTATAATATAAAAGCAACAAAAGAAAAAATAAAATAAATAATTTGTTTAATATTATATAAATTTTTTGGAGCATTAAAATTTAATTTGTAAGATAATAATAAAAATAAACAATTTTACATTATAATGTATAATAATTTTGTTTTTTTTAATTAAATATTTTTATTTATTTAAATTAGATTATTATAATTGATAAATAAAACTGTCTTTTATCTGTAAGGATAATAAAAAACATATATATATATATATATATATATATATATATAGTATTTTTGCATTAAATTTATGTCAACATAAAAACAGTTTTACAAACACAATATGTGTTTGAATTATTTGAAATATTATTTATAACAAATATTTAGAAACACATAGTTTATAAAAAAATAATATTTATTATAATATGAAAAAAACTAAACTAAAATATTTAGTCAACTTTAATTTGAATATACGGTACTTTATTTAATGTTTAGATACAGTATTATATGAGTAGAAAATAATTTTTTTTTCAACATATTATTTAATATATATATATAATGTGAATATCATATAATAATTTATAGCATCTCATCATTTGCTCACGTTTTCAGTATTTATTATATAAAGTGTTATCATTAATATCATGAAAAGTGTGGCACTTAATTCAATTTGTGTTATCATTTTTATGATAAAAAATTATTTTATTATTTATACTGTTTTTAATACTATAAATAATAACATTATAAAAGATACTATAGAATTTATAAAATATTTATAAGTGTGTGTGTATATGTGTGAAAATAAAATTGTTTTTATTAAATTCTGTACAGTATTTATAAAATCTATTTTTATATTTTATGTTAAACATATATACAGTATTATATAAATATATATATATTATTAAAAATCTTAGAAAATTACTCATAATATAATATATAAGTTTTCTAACTTTAAACGTTTTCAATCAATATCATATTAAATAAAATAAAATTAGACAATATTTTATAAGCATATAATTTGTGATTTTAAGTAAAAGGTTTTACAAATCATTAATTATGCAAAATTTAAGACAACAACAAAATAAAATTACTATATATTATATTATACTATATTTTTAAATTTATTAAATTATTACTCAATCTCAGTTGATTATTATTATAGATTTTATTTTCTATGTTTTTATTAAACAAGTTTAGTTATTTAAAAAAAACTATTATATATTAAACAATTAAACCATTGAAGAAATTGACAATTTAAGTATACTTTTAGTTGTACTTAAAAAAATAAGCCGCAAAATAAACAACATTTTAAAGTGTATAATAAAGATTGCCTAAAAATTAATTTAGGAAAAATGTTAGAAAATTTAATTAGTATATTAGAATATAAAATTACTTATTTTTTTGCTAATTAAATAAGCTAATTTAGTAATAACATAAATTACTTTTTGTTATTACATATGTTTTTGTTTGTTTGTACATTATATTATATGATAAAATTAATAATAACTTATTAAGTTAAAGATAATTGAATTAAAGTAATTTCATGTAAATTAGAATTCATGTATTTTGCAAACATAATAAAAATGTAATATTAAGTATAAAAAGTATCCATATTTTTTTAATAAATATTTAATCTTTTTATTTGTTTTTTACTATTAATGTTTCATAATTTCCATACAATATAGCTGTGATTATTATAGTTAATTATTTAGTTAAGTCAATATTATTAAATTATCTTCACATAAGTTGTACTGAAAATTATTTAAAAAAGCCATTTAGTTAATAAACTGTTAGATAAAATAGAATCTTTAATATAAAAAATAAGTAAAATATTAAAACAATTTTTTTACTATATTTTTGTATATTTAATATGATTTTTTGCAAATTATTTTTAGCAAAATCAATATAAATAAATAAATAGCAGTATATCATATGATACTACCAGTATTTACTATGACGTAAATATGCGTAACTTTTATTAGATTAACACAATTATATATTATGTATTTCTTATAATTACTAATAGAAAGATATATTTAATAATATAAAAAATATTAATGCTTAATAAATCTATGTTATTTAGGAAAAAAAAATAAAATTATCAATAATAAATATTTGAGTAGTAAATTAATTTTTTTAATGCTATAGCTGTTTTTATATAAGCTATGATTTTACAATATTATTATTTAAATTAATTTCATATTATTTATATGTGATTTATTATTTACATTTAGAATTGTTTGTTTACAAATAATTTTTATAATAAAACTAATAATGCTTTTAAATAAAACATATTTTTTAAAAATAAATTTTTGTAATTTTTTTCTATTGACAGTTATAATCCATTCATCTATTGTTGGCTAAATGAAAACTTTAAGAGACGTTTTAAATCAATAGCTATTTGTTTTACAATTTCAACTGATAATACTGTTAGTATGGGTTTGGATACCGTAAACAATACGATGACAACTGTGAACAACAAACATAAGACAATCGGTACAAATCATTGCAATGGCAACGATGAGACACACATTCATATTATGGATATTACTTCAGCCGATAATACTGTTGAAACTAATGTCTAGTTTTTTAAAATATATTATTTTTTAAATCTAATTTATTGTTAGTATATCTCTTTCACTTAATGTATTAATATTTATTTTCAATTTTATTCAATATTAAATTTATAATATTGCTTATTGTAACAATTTGCCTATATAAATATTATTAAATTTATTTATATCATAATAGACAATAAAAATAAACTAAATAATATCTATCTATATTTATGATAAAATTTATCTGCCTGAAAAATTAAAATTTTTGAAATATTAATATTCTAAAAATATTTGAATTTTAACATATATTATTCATGTTATTTGAAATTGTAAAAATTTATTTTGAATATATTATCCATATATTCAAGGAATTAAAATTATGGTAATTTTTTAAAACTAATATATCATGAATGTATTATCATTTTATTTTTATTAAAATAATAAAAATATCTATGTATTTAATATCAATAAGGCATTTTATGAATTTATTTCACTATAATATACTTATTAATTTATTATACTTTATATAATAATGCACTTTATTATAACATTTGTTAGAAATACTATTGATTTAATTAAATTTGATTTTCATAGAAAATTACTTAATAAATAAAAGCTGCTTTTAAACAATAGTTTTGTTATGCTATAACTGTATACACTTTATACTATACAGTATTGAAATGACTTAAAATGATATACAGTATATAAGTAAACATAAGACAGTAATTTATAAGTTATTAAGTGCTATACAGTGTTCACACAAACAGAAAACACTTATATAAATAGCCATTTGAACGGTCAGTTAGTCTACTTCTACCTAAGCTGTTGCTACTTAAGCCAGCCGTAGTCATCTCACCATTAATTAAATCACCCATACATTCAACTATTGATTGTTATTTTTTTGTTGGTTGAACTTAGGAATAGTAGTTTCAATTGACTATCTTTTCAATTTTATTTCCTCGATTTAACTTAAATATTAGACAATATGCCTATATATTGAAAATAATAGTAGAATATAATACAATAGTAAATACAATAGTAATCTAAATAAACTCTATTCAAACAGACAAAAGTCAAAAACAGATTATATAATTGTATATTAAATTTATTTTTTAAAAAATATAAAAAATAATAATCTGACAAAAAAATAAAAATAATTATCAATATTATTAATGTAAAGTATTTTTTACACATATCTAAATACTTGATGATTTTATTATTGTATATTTTATAATTTAATTTATATAAAATACATTATGATGTATTCAAAATCATTATACTTGTATTATTTTCACAGTTATTTAATATGGTTTCATTATATTATTTCTATTTTTTTTAATTTTAAATACATTTGTTATAATAGAAAAATGTCATACTTTAGTATATAAATATATATATATATATATATATATATCTAGAAAAAATAATAATCTGATTATGACATTGCTATCGTATTAACATTTGCTATATAAATGCATTTTTATTAAATTAAATGCTTAAACGTATAGATTTACCTTAAAGTTAGCATTAGATAAAAATCTGAAATAGAGATTACTTATGAATAAATAATTAATTTCTAACAAAAATATATTTAAAAAAATATTTTTATATAATACTGCATTAATGAATACATATTAGTATATTTCATATTAGCTTTTGAATTAATATACAATCTGTAGAATAAAAATTTATTTTGAATAAAACTAAATTAATGTTTTAAAAAAAAGAAATATCAATAGCTAGTGATAATGTAAAGTCGATCCAATTTTATTACAATTTATATAATTTAATAAATAATAAATTTGTTCAAATATATCATCTAAATAACATTTAAATCATATATATACAGTATTTCAAAAGTTATGTAATAACATAAATTATAAATTTTAATAATATTAAGAATTTTATTGACAAATATAAATAATTATAACAAAAATATTTAACTCAAATGTAAAATTAATAAATTCATAATTATAGTTATTCATAGTTATTATACTAATTTATAATTAAAAAATTATTAAAACACTATTCAAATAACTAATAGTAAATGTTTTTATGTAATTAAAACAAAATAGTATCATATTATAAATGTACTTTATTAATAAATATCATATTAATTATACTACAATATAAAAGTTTACAAAAATACAATATAATATTACTATATATAGTGATTTTTCTATGTTCAGTATAATTACTAGTGCATCAAAAAATATTTATTTAAAGATTGAAAATATTCAATAAAATATTTACTAAAAAACTACCAAAATATATACTTAAATATTTATTTTTTAAAAAATAGTCATTTATTAGGAAAAATATATATTTAATCAATTTGTAATTTATTCTAATCTCTATTTAAATTAAAATTAATAATAATGCAAAACAGTATTACAAATTGATAGCATATTTTTATTAATAAAAGGTAAAAATACACTTAATTTTATTTTCAAACTTAATAACTAATACAAGTTAATAATATAATTTTTAATCATTGATTGCATTCACATGTTTAACACAACTAATACTGTTTTGCCTAATATTTTTGCTAATTTTTATATCATAGAGTTATTTGTATATATTTACTGTTTGTTAAAATCTATAGCTTTAAGCAAAAACATTGCAGTATTTAGTACTTTCTAATCTATTTTTTTTACAGATTTAATTTATAATATTTAATTATATTTACTAAAAACACAAAATATTTAATAAAATATTTCTTATTTAATTAAATATATGTTGATGCACTAATGTTGATACACTGTGGGAGTATATCTATAACAATATAGTATTATCATACAGTACTAACTTAATAAAATCATTTTTCATAATAAATACAATTAATTTTTTTATATGCATTACAATAATATACTGTATAACAATTGAGTATTAATTTACAATATAGTGTTGAGACAAATATATAAAAATAAAAATATTATATTACTATCTATTATACTTTATTCTGTTAAAAAATATTTCTTATATTATATAAAAAAATTCCAATAAATTTATTAATAATTTAGTAAAATCTTCTCTAAACATATTATATACAGTGTATATAAGTTTTACAGAATATATATTCATTTCATACATAATTCAATAAATTTTATTTTATGATATAAATAAATAGATATATTTATTTATATTGTTATTGTCTATTTAAAATAAGGTTTAAAAATAAATTTAGTATTAAATTATTTTTCATCAGACAGTTAATGTATTATTATTTTTTTGATTAATAATTAAATAGTTGTTATTATCAACAATAAAATATTTAGTAACTTTTTATTACACTTTCAGTTGAGATTAGAGATGGGCAAATAGAAAGTTTCTAATAAATTTCCCTAAATAAGTTTCTAGGAAGTTTTGTATGAATAAATTTCTAAAGAAATTTAACTTTTTTGTTATACTATGGGATCCCCATATCTATAGATATTGTAAAACTATAAATATATTAATGAGACTACTATAAATATAATATCATACTATATAATGTAGATTACTGTATAATACTATTATATAAATGGGATAYATATATAAATAATTATAATTATTTAATAATAATTAGTTTTGTAAAATTTTATTCATCATTTTATTATATCATAGTTTAATATAATTAAATAAATTAATTTTTTACTTTAATTAATAATTAAAATACTAATATAATATATATCAATATAATTATAATAATATTTAAATACTACTTATAAAAACAATGTTGAAGAAAACAAATATCGAGAGAACAAAATTAACCATGGGGATCCGAAAGATAGAAATTTCTTTTAGAAACTTTATAGAAATTTCTCTATAATTTTATAAATTTCTCTTTTTTGCCAACACTAGTTGGGATAGACTACGTAACCAATGAAATAGTAATCTATAAGTCTTATAGTGTATTATAAGTTAAATTCCTATAAGTATTTATTTTTTATTTATGTCATACATATTGCATAYATATTAAAACATTATTTATTATAGTTGTATCAAACATCAAATATAATTTACTTAATATTAATTTATATAATAGATTGTAGATTAAAATTACAGTATTATAATATCATTTAAAATATATTATATTAATATATTATTAATATTTTATATCATGATTTTTTGATTTGATTTTTACAATATAAGATGATTTTGTAAAAATAAATTTATACAAACTCAAATTTGACTATTGATATTAAAATTTACATAATCCAAAATAATCACATTTTAAACAAAATTAATTAGAAACTAARTATGTAAATTATAACGTACATAAGTTTTATCAAATATAATATATTATACATTTAATAAAAGTTTTTTATATATATAATTTCTAATTTTTAAATTTTAAAACTAAACTTAGATTACTTAGAAGTATTGAATAAATTTTGTTAAATCTACAAATGTTAAGTAAACAAAAATGATAGATAAATATACCGATAAAAGGGATAATAAAAATAATAAAAATAAATCTCTACTTAAAATAAAATAAAAAATAAATACAATTCCATTATCTACTTAAAACATATCCTTATAGTATATTTAATTCTATTGTAATAATAAATAGCAAATGTCAGCAATTTGTAGTTTTGTTGTGAATATATTGATAAATATACAGTATATTTATCATATATATCTAAAACCAATATCTATAAATAAAGTTATCTTTTATCAAAATACTAGTAAAAAAATATACGGTATATATATATATAGGTATATAAATTTGCTAAATAATCTTTCAATATACTATTGGATTCAGATATTTATAGAAAATTGTTTAATTATTTGATGTCTAAGCTATTTGTATCGGTGATAGATATGTATTAAATAGTTTAAATTTCAACCAATGTAAAAGCCATATCATTAACATAAAATTTACATTAATTAATTATAACAATTAAAATATTGAATATAAAAATTATCATTAGTTAGAAATATGACATATATAATATTTTTTTAAAAATAATATCATTTAGAATAGTAAAAAAATTATCTAATTAAATATATTTTTAGATAAAATGTATTGTAAAGTTTAAAAAGATTTCAAAATAAATAATAAATAAATGTTAAATAAAAGAAATCAAATATAAATTTATATAAACAGCACTTTTGATAATAAATTTAAACATTAAAAAATGTTTTATTAGTAAAAAAAATCATTTTTATT